TATGTAGATGTGTGCATGTGCATCTTGGAAACAAAAAGCGACCAGTACTGCAGTGTCGTCATACGACTTTCTAACGATCAGAAGAAGCAACCTGCACAAGTAATTCCTGATCAGGGGTTATACTTAGTCAAAATAGGGCATTGCCGTAAACATCCCTAAACCCTCATTTGGGTTGAGAACATCGTGGCTTGGCGCCAGAGGCAGAATTCCCGCATCTCTCGGACGGTGGACGGTGATGCCTTGCTCCCGCCACGTTTTTTGGTGCAGATTGCGTCGAAGTCCGACCTGCATGGCCTGCTTGCTGGCTGAAGGTCCACTCCCTCGTCGCGTCCAGGTCTCGTCGGACAGCTCCAGGATGATGTCGTTCGGCTCGGCATTCACGAGCTGCGCAGCACGGACGCTCGCAGGCTCCGGGCTGCTTGTCCGAGAGCCCTTCGCTCTGCTGTTTGAACCACCCGCCGGGAAAAAAGGTCGTTCCCCGAGCGGGTCCCCTTCGTCGGTCGAGTCTTGTCGTACAGCGGCTTGTGCAGTTTTTGGCTCAAGTCTTCGTGTACAGCTTCGGCTCAAGCCCTCCCCGTTGTACAGCGGCTTGTACAGTTTGGCTCAAGAATTCGTGTACAGGTTCGGCTCAAGCGCCACCCTAAACCCTGCACTCCCTGACCCGCTAAAGCGACTTTCTTATTTTGCACGAGTTTTTTACGTGTTTCACTGCTCTGGAGCCTGCACGCCTAGTCACGCTCTAAGGCGAGCAAGTCTACTTCACTGCTCTGTGGCGAGCAGGCTTACTTTGGAAGCCGCCCAAACCCTAAACCCGAAATGCCGGCATTTTCGTTTTGCACGAGTTTTTGGCATGGATTTTTTTGCATGATTTTGGACACGTTTGATTTAGTTGCTTGTCCCGCGCTCGCTCCTTCGAAGCGTCAGTATCAGTTAAATATCCTTCAGCGAAGTTGACAGCATGTCGTGGATGCCATGGAGTGGCATTGCGTCCCAGCTCGGCCAGTCTGCTCCACCGGGACCGATTCTTGATGACGCCCGGCGCCTTGGCAAATACACTATGTGCAGGTGGGAGACTGAGCTGAACGGGTCAGGCAGCTACATGAGGCATCTGCTTCACGTGAGCGACTCAGGGTAGCTGCTTCAGGTCTCTGATCGAGCAGGTGTGTAAGCTGAGCGCCGCGAAGGATCAGCTGCTTCGCGAGTCTCCGAGCTGTACTTGAGCACCCTAACACAACATGTGCAGGGTTCGGCTTCGTTCAGGTGATTGCACGACCTGTGTGCCAATCTTCGCCGTGACAGCAATGCTGAGTTGTGAGGTTAGCGATGAAACTGCCACTCTTGTGCATGGCCAGTGCAGTACTCGAGTGCCCTGGGCTTCATTCAGTGTGGCCATCGCAATACTCGGATGCTCTGGGCTTCATTCTGTATGGCCAGTGCAGTACTCGGATGCTCTGGGCTTGGTTCCGCGCGGCCAGTGCAGTATTCGGATCTCTCTCAGAGGCTCGGCGAGTCGGCCCGGAGAGACAGGCTGTGGGCCAGCTTGGCAACTCCACAGCATTCGCAAGAATAGCAGCTTGAAGCAGGCTGTCTTTCCTGCTGCCGCACTGCTTACAGCAGCATATGAGCACTGCTTACTGAGGGGGAGGCAAGACGTGCGGTGCGCCCCGTCACTCCTCGCTGTGTGGGTTGAAGGGTTTGAAGTAAAGGTTTCTGGGTTTGGAGAGCTTGTAGGGTTTAGAGTTTTGTGGTAGAGTCTCGAATTTGGAAAGGTCAGTTAAAGCCCATCCTAACAATCGAAGCTACATTTCCAGAGGAGACAGGCTGAAAATGTGGTTGACATGTATTTGGACTACATTGTCTTGTGAGTCAGGCATCACCTTTCAGTGTCACGCACAACTGCAAAGTATGATGATGCAGCATGTTAGGGCCATCGTGGTGTCGCCTGCACACATTGGTCAGAAGCTTTGATGTGCGCGACACGGTTCCTTTCCGTGTTTTCGAGCTGTGCTCTGACGTACACAATACCCGGTGAGGATGGATATGTTCCACTTGGTGCATGTGGATACAACATGACCAGGCTTTCAATCGGTGTCCAGGTGCATTAATCTCCACTGGGCGAGCGATGAAAGTGGAATCTTGGTCAACAGCTTTGGTGACACGGGGTTCCGTTTCCGAGTCTCGAACTGTACGCTGACATGCTTACACAGTCTGCGTGAATCGGCATGCAGGAAGGTTTCGTTCCAGGATGTTCCAGATGTGAGAAACAGACATGCGGTAAGAAAAGGAAACGAGCCCAGGTGCAGCAATTTTTCTTTTCAGAACCATGCCCTTTGGTCTCGCAGTGAGAAGCGCCGCAAAGAGCTTCTCGGCTGCAGTTGGTTTGATTCCTGGCCCTTACTGCTTTCGTGGTCTTGGGTGGGAGCCGGTGGCGGGGCTCCATCGAGCTGTACTCTAGCATGCTTACAAAGCATGTGTCAAGATCCAGTTGTTACACACATAGCCAACGTGGCAAGACGTTCCATCGGAGCTCAGGTGCCATAAGCTTCGCCGTGACAGCGAGAAACTGAGCCAAAAGCTTCTCAATTGCGGTTGGTTCGCGTCGTGGCCCTTGCTGGGCCCACGGCAGAAAGTCCATCCTCGAGATAAAGCCTTAACTAGGTTGACGAATAGGTTGCGTTCGGGAACACGATCGTGTGGCAGGTGTAGGTCCGGCCTTGATGCTCAGCTCGTCATTGCTTGTTTGCCTGTCTGTGGCGCGCGAAAGCAGCCATCATCCCTTAGGCTACGCATCCAGGAGGAGCAGGCCAAGCGCTGCCCCGACATGATGCAACTTGCCCGCAAGATCCGGCAAACTTTTCCAGATGATCTGCCGGGCTGTCTGCCTCCCCGATGAGGTGTTGCAATCCATATGTTCATGCGCCTGGAGCGCTCCGGGCCGACATGGTCGAAGTTCACGCGGGCAAGTCTGGCTGAGATGCCTCTTTGGCCGCACGCCGGGTTCGCATGCCAAGCTGCTGCAACTGCCGCTGCATGTCTTCGGTTCGGAAGGACTAGCGGAGAGTCAATGGACTCGGTCGGTGGGCACGAGCATGATTCTGCAGCTGAGCAGGCGCAGGCTCACTCCTCTCTTCGCATACTCATGCCTGTTATCTGCCAGTCTGCATATTTGCTGCATGAGAGGCGGGTGAAACCAGCCCAGCTTCGCCTGCGCAGCCAGCAGCGCGAGATAGCGCAAGCTGTCGACCAGATGACACGCAAGCCGTGCACCTAGCTGTGCTAGCCGCTTGTTACTGCTTGTTTGGCACGTTATTCCCGCTGGCATCGCGGTGGTTCTGTCCACCATTCCTGCTTTTATCTTCCAAGCTACTGTTCTTGAGACATGCTTGTGAGTCCTCACTGTGCCCGTTTCGTCCACGAGGCAATGACAACCAAGCTAGGGGCCGTGACGTGCGGGCTTTCCTAGTAATGACAGTCCACAAAACCCAAGGGCAATTCCGAGGGTGTCGTTCTGTAGGAGGTGCTTCTACTTAGACGTAGCACTTGCCGTGGTCATTCCCTGGCGACCATGCATGGATTTTGAGTTGCTGGGTTTGGCGAGGGATGCACTTCGACTTTCTGGTGGGAGGCAGGATGCGGAGTTGCCAAGCCAAATCCATGAAGCCAGCTCCCCGCATCCTCAGCTCCAAGCTGCGGGGACCTGCGCCTGAGGTGCCAGCCGTTAAACCGCTCGACCAGCCCGTCCATGACCGGCAGTGGCCTTAGCACACAGCTCTTACCTGCACAGTTCAAGCTTTTCGCAGGCGCTTGAAGAAGTCGCATGCTAGTGAATGGTGCCCGAACATGACAGCGAGTATCTCAGCACCCATGCCCCACAGCTGAGGCGCCACAGCTGGGGCCGCGCTTCCTTGTCTACCTATGCAGATTCCGACGCCCCTGGCAGCGACGGCGAGGCGTCCACCGCATTCTGCATGTTTGCTAATAGGTCCGGACGTGTTGACAGCACATGTGATGTGTCTAGACCTTCCCGCCTAGTTCAGGGAATCCTAACCTCCCCAGTCCAAAAGACGTTCTAAGCCCTCAAGCCTTGCGCTTCCTCGACCCTTGGCTGTGTCAGCTCCCACTGCCTGCTACTCTCAAGTTTAGAGAGGTTTGTGGGACTAGGACGGCTCATGTCTCAGACCCCAGTCAATCCAAACCATATTGCCCTTTGCCATGTGGTCTAAGCTCCTTAAGCACATTGTGTTCAATCTCTTGAAGGCTCCTTGCTACTCAGCACTCTTAAATTGCTGCAGAATGCATGCAAAGCCTTGCAGAATCGAAGCAACCTCCCACTGTCGCTAATTTGCTGGTTCCTTCCGTTACCCCTGGCCGAACCTGTCTCACAATGAGGACTCCAAGGACGAGGAGGCGCGACCTCTGTCATTGCCGCGTGCTGCGGTGATGAGCCATGGGCAAAGCTCTCAGACCAGTAGCAGGAATCTGATCTCGTGCGGCTCATGTCTATGTGGTTCTCTGAGACATTAACAGTGATAACGCTTGATTCTGGAGATGGGAGTGTGCGTACGTGAGCTAAAGCCACCGGCTCGGCCTGAGGTGGGTGCATCCATTTCTCCCCATGACGCCGATGCACGCAAGCAAGGATGCAACGGATGCCGTGAGTCTGGACCCTTCATACCTCATCTTGCAACCTGGCCTTTAGCAGCGTAGTCGGAGCACGGGCACACATGAAAGAATCCGGGCAAGTCCAGCTGGAGAGCAAGCCGCAAGGCCCAGCCTGTTGCCGTACCTCACTGCATCTTGCCTGAAACGCCAGTGGCTGGCGATGCTACGCCGTGAAGGGCAATGAACGCGCAGTAGTTGGGAGAATCTTCCAGATGATCGCCTGTATGAGTCCCTTCAGGTGGATGACATCATGGAGTGGCGTGTGACATCGCGGCAGACCCGAAGTCCCAGGGCAGGGGGCTTTGTGCATGTGCTCCTCCCTCCAATGCCCATGTGCAATGTTTTCTGAGAAGATGCGTTGGGAAGACTTGGATGCTCGTCTGAGCAACCTTAGGTGTTGATAGAATGGGAAGGTTGGACAGGCCACTCCCGGGCCCCGGCATGGTCAGCAGATAGATCATAATATGAAAGCAAGCATCCCGAGACTACTGAGCAGGTCCGAGAAGATTCTCGATTTTTCTACGAAGCTTCGACTCACTACTGTTCACACCACCGCTAGCTTCGATGCCGACGTCTGCGGAAACGACGCAGAGCTGATAAAGTACTATGACTGCGTCTTGACCCATCAGCATGATCCACAGCGGCATTGTTTGTTTAGGGAGTTTAGTCTGCTGTTCTGGCCTCAGGTCAGTATTGGTGTATGCGGCTGGCAAGAGCAAGAGAAACCCATTTTGCAGAAAGCGATGCCTTCGAAATTGTCTGTCCAAACCTCCGAGACGTGCTTCGGCACTGTGCCGACCAGGACGCATCCTTGAGGACCTCTGCACACCACGTTGTTGCTAACTATGGTAAAGGTGGCCTCCCGTTTGTGCAGCAAATGATTGCGGATGCCATGTTGACGCTGATGGGGCACGTGCTGTCAGACTCCTCCGGAATCAGCCAAGCGACCTTGTCGCAGGTAATGCAATGCACATCCCACCTCGACAACGTTGTACGTACACTGGCGAAGCCTCAGCGTCAAAAGTGGGTGTCCCTGCTGGTCCAAGCCCTTGAGAGCCTGCGGGGTCAGAAATCAGAGACGTTGAAATTGATCTCTGACTTGAAGCTCCTTTGGCGAGCTGATGACGATCCCAGTCGGAGCTACGCAGCAGCGGAGCAGCAGCTGAAGGCTTTGAAGAAGCAGACCGACATGCAGGCCAACAGAGACGTTCCTTATGCTCTCTGGGACCTGCTATTGTGCTGAAGCTTGTCCGAAACCAATGCGCGAACAAAAGATGTGCGTGAGAGGCTTCCTCCTTCCTCCCTATCCTCCCTATCTTAGCTTTGGAAGAGTGCTCGCTGCTAGGCTACAGATGCCCAGCAGGCCGGCAGACGCAGCTGCCTGAGCTGGGGGTTTTGGGTTGAACGGAGTCGCATCTGGAAGGGATCAGAAGCTAGAAAGGACGATCCTCGGTTCTTTGCAGGTGTTCGTTGTGCCCTATTGCTTAGGATTATCTGCATGTCTGATGGCCTTCGCAAAATTTCCTGTGGGCAGAGGACCATTAGTTTGCAAGGCTCGGGAAGTCTCCGAGGGCGATGCTAGCCTCGCGAGCGTGGTGGCGGCCTGAACTGGGGGTTTTGGGTTGAGCGGAGTCGCATCTGGAAGGGGTCAGAAGCTAGAAAGGACGATCCTCGGTTCTTTTCAGGTGTTCGTTGTGCCCTATTGCTTAGGATTATCTGCATGTCTGATGGCGTTCGCAAAATTTCCTGTGGGCAGAGGGCCATTAGTTTGCAAGGCTCGGGGAGTCTCCACGGGATGCGTGGGGCTTTAACCCCACACAGAGGTACCTCCACCTACTTGTACATTGCATCACGAGCCAAAGGTTCCGATCCTGTGGGTTGTCAAAGAGCAAGCCCTCCCCTAGGCCTGCTCCACCTGCTCCACGTCCCACTTCTCCTACTCTTCCAGTCCTGCTACTCCTCCTACCTCTGTGCTGATATGGCTTGTGAGATGCTCATTGGTGTGCTAGGCCCAAACAAAGGACAAGAAGAAGGAGAAGAAACCCAGTAGTGTGCGAGGTATAGATTCGGTGAGGGCTAACTGCACTATTTCACGCGTGCCGTTGCAGTTAATCGAAGGCTGCACAACAGCCTCCTCCGGTCGTTGAAGATGTCGCCAGGTTTGCACCTCAGTGATTCCAGTATAAGAGATGCGGCAGCTGTGAGCAATGATGTTAAGTGCGAAGTTCTGAAGAAAGCATGCTTCGTCACCGTCTTGCTGCATGCACACTTAGACACAGGCAGGGTTGTGCGTGAAGGGTGTTGCTTCGGAAGGGGTTTTCTGGAAAGCTGCATAAGCTGTTGTTTGGCCAGGCACATTGCCGTTATCGCCAGCTCGGAGCCCAGTTCCATTTTAAGCACGAGGAAGTAGACTCTGTGCCGCTCTGCGATGCAGTACTGCGCTCGCGGGCCAACAAGGCCAGGAGGGCGGCGAAGCCGCCCTGAAGGAAATCCGAAGATTATTCGGAAGCCGCGAGGTCTTGGTCGGTTTGATTTGCTAGTATTTGCTTCTAGCGTAGTGGCGTGGTTGTCAGGCGGAGCTCGAAGCGGCCCTCGAAGCAAAGAACAACAGGCGAAGTCGCTTCCGCAGTGCACCTAGCAGCTCCGTGATTGTTTTCTGAGGGTTCTGAGCTCTGGCTCCGATTGTGGAGGCTAGAGGAGATGATGGCCGAGATGGAGCAGAAGGAGGAGATTCAGCAAGGGAAGGCCTGGAGCCGTCGTGCACTGGGCCGTTGCCATGTAGGCCCGGCTTGCGGAAGAGCTTGGCCGGGGGCTTGGCGCATTGCAAGGCATTCTTCAAGATACGGATTCGCACGAATCCTCCGCCCAGGTGTCAGAACCGAACTGAAGGAGCGTATTGAGGCTCTTCAGGCATGCAGGGTTGTGGGAGTATGTACCGGAGGCTCAGAGATTCACCCCATTAATTGCCTGTTAAAGAATACCACCGCGTCTTTCTTCTTGGTCGCCTCCGCATCCTTCATCTTTCTAGCTTTGCAGTGTCTGCACTTGGTTTATGGTGTCGGCTGCTCTAGACTCTAGACCGTTTGTTTTGAGCTCGTCCAACACGTTTTTCGAGATGAGCGGTCGTAACTGTCATGCTGTGGCGGCCAGAGACCTTGACGAGCAAATGCAGGCAAACGACCGGTCAGTTGTCAGACTCAGCAACCTTATGCCTATGCTGTCGTAGGCAAGTGCTGCTATCAAGTGTGTGATTCTCTATGTTGCGGCCTAGACCCTATGCCGGAAGTTATGTCTTGCTGAAGCAGATCACGGCTTGTCTACAGCTTAGGCCTGCACGGACTTGTCAGGCTGACAAGGCCGCAGCTGAGGAGGAGGTGGGGAGTGGTAAACAGAGAGCTGCCTGTGTATAGGCTGTATAGGTTGCACGCACGGGTGGATGGCTGGCTGGCTGGCTGGATGGATGGATGGATGGATGGATGGATGTAGGTATGTATGTAAACACAAGTACATACCTATGTACACATGCAGATGCACGCCATGGCAAGGTCGCAGGTTCTCGAGTCCTGCACATGACCAGTCGTAGGCCCGTATTGCAAAGGCCAGAAAGCATGCAGACGATGCATTCAAGGCAAAGCAGGCCGCAGAAGATGCAAAGGCGGGCTCGGGCTGTCGCGTGCGCTGTGGAGTGGGCATTGTGTTATGTTCTCCATGAAAGGGTTGGCAGCAGGGCTTCCAAGCTGTGGAGGCCGAAAAGGATCATGCGCGTCCAGACCGAGGGCTCTAAGCGAGTGGGGCTCCTGTAATGTGAATGCCACATGGGTGCTCGCAAGAGACACTGCCGTTGTAGCCAAGGAAAGCAGCCGAGAAGGCCACACAGGAAGCCATCAGAGCTGCTGAGGTTTGGCGGGTGTGTTGATGGAGACGGTAATTCCAGCTCCTTGTTTGTCCCAGTTTCTTCGAGGCCATAGCCTCTGCGGATAAGAAGGTGAGCGAGCAGGTAGCCGCTGCCGAAGCGGCCAAAGAAGCAAAAGAGAAGGCCGAGGTCTGCCTGCCAACTGCTTGTGGGCGCAAATGTTGCTACTGCTGCTACTGCCGCTACTGCTGCTGCTGCTACTGCTGCTGCTGCTACTGCTGCTACTGCTACTACTACTTCTACTACGACGACGCCTACTACTATTTCTTTCGCTCACTACTCATGAATTTCCAGCTGGGCCGGCCGTTTATTGGGCCCACAGGGTTCTCGGCGTAAAGAGGCCCGCTATTGCTGTGCGCCCGATTTTACCACCCAGTGCTCCACCATCTGTCTTCAGTGTTGTTGTGTGCTCTTCAACAGGTTCAGATGCGGGAGCTCAAGGATCCGCCGCAGTCTGAGGGTGGAATTCAGCAAGGGGGTGTGGCAGTAGGAGACGCAAGGAGAGAAAGAAGAGGTTGGACTGCACGAAGTAGAGGTAGTTCGCACGAGAGCTGGCTCCCCGACGCCTTACTCACTCGCCCCTTTCAACCCGGAATGCCAACGTTCTCAGGCTCGCAAAAGTCGCTGGTGGACAGCGGGTTGACACTTTTTGTGGCTGCTACGAGGGGGAGTGAGGGGTCTGGTGGAGGAGGGTGGGGCAGTGCCTGGGAATGCAAGTGTGGAGGAGTGCGCGGGATAGTGTCGGGGAGCGCAGTGGACGTCATGCCCTGAAGTGTTTCGGAAGAGACAACGAGTTATGACAAGCACACTTTACTGGGTTCCCAGCTCGATCCGCATCTGCTCATTCGAGCGAGTATTGCATTGTTTCCATCTGAACCACCCCCAACTTGCCGTCAAAGTACACAAACTAGTAGTTAGTCAAGGTACACATTGCGCCAGCGCTAGCCCACCTGCCCCTAGAGTAACCAAAACGAGAGAGAGAGAGAGAGAGGTAAAACCCCTACACCGTAGCCCTGACGAAAGGAAAGAGAGAGAGAGAGAGAGAGAGAGAGAGAGAGAGAGAGAGAGAGAGCGAGAGCGAGGGAGGGAGGGAGGGAAGGAGGGAGAGAAACAGAGAGAGAGAGAGAGAGACAGGGGCAAAGCAAAGAGAGAGAGAGAGAGAGATGCCCTTTCCCTCAAGCCCGGTAGAGAGAGAGAGAGAGTGCGCAAGTGAGCCAGCGATCAGTGAACGCTGAGCAAGAGTAAACAACAGTGAGCCAGCAGAGACAGAAGCGGAGAAAGACAAAAGACGCAGAGAGAGGGAGGGAAACTTAGGTTCCAACCACAGTACATTCCTCTCGGAAGCCTGGCAACGCTGCAGTGAGGCCCAACTACTCAGTAAGCCAGTGCGGAACTGCCATGCTCAGAGGGCACGAGCTGTCGTCCGCATGCAGCGCTTTGCAGCATGCTTCTGAATGTGTTGGTTCTGAATGTGCTGCTCAGAATATGGCCAGGCTCAACGCATGGCATGCATTCTCGGGCCTGTGTTCCTGAGAGTGGATCTGTAGGAACTTTACAGGAGGAGCCTACCGCCTCGAAAGAGCCAGTCACCATCAATCCCAAACCCTAAACCATCGATGTCTTACTGCCTCTCATTGTTTGCGACGTTGCTTATAAGAACTACGTGGTTTCAAGGCGGCTCAGGGCTTTCCTTCTTCAGCACGCTGGCGACAAAACACCAGCGGGGCGTATATCTGGTCTGCCAAACTAAAAGTCACATGACAAGGCGGTCTACATGATTGCGTTGAGTTTGGCTCGGAGCAACTTCAGTCCAAGCAGTTTTGCTGGAGTTTTTTCGACACCGTGTGGGGACACTGGCAATGCGAGCCCCGCGTCAACGCACAAAGTCGGACTGGCGCCTTAAGATGGCCACAGAAGCAGAGCTTGCAGTGAAGACGCGGTTCACAGCTGCTTGCAGTAGCCTCAGTCCGTGCGCTTCGAGAAAAACATTGCCACTTTCAGCCACCCTTGTGAAAGGTCTTGCCTGACAGGGAGCTTCCGCGAAACTGATTGGTGGAACATATTTGTCGTCTGCACTGTATTTCGAGATGCAAACTACTTCTCCATCTGCACTTTTACCCTGTGAGAAATGCTGTTGTTGTTGTTGTTGGCGGTGCTGTTGTCTTTGATAATGTTGTGTTTGTTAGGCTTGTTGTTGTTGTTGTTGTTGCTGCTGCTGCTGCTGCATTGTTGTTGTTGTTGTTGTTGCTGCTGTCGCGGCTTGCACGCTTGTAGCGACGCCCGGCTTTGGGACGCTTTGAAGTTGACTGTGCTCCATTCTCTAATACAGACAACCACGACAAAAAACATAACTTGCACGAGACCGTTCAATGCGTGGCAGACCTTCAAGCCATGTGACGGTTGCTCTCCAATTTCAGTGTTTGGCTTCGATTCGCAAAATCTCGAGTTTAGGAGGTTGGTTCGTAGCCTACCTTATCAAAGTAAATGTTGGCACTAGAGCTGCTTGCCGTTCCTAGATCTTGATACAACAGTTATTTACGATCGAGCAGCAGTAGTTTTTACGAAAGTATATCTCGCACGCTAAATTCATCCGTTATTCTCGTTGTTCAAGCTTTCAAGAACGAGTTGGAAAATAGTTGCGATGCAGCCAACGACTCCGACAATAATTCGCACACGTAATCTTGGTGAAATCTTGATGCGTGTTTCGCAAGAGAAGCACATGTGTTGTTTGCTGCCACGAAAACAGATGAACTTGCATGCAGGTTTTGTTGTCGTCAAACCCACTTGCCAGTGGTGCCTGAAACCGGGACACTCGTGAGTATCTGCGTGACGAGTGCGCTACTTCCACGCCTTTTGCTTGCGAATGTCCTTCATCAAAGCCGGACATCATGCTCGTGTCCATCAAAACGGATATCAATTGCCAAATACCATCGCAAGCTTCTCTGTTTGTTGCAACGGAGCAGCGGTCGACACACCGCAAAGACAGCGCTTTGGCGGACCGTGTTAATTGTCAGGATTGCTGCTCCAGGACGCGATGTGCCGCAAGTACGTGTTTTCGTTGAATGGTCCGGTTCATGGTTCAACAAGGCATAATTATACACCATGTGTACATATGTGCACAAAAACACATTGTGTGTGTGTGTGTCGTGACAAAGATCAGCTGTTGTCCCTGCAGCGACCGTGGCTAAAAGCTCCTTAGTTTGCTTCGTGTGGGCCGAGCTGGACGTTTGGAAGCAAGATGTGGCTTGGCGATATGCATGTTAAGCCCGGCTAGCCTGAGCTTAGTGATCTGTGTCTGATAAGGCTTGTAACTTACACCAAGAATCCTGCAGTCAGTCCAGAGGGTCGGCAGAAGATGGTGGGGTTTGTTGATCTCCCGAGCGAGCAATCGGCTTTCTATCGATCGATTAGGCAATCAATCAAGCAAGGAAGCAAGCAAGCAATCAGTCTATCAATGACTCGTCCAATCAATCGCTGACACAAATGTCTGTGCTCAGAACAAGTTTCGGCAGACCATTCGTTCACCGGTCTTACATCGAATCTTCACATTCGAGTAGACTAGGTGCATGTGATCACATGCTTCCTCAGGTTGACCTTGATCCGCGATGGCTTCAACGTTTGCAAGTGATTTGCCTGAGATTGGTACGAGAGCCTTGGGGGGGTTTCCGAAAATAGGGGACCCAAACTTAGTACCCTAGATAGTAGGATCCTTATTACAAGGACCCCCAAATAAGGTACCCCTAGTTTTCGGAAACTCCCATGTTGTGAACGAAGTGGAAGCCTGTAGCAGTCCGGCCTGCTCTGCAGGCCGCTCGAATGCAGAAATATTCGTCGGTTTGTTCATCTTGGACGTGCCCAACAGGTCCATGGGATTGAAGCCCATGTTTGGCATGCAGATTCCACTGGTCTGGACCATTGCACCGGGCCAAGCTGATTTTCTGAGCATGTTTCCGAACGGCATGTCGCGCTGTTTGCTCTGGAAGACCATCCTGAGCGGTGTCTACTTCCAAAACATCAGGCAATGGCTGGAGCAACTGTCAATTTGGAGTCTTCGTTCAGTCTCAGTGAACCTATCGCGCAAGAGCTTGTTGGTCGGAAGCGTTTGCTCGAAACAGGCGCAGTGAGATCACCTATCCTTACAACAAGATGGAGGGAAGCGCTGCTGCAGAGGAAGGTGGCCATTAAAGAGGCAGCACGGCGGAGTGCTGTGTACCGCTTTGTTGCGTTCAGCAACGGATTCAAATGACGTTCCACACAGCAATGCAGGCTTCTTCATCTGCACATGGCCCCCCCTCCAGCAAGCTTTTGCTTCTACAACTCCTGACATCTCGTGATACTTGAATGTGCAGGTGATATGACTTGCTTCGATGAGTTGTTTTTCACCGCGGCGCATGTAGCCTTGTAGCCCTGCCAGCATGCAGTGATCCTTGGCGGCACCGGTGTGGCGGGAGTCGAAAGCAGCCAAGACAAATTGAAAATCATGAATCACGCAGCTCGGTCTATGTTCCTCATTTCGTTGCGTCTCTCGGGTGCAGCCAGACCTAGGACATGCTCAGGTCCTGCTTTTTGGGTATGGTTGAAGATCTTGCAAGCATGGGGTCCAGGTGTTGACAGACAAATGGCATCTTTTCCAGGTCAGAGTTTCGATGAGCTTCGCGATAACAACTTGGTATGCAGCTTCGAAAAAGCTGCCGACAAGCTGCTTCTGCTGCACCCCTTCACCTATCAGTTGCTGCAGTTTGATGACACAGTATTCCCTGCAGCATTCGAGCGGCTCAAGAGCTCTCAGGGCAAATGCCAGCACGGTCCCAATGATTATTCTCGAAGATAAATCCGGATGATGTTTGATCAGCATGTCCCTGTAGTGACAGAACATGAGCCTGGTTCTTATAATCGGAAGCCTTGGAACAACATCAGTGCAGAGCGAGCTCAGTCCTCTCAGGAGTTTCAGCAGCTGCGTACGGACACAACATGCTCTCTAAATAAGGTCCAACTCCAGAAAGCAACGTCCATTCCTGACTAAGTGAGCGCAGAACGCCCGACGTGAAGCCGTGGGTCAGATGAGGGCTTCATCCCCAGAAGTGAGTGGCACGTCAAAGTTGTCGGGTCTGGGCCGTTGCCCTTGCCCTTCTTTGGCTCAGCTCCCTCGCTCCACTGCTAGTTCTGCTCGCTCCTGCCTGAGACCAGGTCGACTCGCCTGCGATCGCTCGAAGGGCTCAGGTCGGGGCTTGTGGGGTTTAGGTGTCTAGAGGTTCAGGGTGTAAACACGTTCGCCACTGGCCTCATCTCAAACTCGCGCTTTTGTGTACCAACCCACTCGGTCAGCATTCTCCGACAGAAACGACGCTTTGCTCCCTGCTGTCAAGATGCAGGCGGTCTCTCCTGGGTCATTGCACTCTGCTGCTTCTCCTGCTGAGTCGGTGAAGGCCCGGCGGACCAACCCGGACCAGCCGTTAGCCCCTTTAGCATCCGTAGCCTGAAAGCCCTGCACTTCTCGGAGGCCTCGCCAGCGTCCAAGTACGAGCGGCTCGAATCCAACATCGGCGAAGGTACCTATGGCAAGGTGCACAAGGCTCAAGCACAACACGCCAATGGTCTGCCAGGTGATGTGCGTGTGCTGTCTGAGCTGCTGTGAGGCTCTTCACACCAAGTCCGCCCAAGTGGTCGCTATAAAGAAAGCGAAGGCCGCATTGGGACGCATACCTACACATAAGCCATGCCCAAAGCTGGGTCTGACTTCTCTAGCTGGGTGGGCTCAGCCCTCAGCCTGCAGACTGCACACAAACACACGGACTCTGGGCCCTGAGAGGTGTCGGCTGTGGACCGGGACGTTGGTGGAGTCGGCTTTACCGCCCTCCGAGAAATCAAGGCACCTTTCTAGGGGGCTGATGGCTCCACCGGTCCAAACTGTAATCACGAGGTGCAGGCTGTGCATGCACACCATGTCATGATTTAGGATCGTGCGACAAGTAACATCCCCATCTTGGCTACACACGCTTGTGAGGTGATGAAAGCTGTGCGCCATCCAAATGTCATGGGCTGCACGGGGCTGACGCGTCTGCTTGCGGTTTATGACGTATGCTCGACTGTGCAATCAGCTGACAACGCAAGTGAGGCTTCATGTCGGATAGAGTAGTGCGTGCTTGCCAAACAGTAAAGGAAGCAAAAGGATCCCCAGGCTTCATATCCGAAAGCGATAACTTGGCACTGCTAGAACTGGACACGGAGCTTGTGCCTTAGGTTCGTTCAGGTCTCTGTGGCAAACTCAACCAATTTCTACTCAGGCCTGGATGTCTATGCAGAACGCGGCATCCTGTGACCTGGTCGAAAGATGTCAAAATGGGATGACACGTAAACGATTTCGACATGTCTCCTGTTTATGCAGTGCGCAGAATCAGATGCCGGCTGTTGACCAGGCATCTAGTAATGGAGTTCATGGATGGTGACCTGAAGAAGGTCATCGAGGCAGCTTGCGGCGAGTGCCGGGGGATGGAGCGAAGGCATATTTTTTGTCTTGCATTACCAGAGAGTTGTATACAGATTAGTGAATGAACTCATGCATGCATGGATGGGTGGATGGATGGACGGATGGACGGAGGGACGGAGGGGGATGGAGGGATGGAGGGATAGAGGGATGGAGGGACGGTGGATGGATGGATGGATGGATGGATGCATGGATGGATGTAACCAGCCCATAACTGTAGGTGTGGTTGTCGACACATGTTTCATCTGCTGTCAGGACAAAGCTCTGGCACTCTCCGAGGTCCTTCCCGCCGGCTTGATTTGTGCTGGCTGTAGAGCCAGGTTACGGCTTAGACTCTCTTCGCATCATCTCGCGGGCAACGTGGGCAAAACGCTTTGTTGTGAATTTTAGCTTATTGTGATGGCAGAACTCTTCGAGCTTAGCATACCGGTGGCTCGTTTCAATGTGTGCACTTTCTGCCTGGATCCCAAAGCCTCTCATGGCGCTTGTTTTCCGGTTTCCCGGACTTTGAACGCTTTTCATCGGGAGCTTGGGGCGAAAGGTGACGGGGAACCTTCCGGTCGTGTCAGGCGCACTGCAAGTGCCTGGCGAAGCAATTGCTGCAGGGTCCGGGCCTGTCGGAGGCGGCAGATACAGTCCGCGTCCGCGACTGAAGCTCCAGGCCTCAGTGCGCTTCACGAGCGCTTCTTCGTCCATCGAGATGTTACTCCAAACAATGCCCGTTTCCCAGCGTGGCCACCATACCCAGGCCCAGTCCTTCCAAGCCTTTACAACGCCTCTCAGGTTCTCCTTAACTTTCAGAGTGGAGTTGCCAAGCAAGACACCCGGCATCGGACCAGAGTATCTGAGGGCTGTGGAGAACTCCAGAAAAATTCCTGCAGTAACTGAGGCTGAGCGATTTCGGCTTCGCAAGGATCATCGGCCAGGACAACGACAGGCAGGCCGTGCCCCACCCTCCACGTATCTCCGCGACAACATGTTCGGAAGCTTCGATGCCGGTGTTTCATCCGGCCAGTAGTATGGCTCCGTGCCTCGTCAATATTCGCAGCCGTTTCCCCAAGCGACTCACATTCTGACGTTGCTTTCCTGGACCAGTGTTGCCCGGAACGCCATGCCTTGACCTTATGAGGGAACCGTGGCAATGTTTTCCTGTCCCATCCTCATATGCAGGCGGGTGTTCCTGCACGTTGACCCAGGCAGAGCCCCAGCGAAGCCGCGACGGAGTTGGCGGCTTTCTCCGCAAAAAAGGCACAGGAGGAGGGACTTGGACTTTCTTGGAAAGCTCAGCGCGGTGAGGTCGGAAGGTCCTCGTCTAGTAGTCTTGCGTGACCGGCCAGCATCAAAGGCACAGGCCACATCTGTGTCTCGCACCTTCCAGCGCATCGTGGCTCGCACCAAAGGCGAGGTGCAGGGGCTTAGACGCACATAAGAGGGTTTGCTTGTCATTTGTTTTGGCTGCAGCGTTTTGACTTGCATGCCCTTGCAGGCCTTCCTGTGCCGTACACTGCCACAGGGTTTGCCGCGGCTTCAGCCTTTCAAGCAGTGTCCATCACAGATGCATTGCAAATTGGGCCGTGTTCCTTAAAGCCAATCCATGTCATACTGAACTGCTCAAGCCCTGAAGCGGAAAAAGTTACAAGAACAACCACAATCATAAACACCCCTTTTTTGTTGTTACATCTCCTTATTCTCTATGTTAGAAACGCTAAACCTCGAGATTTGTCATTTCTTCTATTTCTGAATTGGCTTGAATTCTCTTGGCTCGGCAAGCGGGTGAGTGGACGACCGCACGGACAACTCGCGGGAAAAGAAATGCATTTGCGATTCTTGCGTGTCGAGGTTCAAAACTCGACGGGCCAGAGCTGGACTATGTTCAAGGACACCATGCATTCGTTTTAGCGTGTGTCCGGGGTGCATGTGGAAGATTCCGCAGCAGGACGTGCCCTACAGCGCTGACTCGGGGCTGATGGCCGTGGCCATTCCCGTCCCTCAACTTGTTTGGGCGAGAAGGCAGCAGTCCATTGCGGGTAGCAGTCACCGCGCACTGGGCCATGAGCGCTGGCAGAGCAGGAGAGCAGAGTGTTACATTTGTTGATGCGCTTGGACCCACTTGCGAAGCCTAAGGTGACCGTGGGCTTCGGTGCAGCTCGGATTGATTTTGCTTGTCTGTTTTTGCAAGGTCGCATGTCGTGTCCTGGGTGTGATAGCGGCCAGCATGACCGGCCATCAATCGTTGTTGCCAGCCCGTTGAAGACGCCGGAGCAAGGCCGTCATTCTGATCGCCAAGATGCTGAAGTGAGGCGGAGTCGACTTTGAAGACCCTGGGGAGCCGAGCAGGAGACAGGAGCTGAGTGCTGTTCAGTCGGACTCTTCAACGCACCTTTGAGTCTTTGAGAGTTGTTGCTCACTCTAAGACCAGAGCCTGTCTCATGTCGAAACGACCTCATCTGCTCGGGGGAGATCTAGATTCACCCTATACTTCCAGTCTCGACACAATTTGAGGCAGGCTTGATCTCTGTGCGAAAGCCCGCAATCAGTTTGCCTTTCATTCCGGCTTGCCGAATTGTGTCGATGCGGAGGAACCAACCACAAGGCAGGACGTGAGGTTTGTGATCGTTAAAGGTGGTGTGCCACCACTCTGATCCATATTTGCATCCCTTCACAACTGACTCCAGCATCAAGAGAATCGACTTTCGCAAAGCTACGGTAGAGAACCTGACTGCATTTCAAATGCGTGGTATTTCAAGTAGTCGGAAGTTCAGCGACGGTAAGTACATGCTGAAACGGGTGTCAGGTTACCACTGTGTCATATGCTTGTTTCCTTGCCGAGAGTACCACTGCGCCTGTCGTTTAGCCATTGACACGTCTATCGTCGTCAGTGTGGTTGGCGATGGCTCCTCACATTCGATTGCAGTTTCAATGCTTTCTAACTTGACGTGACATTTCCTGGGGTCTGCCTGAAGCCCACAGGAAGTGTTCTGTCCGAACCTTTCTCCGACAGCCAGGCGAGAGGTGAAAAAGCCACGGTGCTTGCATTAGGTCTCATACCCAGCCAGATGTTTGGATTCCCAGTCATTACAAGTTCATGAAAGCTCTCTCAGCGCTGCTTCCGGCTGCAGGCCGATGACTGGGTCTTGTACCACTCTCTGGCCAGAGCCTCGGGGCTCTGGTCAACATGCTCGAACAAGGTTAGACTCGATGCCCGCAAGGGTTTCTATGGCAAAGGTACCGTGCGCCGGAATTGCTGTTCGGTGCGAAACACTATGGTCAGGCCAGAAGTGCAAGCACTTGTCCTGTCAATGACTTTGGACTACACTGCGGTACTTTTTTGAGGCTGGTGTTTCTTGTCCGGTGCTGGTTTCACAGATGTGCATGACGCCGGCATCTGCTGCTGCCACAGACAGTTGATGCAGTTTTCTTTTATGTTCTACTTCTGCCGCTGGCATGTCTTATGGCGTGACATGGTCGATTACTAATTACTAATTACTTACTACTTGTTGCTCGACCAGCGCTTCCGCTGGTGTTGCTCGTGTTGCTGCTACTAGCTACTGCGCTGTTGCTGCTGCTGCTGCTGCTGCTGCGGCCACTGTTTCTGAGCTTTCCAAGCCGAGAGTGCAACACTGCGTTCCCCATCGAGAACGGGACACTTCCAAGCTGTTTCTTCATCGCACTCTTCGGGCTAACACATGCCACGCGACGGCGTGCAACCTTGCTTTTGGACTTACTCTGTATGTTTTTATTTTCTCGTCCGAGCCTTCTTGAGCATGCGAGTTACCAGACGGGGTTGAGCCGCAGTCGCGGGGAACAGGACAAGTCTTTCTCCGTTTTGCTCCGGAGGCTGTTGACATCTGGAGCAGCGGCTGCGTCGTTGTGGAAATGTTGATGCGGGAGGCTGTCCACGTTTCCACTCGGGCACCGATTCTCGGCAGATGCGCCATCCGTTCCTTACAGGCAATGTTCCCGGGGCGCGGCGAGTTTGAGATGCTGCAGAAGATCATTGAGCGGCGCGGGACGCCGGAGCCTAAGCTCCAAGGACTTTCAAGAGGGTTTTTGTCAGTATGCCGGGCTCGCGGAAAGCCGAGGCCTTCGGAAGAAGTTTGGAAGGATGCCCGTCTGCATTGGAGCTCCTGTGCCTGTCCTGAGATTCGAAGAAGGCCTTGTGGGATGCCTGAGCCTCGCATCATGAGGATGTGTCTTCCCTGCCGAACTTCGTGGAGTTCACTCCCCACCCGAAGGTCCGTGTGGGTTCTCCGTAAGACTGAAGACAATGCCCTTATATCCTGACGCACCATGGTCACCATGGCAGGCGCAGATGGATCAACTCCTCCCGAACGCGTCGTAGCTCGGTCTGATAGCTGAGGGCGAGTCTCTCTGGAGCCCAGGATACCACAGTTCACATCAGTTCACTATGTTTTGGTATATTATGATATTTTATACGATATTATTGTTATAGTATGTAAAAGCGTGGTTTTTGCCTCAGGCCGGCCTCCCAAGCTTTCGCAGACTTGCTGTTGACCTTGGATCCCAAGCAGCGCCGGAGCCTCGGGACTCGGGGCCTCGGTTTTCTTAATAACTGCCAATACTATTTTGGGGGTTGCTTATTATGATCATAGTATTATAGTATTACAGTAATATGTACCCCGAAACCGTATTCTAATTGTGATCATAGTATTATAGTATCACAGCACTATGTACCCCGAAACCGTACTATAATTATTGCAGAGGACGTCGGTGCTGAAATGGGAGGCCCCAGTGCTGCCGGGGCCTTGGCCCACGAAGCTCTGAAGATGGCCCAAGCCTCGGCAGAAAGGAAGAAAAGGAGACTCCAATATCCCTGGGTTAAGGAATGTATCTTAGAGTATAGTAGGATCCCTAACATGGTTTAAGGTATGTGCCTTAACTAAGGGATATTGGAGTCTCCGGAAAAGGCTGCGAGAAGTGCTAGTGTTTTTGGAGCCTTCAGGCTCGACCCTTGCCGTGCGCGCCCAGCGAGCTCCCCTTCGTGAGAAGAAGCGGGAGAGCCCAGACATGCCATGCAGAGGGCCAGGGCAAGGAGACGGAGACGGAGACGGAGAGAGAACTTCGGATCTTCGCGTGTTTCGACCTCCGCGAACAGGTGGATAGACGAGACGAGGCTTCAGAGTTCAGCCTGAAGCGCTGCTGGGTTGCCAGGTCGTTTCAGGGGTGCCTGCTTAGATGGGTTCCACGTTTTTGGACCCCGATTCTACAAAGCCCGGTTGCAAGCATGCCCACTGCGGCAGCTGCAAACAGCAACCGGGCCTGAAAGTTTCACGCGTTAGCTGGATGGGATAGGTTGGCACAAGCTACCAAGAACGCAAGCACGACGCACAAACTTCTTCAACTTTCTCCAACCTCCACTGCATCCAGATAGGATGTGGCACAGAGCAAACGAGCTGCTCCGTGCACTGCAGTTTTTGAGTGGCATCTCTGCAAACATGCCAAGTGTTGACGGAGCTCTGACGGATTGATCCGAGTGTCGAGGGGCCCTTCATTCATTGCAGAGAGGGCAGCAAAATTCATCGTGGAATTCGTTGAGCGGTCGGGCCCATGGTTGAACCCTTGGAACAGTAGAGCATGCAGTACAGTGTCGGAGCTATGTTGGGAGAGACACTGCTGAGTTTCAAACTTGGGCTATGCACCTTAGATGTGGGGCTTCTCCACGCGTTCGCAAAAAGAGTTGTTTTCAGAAGATGCAGCTGCAAATGGCCTGGAAGCCAGTTGGAGCAACGACTGCACGATGCTTCTGCACATGTTTCAGCACAAGTCTTGATTCTCATGTCTGAGGATGGATCCGTAAAGGTTTGCAACAAAAACAGCTGCCTCGGATCCCACAAGATATGAGACCTAGTCGCAACAAGGTAGGGACAGCCTTCACATTTCAGTTTACGATGCTTGGAGCAACTAAGTCACAGCCAGGCAAAGACAGCTACGTAGGTGTTTTGGGCCACAGCTCATGCAAAGCATCGGCATGCGGCCAGAGGACGTCTTGTTCTTGACATGCGCCCTTCCACAAACGTGCGTGGCCCAGATAAATCCCAGCAGCGAATCTAGCACTGTGGTATGCAGCTCTATGTTCCCGTGCAGGCATCAAGTATGGTACGGAAGAGCAAGAAGAAAGGTAAGGTTCTTACGACGTTTTTTCGCTTCAGCCACAGCCGGCAAGGTGTTTTTTTCTGGTAGTTTGCCTTCCAGATCCCGCCATGCGTGTGCTTCTGTGTGTTTCTATTTGATGCGCCCAGGTGCTGAAGCAGACTCAGCTGAGGCAACATCGATGGGACCAATTGCAGCCTGGGATGTTCTTCTCAGCAGCCAGGCACCTGCCGCCTCAAAGCCAGAGGCACTAAAAAGCACATCATCGAGGCCATGCGCTGCTTTGGTTGTCCCATCCTGGTTCTATGGCCATTGCAGGGATGACTGGCCTACCAAAGTTGCATGTTGCATGATGATGCAGGGCTTTATGTTGCAGGCGCGCAGCCTCGCCCGCATCTCGTCCGCCCACAAAGGCGACCGCATTGCTTTTTGGGCGGTGCGTGTTTGCTTGCGGCTTGCTACTGGAACTGAGCTCTTGGCGACTGATTCTGCGAGGCCGACGTTGGGCGACAAAGTAGCATGCAAGAGGTCTTGAAGCGGCAACGCCGTGTCAAGGATCAGAAGGAGGAGAGGTCTGACTGGGTTGATTTTACATCTCGGTCCGCTCCTGCGCTCGCAACCGTTTTGCTCCACTATCCTACCCTCTTTGCTTTGGGTAGAGTTCTGCCAACCTCGAACTCGACTTGCGAAGGCCACTTTAGGCAGGGAATGGAACCGCCCAAACCGCCTAATCCTCAATCCGGAATGCGGGCCGGACCCCTAAGTCGCATCCGACACCAGGACCCGGTTGTCATCGAATCTGAGGAGGAGGGCGCGGCAACGTCGTCGAGGCCATGCAGCGACAGGGAACCCAAGGCTGTCAGAGTCTCCCCACCCTTTCGGGCTTAGCAGGCGACCGCAGCTCCTCACTACTCCAAAGGCAGGATGCCTCCAATTGCGCATGCAGATGTGAGCCTGTGAGCCCCATGCTTGCCAGACACATTCCCGGCCGGCTTCGAAAATGGCATCTCCCATGCCCGATGCATCTTCACCAGAGGCTCTGCGTCTGGACTTCTTAAATTAGGCTTGAGGACCATCTTCTGGTAGAACCTGTGCCATATGTTCCAGACATTCATTCCAGGCAACGACACGAGGCATCAGGTACGATATTTCCGGCCCGCCCAGACAAGGAAGGTACACGAAGGTACTATGTCCTTTACAGGAATGTCAAGGTGCAGACGATATCCGAGGGTGCCCGTGGTGTTTGCCAGGAGCCTACCCCGAAGCGCTCGCGAATCACTACGAAGACCAGCAAGAACCACTGGCATGTGTTGTGTGCGGTTGCGCTTTGTTTGCGGTTCTGGTCTGTTCCACCCTGCGAAATCACCATGCAGGTTGATACGGGCTCTTTTGAGGCTTGGACAACATCTGAACCGGGTCCGTTTACAGAATTTGTCTTTCAGGGGTGGCAGAGAACTCAATTCTGGCTCGGGTTGGACCTCAGAGTCAGAGCAGTTCTTGCGGGGAGCTCGCTCTGCAGAGCATGCCGCAAGCAGTTCCGAGGCAGGTCGTTCAGCCAAGGGTTCGAAGCCCTTTGCCCCGTAGCTTACCGATTCGAAGCAGAGTCTTGCCGTAGAGAAGAAAGACCAAAGAAGCATGCTTTTCTTGAGTCGGTTCGCGGGGTCAGAGGCCGGGCTGTGGGAAGTGTTTGGGTTTGGTGCCAGGGCATGGGGGTAAAGCGAGTCGGCCGGCAGAAACCAGGTGGGTCGATTGATGTCGGGGGGCTGGGTCCCGGATGCGGTTCTGGTGGTGTCGGGTACCCGATCCTTCGACACGTGTCGGTGCACGAGAAGACCAAGCGATCCCAGTTGGAGCATCTCTAGATATGGTCTGTTTCACACAAGTAGCATGCGGAGGGTTCAATCATAATGTGCTAGGAAGACTGTCGAGCAGATCTACCAGAAGAAAACGCAGCTGGAACACATCCTCCTCAGCCAGAAACTGAGCCCAGTTGCGTGTTACATGTCAGTCGTGTTGCCCGTCTTGGCATGCGAAGGGCCTGACAGCTATGTTGGCCACTGCCTCGGTAATTGCTTCATGCCAAATTTTGCGGGACCTGCATGCATGCTTTTGCCAGATTATGTTGTTGAACTGTTCCTGTAATGTACACGTGCTGTTGCCGAGAGGCAGGGCTGTGCATCCGGAAGTTGGTTGCTAGGCTCTGTCGAGCGGCAGCAGCTCGAGCTGTGGACTCTTCCTGGAGGGAGCAGCAGCGATTCCTGCATGTCTTTGCATAACTCGCATTTCCGTATGGAATGATGGGGTTCAGCCAGGCAGTGACAGTGCTCCCAGGCCTGCGGCCTGTCGGTACGAGAGCACGCGAATCCGAAGTGCTGTGTCGAGAGTTCAGGATGCTGCGGAGGAAAGTGGACTACGTGCTTGGCACCCGGCCTTGTAAGTGTCGTGGAGCTTTACGAAGAACTGACGTGTAAAGCTGTGTCCAGGCCGGCTCTCTACAAGATTTTCGATGAGATTCTCGTGAATGCTGCGGACAGCCAATGATCCATTCTGGGCGCTTGAATTGAGACCCGAGTGCCCTTGGCAAACTGCGCCAGCAAGGACAACTTGATTCGGGATCCAACCATGAACACCATCAAGGCCACATGAGCCTTCATTCGTGCTGAGTGTTGCAAGTTGGCTACGGCTAAAGCCTCAACCGAAAAAGGCCCCAGACACACCATTCCTGAACTCCAGACGGTTTGTCGGTGCCAGGTTGAGATACACAAGAAACAGTCGCGCATCTCGGTTTGTGTCTCAGTCACTCCGTCCACTTACGGCATGTGTGGCTCTTTTCGCACAGCACATGTGCAGAGGTCTGGAACAATGGCAGGGGGCTTCCAGTTCAGGCACAGTTCGTTGTTGTCACGGACGAGTTCCCTCGCAAAGCCTGTGGTCAGCTGAAAGGTGCACAAGGAGCACCGTTGCTATGTGCCGACATTAGCCATGTGCTTACATCTTTAGCACGTGTACACCAACATTCCAGGAGTTGCTGTTGATGTTTCTGTGCTTTTGACCACTGCTAGAAGTACATGGAAGTTTAATAAGTACCCGTCGGAGTACCCTCTTTCGGGTGCTTGGTGTAGGACGTGTAGCTTATACGTGCTTGAGGGGGGGGAGAGTCTCAGGTTTTCGGCCACCTGCTGACCAGTGACAACTACGACGACAGTGATCGGGATGCAGTATGATTGGATCAGAGATCGGGGTTGAACAGAAAAATGTTCAGGTGTCTGCCAGCCTTAACCATGTGCCATCGACCAGGCTTTGTGGAGTCTTGCTGCAGACGGAGCGTTCCTGTGATCTGTTGTTCCCCATAGCTCCACATAGCCCGATGGTACTGAAAAGCATCCGGCCGGTTTGTAAGTCGCTAGGCAACACCAGCTGCTCGGTGCATGTGAGGTGAGAAGAAAGTCGTTGGTGGTCGGAATGGTATGAGTCTGAGACGGGGTCATCTTAGAGGAGTACAGTGTTGAGATCTTGATGCTGCTGCTGAGGCTATGGAGCCAAGCTGACCAACATCTACTCCAAGAGGTTCATCGTAGAGACTGCTGATTCCGGAAGCGCACGACTCGGCTGCAGCTTTGACGCGTTGTGCATGCCTTTTCTACCTAAACTCCGACCCAGGTCGCAGCAAGTTTCGGCAGCAATGGGGAAATAACATGCGCTGGTCTCAGATTCTCACGGCCCCTACGGCACCAGACACCCAATACCGAGACCCGTCTTCGCTCAAGGAGGCAGGCAGACGAGCCGGAGATCGTGCCATACAAGGGGAAGGCCACTGCTGGCAACTGGAGCACAGCTCGCAATCAAATCAGCCAGCAGGACTTCACAGCAGTGACCTTCGAGCCGGATTTGCAGCGGTTCGGCATGACTCACCTGGAGGAAAGTACAAGACAATTTTAAACACTGCATGGTCTTTTGTCAGAGAAGACAGGACGACATCGTGGCTTTGATGGAGCGCCGTGCCTACGATGTCGCCGCTTCCACGCGAGGACGCTGTGAGGAAGCGTCCTCAACAGAGTCTTAACTTTCCGAGCCTGTATCGGTTCCATCACTCCGGTGGACTGCATCACGTGAGTATCGGCGATGGGCAGTCAGGATAGCGATGCAACAGACGCATGGTGTGCCCATGCGACATGACCTGTCTTGGTTAAGGTCTTCCTGAACGGGAAGTGTTTGGAGGTGGATTCCTTCGAGGAGAGATCCTGGCAAGTCAGGACGGGTGAGCAAAAGTTGCTGAAGCTGCAGGATTACGTCAGTCTCTTCCTGGACCCCGATGATTTCCGAATCAGCGAGGTCAGCGTGAAGAGTCCATTCCGAGCAACCCCACCTTGTCTACTTTGAGGTCTGCAACGATAGATGGGAGGTGGCTATCGCTTTGACAGATGGCCGCAGCCGGAGCTTTCGCAGTGCAAACATCGACGGAGTGAACAGATTCCAGCAGTTCTAGCAGTCACGCTTTTCTCTTCGAGCACACGTTTTTTTCTTTTATTTTTTTTTCCGTTTGGCTTTTGCCCGGAAGTGCACGTGTGCACCTTGTGACAAGTAGAGCGAAACAGCCGAACTGTGACTTGCCAGTCAGAGCTGTGTCCTCTCGAGTTTTGCCTTTTAGACAAGCGACAGCTAGGTCCTCGTGCAGCCATGGCCGAAGGACGCAAGAAGCTGAACCCGTCAGTGATGGCGGCCCTCAAGGTTCTGTGCGAAGCCAAGGAAGATGACCTCATGGATGCCCTTGAGGAGTTCCGGGTCGCACATAGAGCCCGCCTGTCAGCCCTGTTCGGACAAAGTGTGGCTGAGGGCTTGGATGCGTTCAAGCAGGTGGGCTTGGCATCGGCCCTGTTCGGAGAGCTCCCCGATCTACCGGAGCCCGGACAGGACCCGTCAGCCAGTGGCTCTGGTGAGGTACAGCCTGCCCACACGCGGGGACAACCTGTTGATGAAGACCCGCCCGTTAGCGGGGTCCAGGCAGTTCCTGACGACTACCTGGACGAGCTCCCCGCCGAGTTGGACTACAGCCAGTTCGACATGGCGAGCCAGTCAGCCTGTGCAGCTGACACGGGCGGCCTGTTCGGAGGCTGCCCTGCCCAGCCAGCCCAGGGAGCAGTGTTCCCTGGCAAGGGCACGGTGCCAGGCCAAGTCTCCAAGAGCAAAAGCAAGGGCACTGGGCCGCCAAAGAAGTCCCCCCCGGTAGTGCCAGATGACTGGAAGCCGCCAGCCAGTTCGTCGAGCTCCGGGGCAGCAGCCTCCACCGACGCCGAGGCTGCCAAGAAAGCTGGGGCACCAAGTGGCAAGGGCACCGAGAAGGGCAAGGAGAAGACCCGTCAGCCCACCGAGCAGCCGCAGCCCAAGGCCACCGAGGACACCGATGCTACACCGAAGCTCCCGTCAGGACCTCCGGCGGGCTACTTCCCGGGCTACACAGGTGACCATCGTGGAGCTGCCGTGCCGGTGCACATGGAGGACAACTTGCCGGGCGCCACTCGTCGCTGAGGACGGGCAGCCCTTTAGCACCACACCTCCCACTTATTGGGACCTGAGGTCGGCATGCAGGGTCAGGTGCCCACGGTGCCTGAGGCACACATGTACACGCCACAACCTCAGGGGCTACCGAAGGGCCCACAGCAGGCACCGCTGCCCCGCATGTACAAAGGCTGATGCTTGGATGCCAGTTAGCCTAGAGAGAGGGGGCCTGTCAGAGCTGTTTTGTTACCTGTCAGCGACCGCATGTGGCAGGACCCCAGTACACTCAGCTAACAGCGACGCCGAGGTTCAGCCTCCTTCGCACAGACAGTTCGTGCAAAAGAGCCCGTCAGGGCAAGGCGCCGTTTTCGGTCGCCAGGGTTCCTTCTGCAGTCCACTTGTTAGCTTTTGTGCTCTAGGTAGAGAGCAGCCACTCCCGTCAGCTCCCGCCGGTGTGTGCTCTCGCTTCCTCCGCTGCTAAGGTCCTTGTAGCAGTGTGCAGGCAAGTGTGTGCCAGTCAGTGCTGCAGCCTGTTAGGGTGTCGATTTGCACCAGAACCGAAGGAAAGCATATCCCAGCTTTCATAAATTTGAGTCGTTCGATTTTGAACCCCTATTTTTTACTATATATTATACTCTGATCAGCCAAAAAAACGTGAGAAATAAGATCTGTCCAAAAAGTTTTTAAGTCTTCAGGCAAAAAATCATCCTCACTTATGATAGTGATTATATTTGCATCATCTTTTGAGTGAGAGTAGTGCAAAAATCTTGCTAGTTCAATCGCTTCCAAATGGCTCAAAGTAGAAGCAATACCTCCCGATTTATGAGTATTTTTCCAGCCCACCGGAAAGTGAGAGCTTTTTAAATTTTCATTTTGCATAGTACAAGGGCTTACCCCATACCAAAAAAAAACCTCGTGAAAAGCTGACGCAGAGAACATGCAACACCATCCACGGCATCTAGAATTATCGGAAAGAGAGACACAGAGGAATGAGGAAGACTTTTTCGCAATTCCTAAATATAATAAATACCTTATGGGAACTCCAAAAGTGTCCAAGATTCTATTTCTCCGATCATATCTATGATAAAGGTTTATCACGATAATGTAAACATTATACATTCAACGATCTAAATTCTACTACATTCTCGAGAAAATAAGCTGATTCTTCTTTTTATGTACGGATGAAATATATGAGATCTCAACTTGCATTATATGGTGAAATGTAAGAAATTTATCATGACTTTAACTGAAGACACAGAGTTTTTCGAAACAAGTCATTATAAATTCTTTTGACTTGAGTTTAGATTCTCCCTACGTGCTATACTTGGGGATGTGGCGCTTGATGACTTGTTAGCTGCGCCAGCCAGACCAAGCAAGAAGTCCCGTCAGGACATACCCCAAGTACTGCCCCGGACACGGGGCTCTCTGCAACGGCTCGGTGTCGAGCCTTCCCCTCCAGGTTGTAACGAGGTTGCCCAAGTTAACCTGGAGGAAGCCGACAGGCTCTTCTTGAGAGACAGGTGGGCCGCTTCGTCTCAGGCTCCGCGAGAAAGCCGTTGGGTCACATGGACCCGCCTGTCAGAGCGCCGAGGGTACCCCAACATCCCCGTCACCAGTCAGTCCCTCTTTGCAGTTGGAGCTTTGCTGAAGGCTGGCGGCTACCGATCTGCCGCACAGTACATCTCGGTAGCAAAGCAGAAGCACAAGGAGGCGGGGTTCGTCTGGGGTCCAGACCTGGACGAGGCACGCGCCCAGGCCCTTCGCAGCATCAACCGGGGCCTTGGACCAGCTACTCCGAAGTTGGACCTCCGGTTAGAGAATGCGAAACCCCGCTTCACCCAAGAGAGGTCAACATGGCCTTCGATGAGCTCCGTGTGCCCCAGTCAGATAGACTCAGGTTCCCTGCACAGGCATGCGTTACAGCATGCTGGTTCATGCTCCGAGGAATCGAGCTTGCCAACGTCCAGGCCAGAGACGTTACTTTCAACAGAGCGGCCCGCACTGTGAAGCTGCAGCTCCCCGTCAGTAAGACAGACACAGAGGCCAAAGGTTGTTACCGGATGCACCGCTGCATCTGTAACCCCAGGCACTCGTCAGAGTGCAAGCAGACTACCCCGCCAGAGCTGTTCGGGACTGCCTTTCAGAAGTGTCTTTGTGACGACGGCATGCACACTCTGTGCGCGCACCACTCCCTCCTCCGGGTAGTCGTCCAGTTGCGCCGCGAACAGACCTGGCAGCCAGACACACACTTGTTTACGGCCCGGTCAGCTGAGGTTGCCACGAAGGCACAGGTGGTCTTCTTGGCGCGAGCGTGTGCTTTTGTGTTGCAGCAAGAGCAGCTAGACCAGTGGGGATACGATGCAGTGACCCGCTGGTCGCAACACGTGTTCCGGGTAGCTGGCGCCCAGTTGTTTGCCAGGTCTCTCCTAGATGTCACATACATTCAATTGATGGGCCGCTGGGGAGGCACATCAGTGCTTCGCTATGTGCAGGAGGCCGCCGTCATGCTGCCGGAAAAGGCGTCGGAAGCGGTGAGCTTACATGTTAGCAGCCCTTCCCTTTCCCGGGTACCCAGTAGCAGCACTCGAGCCCCCAGTCAGCTAGTGCAGCAAGGCCAGGTCCAGGACCTAGTTAGAGAAGCCGTCCAGTCAGCTTTGAAAGGCTCTCAGCTCGTGGTACACAACACCCGTTCGAAGTTGTGTCACCTACCCTCCCCCAGTGAGAGTCAACTTCCGAGCGAGTCGTGGGTTACTTTGTGTGGTAAGTGGTGGTACGGCACAAGCTCCACTAGAAGGAACCTGTCAGTTCTTGAAGGCTACACCAAGTGCTCGTTGTGTTTCCCGTCAGCTGAGGACCGTGACCGCCCGGCAGCCTCCAGTGTTCAGGCTAGAGAAGTAGAGTCGGGCACTGATTCAGACTCCTCCCAGGAGCACAATGCCGCCAGCTCTAGCTCTGCCAGACCTCGATGATGTTGCTGCCAGGGCAGGTTTTGACACCGAAATTATTGCTTACCTGTCAGCTAAAGGCATCACCAACGCAGGCCTCTTCCTGCACTACTTCACAGATCACACAAAGATTGCCCCGTTCTTTGAACCGCTGCGTGCAGGATTTGACCTGGCAGGCAGCACAGTTAAGAGGACAGACGACGAAAGGCTCATCTTGGAAGCAGCTACTTTGGTAGCGCTCGATGAGCTTTCCGTTAGGCGTACTCAGATGCCTGCAGCATCCACGCCAATTGCTCCGACCGCCCCGTCAGGATCCTCTGCGCCGGCAGCATCGGACTCTGACAAGGTTCCCAAAACCCTGCCAAAGAACTACTGGTCCGACTATGTCAAAGAGTTTGAGTCTGTGGTCCTGTTAGGTCGCAACAGAGAGTTCCCAGCACACCTGTTGTTAGGAGCTGAAGAAGTGCTAGCTAGAATGGTGCACCAGCACCAGGTCTCCAAGCAGTACTCTCCTGTCCGGCTCGGAGAGATAATCTCCTTACGCCACTTCACACCGGGCAAGGCAGCCAACCCGTTCGCGCCCAAGGACGACAGCCGCACCAAGATGATCCTCGACGACTCAGGTACCTTTAACAAGGCCATGCGTCACGTGCCGGAGCCCCAAAAGCTTGTTACCCTGTTAGATGCAGTGGATGCCATCAAGTGGGCCCTCATGTTCTCCCGTTGGTGTGACGAACATGACGCTAGTTCGTGGGCCGAGTTTTGGCAGAACCTTTGCAGGGACTACCCCAACAAGTATCCCCAAATTAGGGCGTTCTTTGACAAGGCTTTCCTACATGTTAGTTTGCAGATGAGAGCCAACAAGTCCTTCCATGAGGCAGCCAGTGAGGTGATGGCGTGGCCCAAGCAGGAAAGGCAAAGGTGATCAAGGTCACAAAGGCGACTCCAAGGGTGTTAAAGGTAAGTCGTTTGACAAGGGTTTCGACGGCGGTAAGGGCAAGTTTGCCGGTCAGCGCCAGTGGCAGTCCTCAGCCCTTTTAGCCAGCCTCGTCCCCAGTGCCGACTGTTTGCCCAGGGATTCTGCAAGTTCGGTTCCGCGTGCAAGTTCGCACATGGCCCCCAGACAGCTGCTGTTCCTCCAGGCTTGCCTCAGTTCCCACCTGTTGTGCCGCAGGCTCCGTTTCAGGTGGCACCGCGAACTTAGGGACAGCACGGCCAGCTGGAGGGCCCGCCAGTCAGAGCCGACCCACCCTGTCAGGGCCAACAGCCAGCCCAAAGGCACCCGTCGGTGCCACAAGCTTCGACACAACTTGCAGATACTTTCCCTAACCCGTGCGCTCCTGCACCCACCCGGTGTGCAGGCCCTAACCCTAAGTCTGTGTGTACAGCTCGCCAGGATGTTGCGCCGATCACGGCTAGCACTCCAGTCGCACCTTGCTCCAGTCAGCCAACACTCACTCCCACCGCTCCACACCCTGTTGGGCCTGGACTTGGCTTTCACACTCAACCAGCCTTGGCAACCGTGCCATCCCAGCCTGTGCAGTGCTCCCTCACGGTTGAGCACCCGTCCGCAACCTCTCCACGCCCTCCTGCAGTGTTGTGCTCCCACCGGGTCGAGCACTCACACAACCCTTCTAAACACTCCCCACCACAGGGGAACACAGCAAGCCTCATCCAGCCTCACCCAAAGCCTCTCTCCTTCCTCCTGCAGTGGTGTGCCGCCGACAGGGCGAGCACCCACACACACCTCTATCGCCCACTTCGACTTGGGCTACTCACCAACCTCAAACAGCACACAGACCGTCCCGTCCGTCCTCTCGCCCCGTAGCAGTCCTTTCCTTCTTTTGTGGCCTGGGCACCACCTTCTTAGCCCTCCGTGACCTTGGCGTGTCGCCCGTCATCTCCTGGTCTTGGGAGGTCAACGAGGACTGCAAGAGGGTCACCTCGAGTCACTCTCCTCACGTTAGACACTGGGGTGACGCTTTGACCTGCAACCCTCAGTCTGTCGCCGAGTTGCTGCGCTCCCAGTGCCCCTCAGACACCTTGGTGCTCGTGTGCTCGAGCCCTCCTTGCACAGACTTCAGCCAGATTCGCTCCCGTCAGCCTGGGCTTCAGGGTAGCGAAGGTTGTAAGTTCAGGTTGTGGGTGGCCTGGTTTAAGAAGTTCCGGTCAGCGTTGAAAAGACAACACGTCTTTTTAGTCGAGAACGTGGTAACAGCGGCCGCCCTCCAGTCAGAACTGAGCAGCCTTCTGCAAACAACCGCCTTTGTGGTTGACGCGGCCTCCTTCGGTTTGACTTCGCGACCGAGACTCTGGTGGTCCAACGTGATCACACCTCCCGGTAGTGACACACCACAAAACCAAACCCCGCCAGTGCTCGCGGGTTTGGCGCGTTGGGGGAAATTTAATAAGTCTTGGCAGCTTTTGCCTAGTTCGCTGGCATCTCCGAGTACTCCCGGTGCAAGATGATCGGAAACTCCTGGCACCTCCCGTCAGCTCGCTTCATCTTGTTCGTTTTGCTGGCCAGTTGTAACGTGATCCCAGTGACAGCGGGACCAGTACCCGAATGGTACCCACGAGTAGATGCTCTACCGTGGAGCTCTAACCTCAACCCGTTAGGGGCCCGCCCGATCGAGCGCGCAGCAAAGATCTGGCTTTCTTCAGGGCTTCAGTGGGATCCCCGAGAACCCCCTAGCTTGCACCTGTCAGGACCCACTGAGGACACTCAGCAGCACTTGCAGTGGGCGCTGTCCCTTGACTCCAACAAGCTGCATTTTTCTGTGAACAACCCGTGTGTGCAGTGGGCTCTCCAGTTCGGGCAGAGCCTAGGTCGTGACCTCAGCCGGTGGAGAGAAGAGCTTGTTCAGGACGTTCGCAGCCTGAAGGAAGACCTCCTGTTCGAGCAGGAACAGTGGCTCCTGTCAGCACCCCAGCACGTGCAGCAAGTCTACCGAGTCTACCGCCAAGGTGGAGAGTCACTGGTTCTTCAACCCCTGGTAGTGCTCCACCTTCTTACCTTGTTCGAGTTTCCTGGTACCAACGAGGTAGCCGAAGAACTCCAGTTCGGCTTTAAGGTGTTAGGCCCCCTTACCCCGGGCACCGGATGGGACGCCCGCCAGGACTCTAAGTACAGCAGGCCTCTCTCCCGTTCGCAGTTCCAGGCGCTCAACACCGAGCACAAACGCGCCTTGTACTCCGACACCAAGGAGTCGGAACACACAGCAACGATGCTTGAAGAGATTGCTAAGGAACAGCTGAAGTCCAGGTTCCAAGCCCCGTTCGAACCGGGCACGATAACATCCGACCAGCAGTCACGCGCTGCACGCGCGTTCCCCGTAGTCCAACAAGACAAAGTGCGACGCGCCGACGACTGGCGCAGATCGCACCATAATAGCACCGTGTTTGTGCAGGACTCCCCCCACCTTACGCGCGGACACAGTCAGTTCTGAACCTGGTTCAGGCGGCAGCCCAGTTCGGCGAGCCCACAGTGGCAGCCCTAGACCACGACGGGGCTTACCGAGCACTTCCCGTTCGAGATTCTCAGGAGTGCTACGTTTTCGTCCCCAACCAAGCCCAACCCAGCGTGTTCCGACATTTGGTGCTCCCGTTCGGAGGCACGGGCAGTGTCTGGAGCTACCTGAGGATAGCTGACATCATTTGTTTTCTGACCATCACCATGTTGTTCATCCCGGCAGCACATTTTGTCGACGACTACTTTTACTCCGAGCCGTCACACACCAGTGAGTCAGCCTTCACGTCTTTCTGCCTGCTGCAAGCCTTGTTAGGTTTCCAGATGAAAGAGTCCAAGGCCCAAAAGCCAACAACCCACGCCACCTTGTTAGGCGTTGTGTGGGAGATCCTTGCCGATAGCGTGAAAGCTGGACCCAGTCCTTCTAGGATTTCCAAGCTCCAGAACCTGGTAGAGAAGGCCTTGTCCGAAAACAGACTCACACCGGACGAGGCTGCACACTTGGCAGGCAAACTCAACTTCGTTTGCTCTTGGGTCTTTGCAGGTGTGGGAAAAGCCCTTTTGAAACCTCTTTACACCAGGCAGCACTGCCCTTTCCCCCAGACGTTCTTGAACGAGCCCTTGAGAGCGGCACTCAGGAGCCTGTTAGGCCGGCTCCCTTTGCTAAAGCCGAGGACCTTTCCGCTGAGAAGCTCCCTCAACCCTCACAAGCCACATCTGCTCTACGCGGATGCCTACATAACCCTGGCTGGATCCCGTCAGGCAGCTAGCAAGTGGCTGAAGCAGGCGACAGCTCTTTCGGTCCTGAAGGGCTCTAGCAACGGAGTCGGTGCTGTCTTCCTCTCGCCGTCAGGAGAGAAACTCGCCTTCCGAACAGAAGTACCAGTTAGACTTCTCAGCAAGGTGGCCACGACCAAGGCATTCATTTTTTGGCTGGAGGTGCTGGCCCAGATTATGAGCCTGGCAGCAGTCTCGTCCTCCCTGTCATGAGACGTGGTGTGTTTCGTAGACAACAGTGCCAGTGAGCACGCACTTAAGAAAGGCTACTCCTGTTAGGTTGGTTCTGGAGTTGGGTTGCCTCTAGGAATCTAAACCTTTTCTTTGTGAGGGTCTCCAGCAAAGCGAACTTGTCAGACGCGGCTTCAAAAGGAGACTGGGCACCAAGCGACTCGTTAGGGTGCCGACGCTGCAGCCCCGACTTCAGCAAGACGTGGGACACCTTGCAGAAGTTGACAGAGACCTCTGTGAAGCCCGACGCGGCCCTGTTCGAGAACCTGGTCGGCCTGTTAGCGCTGCCAACCGCCGCCCAGTGAGCCGCGCGTGAGAGTGGTCGTTCCGCGCGGAGTGGCAGACTGCGGACCGACCTGTTCGCCTTGAAAGGGCTTGAGCAGGGGTCCATGACCCGACGCCACGACACTCCGCGGGTAGTGGAAAAGAAGAGCGAACTCCTGTTCGCAGCCGGTTAGAAGCTGTAGGAGCGAGACTTGTCCGGAAGTGCACGTGTGCACCTTGTGACAAGTAGAGCGAAACAGCCGAACTGTGACTTGCCAGTCAGAGCTGTGTCCTCTCGAGTTTTGCCTTTTAGACACCCTCCACACCCGCCCGGAGGCAGACTGCGGACCGACCTGTTCGCCTTGAAAGGGCTTGAGCAGAGGTCTGTGACCCGACGCCACGACACTCCGCGGGTAGTGGAAAAGAAGAGCGAACTCCTGTTCGCAGCCGGTTAGAAGCTGTAGGAGCGAGACTTGTCTGGACCTTCGTGGCCGAGGCAGCGGCTTTCAGCAAGTCAGCTTCGTGAACTCCATCTGCACCAGTCGAGGATGCCGCGCTGGATGTGTTTCTGGGGCCCATAAAAGTCATGGAAAATCCATAGTATAGTATGTTATATTATATTTCACTATACTATTCTTTATACCGGAGGAGGCACGCACGTGAACTGTGTGGCGGAGCAGGCAGGTCGATGGAATTTTGTCTCACGTTTCACGAGCCCCGGGAGCTGCTTCGCTTCGATCTGCCCTGCAGAACCTGAGGTCGTTGCCGCAGTCATGGAGGAGCTGGGCAAGGAGAAAGGGGCCGCAAGCTCAGAGCTCTTCATTGGATCCGTCATTTTCGGTGTAGAGTGTATGGAGTGCTCGAGGCCAAGGGAACTCTGGCTGTGAAGCCACAGCACGTGTGAGTCTGAGTGCAACCGCCATGGAGCAGCGAGAACTGAGTGTTGCGAAAGCCGATTCAATGTGTGTTGAAGTTCGAAGTTTCCGGGAAGACGAAGCGTTGGAAGGTCAAGAATCATTTGTGGGTCTTCGTAAACTGCCTCATTGAGAACCCGGCTTTTGATTCGCAGACGAAGGACCCTTCGGAATGAAGCAGCAAGCGGCAGTGGCCTCCCCGCCTTTCGCACACGCCCAGTTTGAGTTTGAAAGGAGACCTTGACCACGAAGAAGGAGCGCTTCGGCTCAGCGTGTCAGCTGCCGGATTCCCGGGCTGTCGGACTTCGTGTGGGCTTCGAAATATTGCTGCAGCTGCCACTTCCAGGCCCCGTGCAAAAGAAGTGACATGAAGTTGTTTCTGTCAATTTTCAGCATGTCTTCTCGGACTCTGTTTGTGCTTGCGATCACCTGTAAAACTCTGGGTGCCCGCAGAATCGATGCCGGAGCACTGCTACTGTCCTTCCGCTTTCGGACTTGCCTTCAAGCCGGCCCACGTTTCATGACTTTGCTACCACCCACTCTTGTTCTGTCAGTTCCGAGGTTTTCGTTCCATCCATTCCTTTCTCTTGCTGCCCCGAGGCCCAATTTTCAGATTTCAGGCACCGTCACATGTGGCGAAAAGACGAGATTGCAGTCGCGTGGAAGACATGGTAGGCCTGTGCAGAGTGTCCGCGCTTGAGCATCGAGCCGTTCGGATGTCGTCTGCTCCTGCTAGGAAGGACACTGTGGGACAGTCATGACCCACCGCTCACCGTTTGACCCCCCGATCCGAACGCTTGGAGGTTCATGGGTAGTTATACGTAACCATATTTGCGGACCTATAACCCCACTTACAACTACCCATGAACCTCCAAGCAGAGGGCTTTCAAAGCGGATGTTCTGTTGTTTCTGCGCTCACGGATTGAGCCCGGCGAGAACAGGGGCATTTTTGCTTTCGAATAAATGTTGTTCTACTGATGAACCCGGCTGTTACGACGATTGCCTAATCTGGCCGAAGCATTGCAACTCGCCGGCGGATCGAAACGGTTCGTTCAGTGCTCGAGTTTTTCGGATCGAGTTCAGGTCTGAGAAGCTCCTCGCGGATGTGTGCAGCAGCGGCATTGCTCCACCCCCAGCATGGACTTTGTTGAAGATCGCGGTCGATGCTGGCTTAAAGCAGGTCGAGACACTGCTGGAATGGTCCAAAGCCTTGGGCAAAAGCCAGCGTCTCAACAAGTACCCAAGGACGCAAGACAGGACTCTGTTCGGCTGGCGCATGCAAGCTTGCCGTGGATCGGCAGGTGAGTTGGCACGGCATCTCAACAAGAGCGTCATGCCAGCTTTGGTCTTGGGGATGGCGGAGCGTCGTTGAAGGGCAGGTTTGTTGGTGTCCTGCAGCAAGCAATGTGACAGGTCGGGAAGTGAAGTAGCCACAACGTAGCGTTTTGGACGTCGGTTGCGTTGCATTTTCAAGCCTGGTCCCTGCTCCTGCTCCGGCTTCTCCGGCTTGGCTCACAGGAAACCGTTTGTGTAAGTAGAGAGTGCCTTGGTGCACTCGGGACGGGGCGGGCACGCCAAACTGCTAGTCTTCACCGTCGGGATCTCAGCTCCTATTTTGGGGTTCCTTATAATCATAGTATAACATAACCCAAAACCTTATTCTAATTACAAAGGTAGCCCGCAGAGAGCGCCGAAGCTGAGAGCGTCGCCAAGGTGGAGCAGCTTTGGGCTGCATCCACGAATGCAGGGCCCTGGCAATAATGCCAACAACATCCGGATGGGTGTACCCAACATGATGATGGGCATGGGCCAAGGCGGGACAAGTGGTCAGATGGGTTGTGACTAAAGTTGCCACCAAAATTGATGTTGAAACGAGTCTTGACGCAGCTCCTTTGCTTGGGAACCCTGTCTTGGCAGGCATGCGAATGCCCATGGGAATGCCCATGATGGGCATGCCCATGATGGGCATGATGGGCATGCCCATGAATCCCATGATGGCCATGCCGATGAACCCCATGATGGGCATGGGCATGAACGCCGGCATGGGCATGAACCCCGGTATGCCAGGCCAGTGCATGGCACCTATCCAAGCTGACACTGCCAGACTGCACTGCATAGCACTATCCCCGCTCTCTCTACGACTCTACAACTGACTAAAGTATGCTCCAGTCTTATGGCGGCCGCGCATGTCTTTGCTTTGTTCCCAACCTCCCAGGCGCCCAGTCGCCGTCGCCGTCCGGACAAGGAGCCGACCGCAGTAGCGATCTCATCTGCGGCTTTGGAGGGGGGGACCTCACTTGTTGAGCTTTCCAGCTTGGTCGGGTCGGCAGCACGTGTGATAACAGCCAGTTTTGCAGCAGGAAGAACTTCTGCTCGTCAGACGCTGTTTCCATGTGCAACTCCAGGTGCTGGGGTGAGTCCTGCAGCTAGCACGGCTGTGGTGCCGCCAAAGGTCGACACTCAGCCGTGCTCTCGGAGATTGTCAGTTCGTTTACCATTCCCTGCTTGAGTCGATTGCGCTTGAAACCGGAACGCAGCTGAGGCCCATACCAGAGTCTAAAGTGCTTCCACCGCACCTCCCGCCGGGTGTCGTGCCACCGGGTGTCGTGCCGCCGGGTGTCGTGCACCGCGAGCGAAGCCGCAGTCGAGACGCCGTGCGGGTACCAGCGAAGGCGCGGCAGGAGACCGGCCAACGACTTTTGGAAGACACCTTTTTGGGATTTCCTTGAGGCTGAGCAGGAGCCCGAGCCAGCTCGGGAGCCAACGCCTCCTCGAGAGAAGACGCGGCGGCCTAAATCTCTTTGGGAAGAGGGTCCCTCCTTGGGTCCCGACCCGTTGGCCACCTGGGACGTCCTTGAAGATCTTCAGAACTTGTCCTGCGGGAGGCCTCCCAGATGTCATCTTCACAACACAAAGAAGCCCAACACAAAATGCAAGTTCTGCCAGCCGCCCGGGCATGATTGTGCGGATGGGTTGGATTCCTTCGTGGCAGGTGCCCAGCGGCGAGTATGAAGACTTGTAAATGCTCCCTTTCCTTTGTTGCCAGGAGATGGGTGGCAAGTCAAAGCCAGGCCCAGCCCGAATCTGACAAGGCACGGTGTCGCCCTCAAGGAAGCCACTACTTGAGTCCGTGTGCAGTGCCACGGACAGGCTGACAAAGAAGGCTGGGCTCTCAGCGACACATTCCACTGGACCCAGGATGACCCACATCTCAGCACCGACCATCTTGCGGCCACACTTTTCCCGGCATTTGTGCCCGCGCTCCTTTGCTGAGGCAAGCACAAGGACGACAAGTCCAAACCCAAGGATGCAGAAAAGGCCCAGGCGCTGCCGCGCTTGGAAGTTTCGTTGCCGGCACTACACGGCTAGGGTAGCTTGTTGTCCTGACACTGTTCAGCTTGAAGTGAGCAGCTGCCACCTGTGCATTGGACAAGGAAGACGAGGAAGACTATTCTCGTCGGACTTTCAAGTGCAGTAGCTTGCTCAAGGACAGCTCCTGTACGTCCTCTTGCATTTGGCTGGTGCAATTGCTGTTTCAGGTCATGGTGGGTGGTCAGGTCATGTCAATAACATCGGTGGATCCAGCAACACAAGATCGCTCTTATAGTTGTCAGCGACAGCAGCACTATCATGAACACACGGCTGGTGGTCCTGGGTACCTGCAGCGTAGACGTAGTGGTGGTGGAGGTGATCGTGGTGGCAGCGGTGGTGGTGCTGGATTTTGTGACATGTGTCGTCAGCGGAAAAGACAGCTGCGTCAGGACCAGATCTTTGGCTCTAGCTACTTCAAGAGCCTCTTAGACATCAGCGATCTCGACCCCTTGACGGAAGAGATCGCTAAGTACGTCGACCCCTTTGTGCTTGCAGAATTGAAATTGCCAGGGTGCTTTGTGACACGCAGTGTTAGCAGAGTTTGTGTTCCAGCATAGCAGCACCTCCCTGCAAACACCGGCATGAAATACTCAGCTCGCCCAGGCCGACACCCTCGACGTGTACAACTCGGGGAACAACGTGCATCCTTCCTGCTTCATTTGTCAGGCAGGAACGTGCAAGCTACCTGTTCCCATGGCCGTTGTCTGCGGTTGTCCTTCGTGTAGCAACACGGGTGTCGGCCTTCGTTGCATCTTGGAGTTCCATAGCTGTGTTCGTACTGTAAGGTCTATCGCCTCTTCACGCTCCCGCAGTCGGAAGACTTGGATGAGCTTTTGGCACACCTGGATGCGAACCCTTCTGCCAAGGTGCCATGAACCCCCAAGTCAGGATTTCATTTCTGGTCGCTAAAAGTTTAGAAGACCTTCGTCTATGGCATCAGGTTCGCTGTGCCGCCTTCCTGTACGTTCGCTTTGTGGTGCCCCTGCCATCTGTGACCGAGTTTCAGAGGTCCGGGCAAGCTTGCATGATCCTGAACTTACGAGGTACCTCCACACAAGCTGTGGGACAAGCTAGACGAGGCCCTCTTTGACGACCAGGAACTGAAGTATGTTGATGGCGACAAGCAGGCCTGACATGCAAGCCAACACAATTGGTGACGCTTGGCTTGTTGCCGTGATGTTTCTGTGGTAGGTTACTACCACCATTCGAGAGTATGTGGAGAATCTGCTGGTCAAGGCTTTGCGGCCTTTGTGCTGGTGTTGTTGCCTCCGCACTAGCCTCCCAGTTGACATGCACTTCAGGCATCTTGCTCTTGCGTTTCTTCAGACTCCGCATGTGCTTTACATCTTCTGGGCTCCAAAGGACAGATACTACAACACTCCGCTGCCGAGAATTCCAGTGAAGGCCGGTCCCGGGACCCTGTTAAGGAATTTAACTTAAGACTTAAGTTATCATTGGTTACCATCTATAAGGATTCCTTTAAGGGACTTATCAAGGTGCCGTTAAGGGTTTAGGGTTTAAGGGGTTCAAATTAAGTTACCATAGTAGGGGTCTATTGTAGATAACTTGGTTTCCTTATTATGGTACCTTAAATTAAATCCCTTAACAAGAACCCAGCTGTCTGCTGTTGGCTCCAGGGTCCTCTCTCCCACTGCAGTCACGCAGTGGATGTCAGGTCTTTGGGTTTATCAGACTCCGAGGGGACTTCGCTTCCGTGTTGCGGTATGCAGAGTGTGCTCACCCTACACCCTTAACTTAACCCTAAACCCCACACCCTAAACCCTACACTCTAAACCCTACACCCTAAACCCTCAACCCGACACCCTTAGCGCTAGCTGCCCCGCAGCTTTTCCGAGGTTCGGCAGCATTTGGAGAAGGAGCTTGCTCCCCTCTCACAGCCTGGGCCTTACATCAGAGAGGCCAAGACCCAAGACTTCGGTAGGATGACTTCGAAGGCAAGGAGATGTCACATACCATTTAACTTATTCCATAATATGCATGAGATATGAGATTTGGGATGCTAGCCGCTACATTCTGTGCGTTCCATAGCATATTTTTGTATGAGATGTTGGATATCGCCTATTATCAGTCCCGGACCTTCGCAGACTTCCAGGTTTCGCAAGCGCATGGCTGCGGTCCAGAGGGAACTGCCTCCAAAGAAGGTCCGGTGGTGCGGTTTCAGGGCCCAGGAGCCTGGCGCTGCAACGACTCGACCTTGCATTTTCACGGCTCCCGAATCCCTAAAACCCTAAACCCTAAATCCTAAACCCTAAATCTTAAAACATAGATCCAAAACCCTAAATCCTAAACCCTAAGTCCGAAAACCCTAAATCCTAAGCCCTAAATCTTAAAGTCTAGGATTGAGGTCCCAGGTTCCAGGTCTGAAGAGAGTGCTGCATCGGAGGTTGCCGGCACAGCCGTGGAAGTTTACGTAGATGGCAACTGGCTGCCCGGCCACATCAAGAGCTACGTAGGCGCGGCGCGATGGGAGACGGACAGACTTCTACGGGTCTTTTAACCGAAATCTTGGAGTTCAAAGGGCCTTATCAAAGCAGAAGAAAGCAGAACTCGAAGCCTTGATTTAAAGGTCTTCGTGGATGCAGGAAAAGTAGAGAATCCGGAGCCTTGAAGGGCTTCAACAAAGCGGACAAAATCGAAGGGTTGGTCAAGTGTAGGAAGGCCATCGGTCGGGAAGAAGTGGTCAGAGTACGAATTCCAGCACTGAGGTGCCGGGTTGGTGTAATGTAGGAGCCAAAATAAACGCTATTCTAATTGTTAAGGCCCCCACATTATTGAGTTCAGGCTTCAAGGGCGAGCCAGACTTCCCAGGCTTGAGTGATCATGCCTTCTCGGCATGACACCTGAGTTTCCTCGAGGATTGGCACTCATCCCTTCTTGCATCCTTGATTCTGGACCCGGTTCTCTTTTTGTTGTTGCGCACCCGGGTGAAATTCGGTGACACGTTCCGGGGAGGCCGCCAATGCTAGCAAAGATCGCGTCTTCAGCAGGGTTGTTGATATCATATTTAGCACAGAGTCGACATCCGTTTCAAGGCCAGTCATTGTGAGTTTAGGGTTTCTTGCATCTCATGTCTGCATTTTTTCGGATTTGATCCATCACATTTTGGGGTTTGAGGTATTGCAGGCCACAGACTTTGTATTGTCCTGTCCCTCCCACAATCTCTTTTTGTTCAGCCCATTGTAAGTTGGGGCCCTGCCCCTTAAAGGAGTCCAGAGAAGCTAGCCACTGGTTGGTGAGTGACAAGTTTTCTTTCGGACTGATCAAGAAGCGAAGAAGCCAGCCAGTGACGGTGACAGCCCTTCATCCCTGGCGACGCAAAATACCGAAGCCGAATCCCAAATATGGGGAGGGTTCCTCTACTCGTGCCGCAAGGCCAGCACAAGCGCAAAGTGAGTATTCAACTTGACGATGGCGCGATGGTACAGTCCCACTTGGGAAAGGCCGGGAATGCGACAGGTGCAGCAACCAGAAGGGTCAAATAGTGGCACGTTGAAGTGTATCATCTCACTTCATGTGGTCACGGCAGGACTAGAATGACTAGAAGCCATGACACACGTTTTTTCCAGTCCGGAGACCACAGTCAGCAGCTGGCACTATGGCCTCAGCCTGCGATCCTGATTCCAAGGAAAGGCTTTGGAACCAGATCGGAATCCAGAGCTGCAGCAATTCGTAATCTCAGATTGTTACGATGAATCAATGGCTTGGGTTTTCTCGAATATCATCGCCTCGCACCGCTCCGATGAACCGCTGATGAGATGTTGGACATCCTTCGGCAGCTTAGTCCCGCGACCCACGACTTTCCCTGGCTTCAGGTTGTGCTGAGAGATGAGGAAGTATCTGACAAAGACAAGGAGAAAGACAAGGACGACAAAGAAGAGAAAGATGAGGCTGTGGTCGTCACATGGCACGGCACGAGGAAATGGGTCCTGGTATTTCTACTAAGCAGGGCTGCCCAGGCCTAGGCCCCATGCCACGGATCTGCAGAGCTGTTGTCGGGTCGTGTTGGTGGAGACCCTGGTGGCTGGTGGGGTCCACACCAGGGACTGCCCTGGAGGGGTTTGCAAGTCGATACTCGTACGTCGCAGCGTATGTCGTGCATCCAGATCCAGTAAGCTACACGTAGGTAGAAACTGTCACGCTTTCACGATCCGACCGATCCTTCCTGGAAGAACAAGGACGAGAAGAAGGAGGGCGATGAAGAGGAGAAGACAAAGGACGAAGCACCTTTGACCTTGAATCTTAAGGGCGAAGCAGTCTCTTGGGGCCGTCACGGCCCCAAGGGCACCATGCCGAGTAGAAAAGCCCACCCTGGACATTTAAAGGCGGGTTTCCTCTCACGTCTGGCGCCACAGACCTTGGATGATTCATACGTGGTAACTCCGACAAAGGACCACGACCAGAGAAAGAAAAAGAAAGACAAGAAGGCGGCCCGCGTAGTCCGAGAAGCTGTTTCAGACTGTTCCATTGCGCTGGCAAAATAACCGATAACCTTGGCTGTCGGAAGGACGACCGGGACAGCAGTCGCAGCAGAAGTCGTAGCCGCAGCAGACATCGCCCAGTGCTCAGCATCGCGGTCTCAGCCCACTGCTGCGGAAGGTCGCTGAGGACAGAACTTTACGCCTTGCTCTGACTGTGTTCAGGTAGTCGTAGCCGCAGCCGCAGACGTGGGAAGCCCTGCGGGAGCGGATTGTTGGAGAACCGGTCTGGGTCTCGGCGCAGCTTCCAAGGTCGCGGTAGCTCTCCAGATTGGGCGCGCTACAAGGCCAGAGGAAATAGACTCAATAGATCTACGAGACAGAGCATCTGGAAAGTCACTGACAGGGCTCCATGGATCCCAGCGAGATAGAGAGGCTGCGAGAAAAAGCTAGAGAAGAGGCACGAACGGGACTGCTTCAGGGGTGTGCTTACTGGCAGCCGGCCCAAGCCAGGCAGTGGTCGGTGTGGGCAAGGCCTACTCCAAGAGACCAACCACTGTCGAGGGTGAGATGTGGCGGGGAAGCGGGCCGATCGCTGAGTGACCATCATCTTCAGTCCTCCGTTCTCTATCGTTCTCTGGCCTTAGTCACTTCCAATACCTGTTACGAGTATTTGTAATGAGGTCCGAAGGGCGCGTCTCCATGCTCGGCGGCTCTCACAGCTATAGTGGAGGCCTCAGTCACTGCTGCACCGGGTCGATGCCCAGGCTGTTGCATGTGCAGCATGAGCAGAGCAAGATTGCTTCCCGTAGAATCCCGTAGAGCCTTGCTTGCTTTCACTGCTGACAAACAGCCTTCTTGTCTCTAGCTAGCCTGGAGGCAAATCTAACAGAAATGCTCCACATCAATAGTCCCATAGAGCAGTGCTGGTCACGCTTCATCTTGCCCTTGCCAGGCTCGACCCGATCTTCCGGCGCAAAGGGTCCCTCTGACACTGAGATCAGGAGCAGGATCTCACGTGAAGAGGAAGAGGTGCGGTTTCCACATGCTGGTGCCCTTTCCCCAGAATTCCTCACACCAAAAACCTGCATGTCGAAGGAGCACAAGAGGCGAATGCGAGAGATCTATGAGAAGTACGGCTCTGTGTCTGCCCCTCGCGGATCTCATACGGCAGGAACCAAAGCATCAATCTCCAACTTCCAAATGCCTGAGGTCAAAAGCGACATCCGGTAACACGGGGACACAGCGCTCCTCAGAGATTGACCAGCCAGACGTGCTCCGCTTGGGCTGACCTTGTGCCGCGTGAAAAAGATTTGATTCTTTGTTGGAAGAACCTCACCATACCTCACCTCTGTCACGATAGTCTGTGCCGGATCAGAGACCCTGCACGGCCATGGCTTGATTTTCACGGCAAGCACGAAGGATCAGGGCCATGGGTGCTTTGCGCTCCACTCGCCACATCTTGCCAGGATCTGGGTCTTCAGAAGCGCCTCTTCGGAATACCGAAGCTCGAGGACGCCTGTCTGCAACTGCTTGGAGTTGCTTTGCTTTGCTCCGTTTGGCAGCAGGATGCGAACAAGGCCGGCACCAAGCAGTCTCGGGACTGCACTCTCATCATCACGGAAGGAGATTCGGCCAAGGCGGGGGTCTCTCATAGCAGAGGTGAAAGGAGTATCTGCCTCCTTCAGCGGCCAGCCAGGCTCTGGCAGTGGCCGGCTTGAGCATCGTAGGCGAGGGCTCCGCTGGATTGCTTTCATTTCGCAGAGCTGCGCTGCCCAAGCTTTCGACGCTTCTCTGCCCTCACGAGGCCGGGATCACTACGGGGTGTTCCCACTCAGAGGAAAGCTAAGGCACCTTCTGCTCACCAGATTGCTGCGCTGCTTCCTGCCGCTTTGCTGGTAGAGTCTCGCAGCTTTCTTCAGTGAGCCTGGCGGCAGGAACGTCAGGGAACTGACGGAGAAGCAGATGATGGATAACAAGGTTCTGATCTATCGTTCCTTCTCTGAGGAAGCTGCTTTGCACTTGACTCGCATGCTGAGGAGATTGAGGCTCTGATGAAGATCATGGCCTTCGACGTATCCAAGAAGTACCAGGCCGCAGCAAAAGCCCCTTCTGCTCAAGTCGAAGGTGACAGCTACAGTTGAATCTTAAGTCAGCTGTCATGTATTGTGCTGGGCACACCAGGATGCAAGCAGCTTGCGGTACGGCTCCTTGATGATTATGACGGACCAGGCCCCCGCCCCTTTCATCTCGCGTGCAGATGAGTCAGCCAGGAAAGGCAGTGGAAATTGCAGGACTTCGACGGATCCCACATCAAGGGCCTCGTCATCAACTTCATAGAGCACTGGTTCCCTGGCCTGGCCTGGCCTACTCGCCTCGATGTAATTTTTCCCGTGCCCTTGATTTGACTCAGGTTTCCTGGCCTCCTGCAGTGTGAAGGCTTTCTGCGCGAGTTCGTGACACCAATCGTTAAGGCTGGGACTAGTCACAGGTCTCAAGAAGCAGTTCTTTGCAGAGTGCCTGCAGGTCAGCAGGGGTGATGAAGTGGTCACCTTCTTCACGGTGTCTTGTTTTGATATGGATGCCTTCTGAGGCTTAAGCCCTACAGTTGAATAATCACTGATGGATCGCAAGGTGGCTGAGTACGAAGCCTGGAAACAGGCTAACAACGGTGGCACGGGGTGACTCCGGCTGGTTTGGAGTGTTTTGTATCAGCCACAGCGATTCCGTGGCCTTACAGCTCGGCCTGAAATCGAGGCTTGCAGAAGCCTTGCTTCAGGTGGGCTTGCAAGTACTACAAGGGGCTCGGAACCAGCACTTCTGCAGAGGCGGAAGCAGTTTCATGCACCCTTTCAAAGTTCTTTCGGGTTTGAGCTCTTGCTTTTTCAGGCAGCGGTCGTGGAGTTTAGATCATAAATCATAGCAGGCTCGAGAAGAAACAGGTCTCTTTAACTTCAACGAGGCTCGGGAGTACTTCTCTGACCTGGAGCAGCACGAGCTGACCTTCCTGGCCAGTGAGAAGGCAGCTGCCTCTGAAAATCAGGGTGGCAGTCATGACGTTGCTACTTGGAGGTTCATGGGTAGTTGTTATAAGTAGGGTTATAAGTATGTAGGGTAATTATACTTATAACCCATACTAGGGGACTTTTAAGCCCACTTAAAACTACTCATGAACCTCCAAGTACAGTCATACTGGTGAGATCTTATGACCAAGTACGCCCTTGGTGATTTCTAGCTGCTGCAGGATCACGACCTTGTTGAGATGGCCTTCCATCCCAGGAAGGCTGATGCACGCAAGGAGCCTTCCGTAACCCATCGTGACCCTGATAGGGTGTCTTTCTCTACGACAGTGTGAGTAGGTTCCGTGCAGGTGCAGTCTCAGAAGATTGGGGAACGCTGGCAGCCCGTGGCCCACAGCCAAGAAACCCACCGAGCTTTTCCGTCCCGAGCAACTCACAGCACTCTGCGAGGAATGTACCTTTGCCAGACACTGACAAACCAACGAAACAGTCAAAGCTGACAACGCTGCCATTGTGCCCATGCTTGCTGCAGATGGCCTCGGCAGTGTATTCCAGCGATTAGCACAGACGCAGCCCAAAGCTCCAGCTGTGCTGGACAGAACTGGCGTCTGGAATTACGCGCAGTTATGGGATTCTGCGGGGCGCATATCCTGCTTCTTCGCAGAGAGAGGTTTGAAAGCCTCGCCTTCGACAGAATTCGCCCCACGACCCATTGCGATTTTCCTGCGGCAGGGTCGGGAGTGGTATGCTACTTGCATTGCAGCCTGGATCTTGGGCATCCCCGTCGTTGCATTAAGCAGCGATCTTCCAAGTGGACAGGCCGAAGCTGAGCGGGCCAAGCGGGTCGCCAGCGAGCTGAAACCGCTGGCGCTGGTCTCGGACGACTCGGCGTTTGAAGTGCCATGCCTGCCGGAGGACTGCTTGCGCCTCTCGCTGGAAGAGGTGCGCAGCGCCATATCAAGCTGTAATGGGCGGAAGCCCGCAGCGTGTGCGTCTTCGGAATCTGTACTTTGCTACGTCTACACCGGGGGTACGACACGGCACAGCAAATGTGTTGCGGTAACCCATGCAATGGCATTATGGGAGATCCAGCAGTACAAGACGGCCCTGGGTGGCCTGGCGAGCGAAGGCGACAGGATGCTGCAGTACTCGTCTGCGTACTGGGGTGCCGCCATCTTTGGCCAAGCAGACCTGGCCCTGGCTTTCGGCGCATGCAACGTAATCATCCGAGCGAGCGCCCCGGAGGAGATTGCGGCCATTTGTGCGGAGCATCAAATTTCAGTGCTGGGCATTGTGCCATCGCAACTGCGAGGGGCATGGCCCGGTGGACCAAGCACGAGACCAAGAAGCTTGCGAGTGCTTATCGCATGGGCTGAGAAGATTCAACCCAAGCTAGCTAAAGAATGGCTTCAACACCTGCCTGTCATCGAGATACTGATTGCCTCTGAGTACTGGCTTTGCCTCTCCTCGGTTGGATGTCGGACGTGGAAGGATCCGGATGACGGCATGGAGCGTCATGTTCTGGACCCTCTACCCGACCTCGACATCAAGCTGCTGAAGGAAAATGGTTCGGAGGCAGAGGCCGGGGAGAGTGGCGAAATGTTCTTGGCAGGCCCGACGGTATTTGCTGGCTACGTGGGGGCAGACGGCCGCATCAGCTGCCCAAACTTTCGGTACCTCGACGCCAAACGGTACTATGGAACCCGCGACCGACTCAAGCGTGTTCCTGGGGGTCGTGGTCTTGTATATCTCGGACGAACCGACTCTTTGGCAAAGGCTGGCGGTGCATGGCAAGATCTTGAAGCAGTCGAGGCTGCAGCCACAGAAGTGTCTCAGCAAGCACTGGCAGCCATGAAGGCACTGAATCAGGTGGCAGGTTCAGATGAGTCTTACCAGTTTTGTGTATGGTAGACAACCACGGACAAAGTTAGGGAACCCCCTCATTTCAGTCTTGCCATCTGGCCCAACATTCCTTCTCAGGTTACATGTTGAATGCAGACTTCAACACGGGGCTTCAAGTCAATACACTAGTCACCCAGGTTCCAGGCGTGTCAGCGGCTGCGCTTGTTGCCTGTGATGGCAGTACCGATGCCTACCTGGTCCTGGAAGACATGCGTGATGGAGCTGGAAGAGCTCGGGAAGGTCCACCACTTACCGCTGTGCTGGACAACGTAATGCAAAAACTGAAGCCTGCTGCCGGCAACTCGAGACCTCACATTTGGGCACGGCTGCCCCTGCACCCAGCTACGAGCAAAGTGAATCGGCAAGTGCTCCTTGCGCAGCGGAGTGAAGCCACTGCGCGGGAGACGAACTGGCACGAGAGGCTCCACAGCCTCCAGCGCCGAATGCTAAGGGGCTACGCAGCATGGCACGTTTTATTCGGCATCTTGATGCTCCTCAGAGCTTCTGTGGAGACACCGGCTCCGACGCCGACTCTTTTGCAAGGGCCTTGGCCGTAAATCGTGGTGAGGGCGTGTTTCAGGGTCCTGTTGCACCGAGGCTCGACATTCTGGGCCGAGCCATGCTGCTGCCCTACGTTTGGGGGGCCGCCTCGGCCCGACTTACAGCAAGTCAAAGCAGTCGCTTGTAGTCAGACTTGCCAGGTGCTGCTCTATCTCTGGCATGGAACAAGCAAGCAGGCCCGATGGACCGATGGAAAAGCCGGCAGCACTGTTGATGTTTTTTGTTGAAACCGCAGAAACGCAACTGGGTGAATATGACGATGCCGCTGGGACCGCCGGATGCGCTCGCGGTCCTTGTCCTGGCTTGAGCCCCGGATGTTGGTCAAGTCGTTTTCAGGCATTGATGCTGGGTCTCCAGCCTGGCTGGAGCCTACTCTGGTCAACATGAGCAGGCAAAGGCTGAGGGAGACAGCAAGACAGCTTTGCTGCGCAGCAAGAAGCAACTAGATGGCTGGAAACGAAGCTGATTGGACACTGTGGTGACGACGTGATAGGATGCCCAGACAGAGCGTCTCTAAGATGTTTAGACACAATAATTGATCTACAACAGTCATGGGGTGGAAAGCCACAAATCTTGTCGTGACGATCCCAAACGAAAGGAAAGCAGTAGACGTACATGCTTCTGCATCGAGTAACGCACCCGATGCGCGACAGCTGAGCTTCCATGAGCTAGGGACCATTGTCAAACGAATGGGCACTTGTGGGCTTGGTTTTCAGTGTTGATCGTCATACTATAGTACTGTTGTATCATAGTGTTCAAATACTCTAATGGTACTATAGTACTGTACTACTATAATGATTCTATAGTACTAAAATACTATAATAATATTATAGTACTAAAACTATAACAATAGTTTCGGAATCGAGGCTCCGCCGACTTGGATTCTTTGGCCGTGCATCCTCCTGGCCTCGGCTGTGTCCGGCTCCCGGCCATCTTTCAAGTGAATCCTTAGCTTTGTCATAGTTGGGTAACATTTTACCTTCTTGTGGGTACTTATACCCAAGAAGGAATCAGCAACTAAATTCTTAATACCATCCCAACCATGAACTAGTTGGAGTGGTCAGAGGTGCTCTGATTGCTCCGGTTGACACTAAACTTGCACTTGTGATATCTGCTGCTGCCTCCGCAGTTGCGGCTTGAGCTCAACCAGCAGAGCTGCAGGGTCAAGACCTCACGGGTATTTCATGGTCCATAGTATGACTGTTTGTAAATTCCCAGCTGTCTAAAGGCATCATTGACAGTTTACATGGTGTGTATCGAATTTTAAGCATGTCCAAGACTCGACTGGAACGTGACATCAAAAGTGTTCAGTGCGGTGCGATGTCCGTAGAAGACCGGGCGTTCGGTCCAACTTACGGCAATGCGCCACGTACGGAGTGGCCTTTGTCGATTCCTAGCTGGAGTTCTTTGGGGCATCTGCGTGCCTTGGACATGCAAATCTTCCGTCTCTGCTTTGGCGATGGTTCATGGATCCCTGATTCGCTCCACCGCCATGTCAGGTCGCTGCTCCGTTCCCGCAGATGCTGTCCTTCCTCCGTCCATGCGCAACAGTGCTTGAGCGAAGATCCCCTGTTCTGGGACGGCCCGGATGCGTGGCTGCAACGCAGACCAGTACGTTTTGTTTTGAGGTTTAAGTTAAGGAGAGGAGGGCAGACTGCGCACGGCAGCGCACTGGTACACCTGGTACTGTCTGACTCTAGGCTTCGATAGTTGGAAGCACCATGCGAGGACGCTAGGAGGGAGCGCATCTCGAGAATCTGCGCAATGGAATTGTCAGGTTCGTTGCGCCCACGCAGTGCCGCTTACTGCAACTGCATCTGGCAAACCGGTAGTGCTGGACCGGCTCTGCCGTGGCTGGCCTCTCGGCCGCGACACAGGACTACAATCCGTTGATCGGTTGGTAGCTCGGGCGAAGTGTTCATGAATCTCAACTCGAAGCATGCATCGCGTGGGTCTTCTTTGCGAATGCAAGGTCGATACATCAGATTCGGGGTGGCTACCGCTTCAATGGTGATGATATCCTCCTTGCACGGGAAGCCTGGCGTGCGGCGCCCGCTGCACGAAACCTGCTCGATCTGGGCGTGGCCCGGCAGCAAAAGGCCCAAAGGGCACCCCTCCAGCGCTGCAAAAGCGCTGCAAGAGAGCAGAGACTTGCGGGCGATTTCTGAGGCTGGGACCGGATCGGTTGGCTTCTTCTGGCTCGCCCAACAGCCGGGCCAGTCGCGACTGACGGCTCTGGAGGTCGGGTCCAACGTGTCGCTTTGCAGGTCGGCCGAACTCCTGTGCAGGCGCAGGAAGAGAGCTCCGAGCTTCTCAACCGGAGCGTTCGGCTTCTGGGCTTGGAGCCTCGAGTGCGCGTTATCCACGGTGATCTGCGGGATGAAGGCACCAAGCCCAAGCATGCACGGAGCGGCTGCCTCTCCCGTGAGTGGCTGTTGGCGCAGGCATAGTGCAGGGCCTCCAGGCCAAGTATGATTTGGTTACCGCCAACCCGCCGTACATCCTTCCTGGTGACAGGCCGGACTTTGTGCCTCTTTCCTTCGTCCAACATTGGTCGTGTACCGTTGCCAGGAAGCTACCATCCCACAGCCAGCGCCGTTACTGCTACTACGAGCTGCGGGGTGGACCGCGTGAATTTGCCCAGACTGCATCGAGATCACTGTCCGAGGAGGGCAAGTTCTGCATTGTCCACGCCCCTTCCTTGCATCCTTCGTGCTGGTGCATGCCATGCGTGGGCTCAGGAGGGCGAACGATGAAGAAACAGCCAGGCCTCTAAAAGACAGCCTTTCCAGGTTGCAAGCCGCAGCGCTGACGTGGACCGCGCGCTGGCGGACGTGGGCCTGAAGACCGTCCGGCGCCTCACTGCATCCTCCAGAGGAGAGCCGAACCTTGGCAGGAACCAGATTATATTATAGTAGAATGCATGCATATCATAATAGGAAAGAGTAAGGTATACCATATCAGCATAGTCTATAGATTCTATAGTATGATAATGGCAATGACCTTCAAGGAAGTGGCAAGTGCTGGTTTGCAGCCGATCGCCATCGGATCTTGCAGTTGACGAAGAGGAGCTTATCGTCTCTGGGTAGCAAGGAGCTTCTTTACGTCCTGAAACCTCTTGGTGCATAAGCAATGTGGGAGTTTCCGAAAATTAGGGGTACTGTAAAATGACATATATTTGTTTTAAGGGTCCCCTATTTTCGGAAACTCCCATGCAACAGCCAGAAACAATGAGGTCCGAGACGAGTCTGGGCGCTGGACAAAGGAGTGGGATGCGATTTGCCTTGAGATGGGCGCCTTCCAGAAGCCCTTGTACGACAAAAGCGAAAAAGAGCATCGTGCGAAGCGATCAAAAGAGGGAACTTCAGGCGTGTTCTCTGAGCCTTGGAAGCAGTCACGATGTCTACACTGAGGTTGTCCTGGATTCGAGATCGCGATGCTGTTGCCGTCGCGACTGCTCTGGCTCTGCACTCACACGAAAGTCAATGTGCTGTCGCGGCGCCGGACGACGCTCAAATCTGCGCTTAGTTGGTAAGTTTTGTGCATGAGGTCCTGTCTGTGGGCATGTTTCGCATCGATCTTCTCATCCTTGGGATGGTAGGCCTGCTCCCTTTCAGAGATTCGAAGCTCAACGGTGCCACTTGTGATTCACTTGCAAGGCCTGTATCTGCAGAGGCCCAGCAGGACCCGGAGACAGTGAAGAGGTCTCAGCCACTGTTCTGCGGAGACTTGGGCAGCCGTATCTCAGGATATGCTTTCTGCTCAGCTTGCCGTCTGCTTATGTGCCGATCTCGGAGTGGTCAAGCGTCCTCTGCTGTGTCGCCATCGAACAGACTTAAGTCTTAAGTAGCCTTGCAAGTGCTGATCAGGTCCTGTCCTTCCCCAAGTGGTGCAGAGATGTGCTGGCCTCGGAATGCCCGGCGCGAAGCTGCCGCCACGGAAAGCCGGCACACCCAGGAGTTCATCTACAGATCCATGTGGCGGAGCTCCTACTTGCGTCCAGGGCTCCAGCTTTCGCCAGGAAGCGTTTGGGAGCTTTCGCGAATCCACTGGTCATGTCAGGTCGCTTCATTCTCCGTTGGGTGCCCATTCTCCAGAAGCCGGAATTCGACGGGAGTATCTCCTTCCAGCCCAAGTCGGTTGCATACGACTGGGGCTCTGACGAGAGGTGCGCCGGCTTTCTGAGAGACTTTGCTGCTTTTCAATCCAGCAGAGCTCGCTTCGCTGGAGGTGGGTGAACGTTTATCTGGAGCGAACCCAGAAAGACGACAAGTCCACCGTTGGTTTCTGGGAGCCGGTACGTCCAGCTGTCCTCCCACGGTTGGAACCAGAGGTGTCTTTGCCAAGCTTGGTGCACAACGGCTCGGTCTTGCATAGAACTTCTTGGCACTCACCGCTGCAACATCGAAGGCGGACGCCCATGTCAGCAACGGCGTAGCAGCCAGTTCAGGCACGCTTTTCTCCACGAGCTCCGAGTCCGAGTCAGTCTAGTCTAGTGTGGACAGGGCGCTCCTCCTCGCCCGGAGTGGCTTCGGCTTCGAGGGCCGAGTCGTCGAGTCTCGAAGCAACCTTGGCGATCCTCGTGGGGCGCGTTGGCGGACGGCCACCAAGCCTGGCCTCCTTAGACTCCCTGCTGCTCGGTTTCAGGTGTGCACTTCTTTCCAGATCTCTCCATCTCTGCGTCTTTACTTTTGCAGCTTCCGAGTTCCGAGGCAGAGCATCCGCTTAGTGGAGCTGGTGCGACGGGAATTGGGTTTCGTCGCCACCTCCGCCATGGTACTGCGCTCCGCAGACGTCCACGCTTTGGCCGAAGCCATCCAGCGCGAGGGTTCGCAGGCCCACCAATGCTCCCGCCAGGACGGGCAGAGAGTTTGGATGCCACCTTTGGTGTGTTCCGTCTTCATCTTGGAAGGAGGAGGGCACCCAGCCGGACGAAGAGGGCGCCTATAGATTGTACATCATGGAGTTTGGGAAGTCTCCCGTGGATTGGTGCCCATCTTAGTCTGGCAGCATGTCGTGGAGCTTCCCAAGCCCCAAAACCTCTGGGGTGCCGAGGTGCGTCCGCTACGGGGGCCCAGGTCACCTGGACGTGGACGCCTTGCAGAGAGCGTCGGATCGTGCCTGTGCCCGCCACTCCGCGCTGCGCACCATGGAGCTTAGAGATGAGGGCATGCGAGAGGCCATGGACCGTGCAGCGGCCATGTGGCAGCGACTCGGAGAAGAGAGAGGGAAAAGTGGGGGAAGTCTAGAGTCTAGGGTCTACTTGTAGTTTCTTCGGTTCTCAGATGCTCTCACGTGTTCTCACACTCTCTGTATCTCTAAGCGGTGTGCGATTGCCTTTCAACACGCCTGCACTTCTCCGAGGCTCGTCTGCTCGGCCCACGGCACCACGAGCTGGAGGTGGTCGGCAGCTCGCAGGGCGATGCGCGCACTGCTCTTCGCGGCCTGGCCGCGGACATTCCTGAAGTCGGCGCACGACGCTCGGGTCCAGGCCGCAGAGAGCGCTCCCTTGCCGTTGACATTTCTTGCTGTGCAAGAGTCATGCATTGGGTGCTTGGCAATAGATTGATGCTTTTTGCAATCTCCGGCAAGAACGCTGAGAGAGAGAGAGAGAGAGAGAGAGAGAGAGAGAGAGAGAGAGAGAGTGAGAGACACGGAGAGGCTTAACGTCTCCGATGGTTGCTCTCTTGCGGACTGCAGACTTACCAGTATGCGACTCCATGCCGGGGGGGAGGAGAAGCACTGGCCTGCTCTTCTAGTCTGCGTTGAAGCAGTCCCGTCCCAAATTTTGAGAAGTTGTTTCTGTGACAGTGTACTGAGACTGGGGGAGTCCAGAGCATAATGGCAAGATAAACACGAAATGTTGGAAGATGTCCGCATGTGACCACCATTGACTCAACGACATGGAAGCAATTTGTGTTGTGCAGGGCGGCGAGAAAGTGCTTTCAGTCTGCTCTCTTGTTTATTCGGGCGCAAATTTTGCCGCTTGTTTTTTGAAGGTGCGGCTTCCAGATCGAGAGCTTGTTGTCCGAGATCCGGCTTTTGCCGAACTCAGTGACTTGCTTCACTCTTTTGACGTTTCTTCCGCAGAAGCAGCCTTTTTTCGTTGATGCCGGAAACGGAAAGGCGATGCAGACTACATGTTCTGGATCGTGACGCCACTTCGCAATGATCACTACTGGCCCTATCAGATCTGCGCCATCCCAGTCGTCCGGAAAGGCAGCCTAGCACCACTTGTGGTTGAGAGTGTCCGTTTCATGAGCTTTCCTCGACCCATCATTGATTTTCCAACAGCCTGGAAACAGGTGGGTTTTCGGGCAGTCCAAGTCATGAACTATCTAAAGTGCATCTTTCTCCGCTCTTTCTTGCCACGCGGACCGTTCGCTGGCCAGGCACGCTGCCTCCAGGTGTGCCTCTAGTACAGGCTGTCCGCACCTTGCCGCCGGAAGATGTCACCTGGTACATCTATGCTGGAATCACCCATGCGCACCTTGCCTGCAAGGAATCTTTCGAGCCCCGAGCAGGAAGCAGTGATGGTTGCTTTGCAGGTACTCAGATGGGGCCTCAGGCAACGCGCTTCTGACGGACCTCTTGCGCATCTACGCCGAGGACATAAGAGAAGATCTCCCAGCCTTGTTGCAGTTTGAAAATGCAGAGGAGGCGAATCTCGACCTTTCGCCAAGCACGGAGGTGCACTCTCCGCCTGAGCATCTAGCTGCGGGGCTGCATTTCATTGCTTGTGGTTGAAGGGCCACTTTCGTTTGCATTGAGGCCCTGCTCCAACACCGTTTGCGGAGATCCTTGTTTGGGAGACTGCGAGGAGAGGACAATGCCAATGACGATGTGTATCACGAGAACCTCGGCAGGACAGTGTAGCATACTACGGCAAAGACAGGCACCTGGATGATGATGATGACGACGATGTGTGTGTGTGTGGGAGAGAGGAAGCAGCGATGGCCTCAACAGCTGCAGTTGTCTTAATGCGCATGCGTACCACGCCGTGGGCGCATGCGCAACGCCGGACGGAGGCGCGCGAGTAGAGCTTGTTCGAGAACGACATGCGCGTACACGACGAAGCGCCGCAACGTAGATTTTTTCGACTTGCTTGAACACTCGAGCAAGTTGTCTTCACAGCAAAAATTTGGAGGTTCTCGTGTGCTGTTTGGGTGCGCAGCTAGGTCATGCCAAGTGGTATGGAGGCGCGCTTTCTGCCATGATAGCATGCATCCAAGGATCGTTTGCGAAGACTGGGGCCGACGGTTTGGTTTCTCCAAGCCGCTGACCCGGCACACGCTGCTCGCTGATGCCGCGCTGCAGCTTTCTCAGCCCCGAGGAGAATAAAGCTGGAGCCCATTGTCGTGAACACTTTGCGCCAGGCGCCTCAGGTTGGAGCTTAGATGTCATGGAGGGCTTGCCAAGCTGTACTTGAACTAAGACCTGGCGGCCTCCAATGTCATTGGCTGCAGCATTGATGTTGCCGAGATCTCAGAATATCTTGAATCCAGAGCTCCTCCAGAACATCCGACAGCGGGGAGTCAAAGCTGCAGATCTTTGAGGCGTGGCTGACAGCCGTGGTTGGCAGGCGTGACCTCATGTCCAAGTTCTGGGATGGGAGTGTTCGTGCTGCCCCGAATCTGCGAGTCTTCTGCGGCTTTTCCCGGACCAGCATCGTTTCCAGTTGATTCTCAAGTGTGCATGCTGGTAACTCAGTTGGTTTTGGACGTGAACAGACCGGTGTGTGCCACTGTTGTTTACTGCTGCCAAAGAGGTCGGGATGGGCCAGGACAGAATGAGATGGTAGGCTTTCTGTCAGAGCCGCCGGCCCAGCAGCAGTGGCTGGCAGATTGGCAGAAATTTCTTTGTTTGCGCTGAGGCAGCGGGTCTTTCCGATTGATGTTGGCGACTCCCGTCATGTCGCGTTCCAAACGGCTTCTTGCCAAGCAGGGCTACAAGAGCGATGCTACCAAGGCGACATTGATGGACGTGTACTGCGCCATCGAGAGTGTGCCCGGCTCAGCTACCGACGGCTCGAGCACCTTCCCACTAAACCCCAAACCTCAAACCCGCAATCCCAAACCCTAAACCCTAAACGCCAAGCCCTAAATCCATCCCGAAACCCTAAACCTGAGTTGCCTTCTCTGTCAGTGCTCGGAGGTGCGGCGTTCTCGGACCTGGCGAGCTCCGGTCCCTTTCGAGGTGCCTCCGGGCTGACTTCGGCCTTGCATGTGGCATGCCTGGATGATATCTCCTTCTCTCTATCTGTCTGCATATCTATCTATATACATCATATAGTTATGTAGATACAAGTGGCATGGATAGGTGTTGCTATATTCCTTTCTTTTCTTTTCTATTTTGCTCTCTCTCTCTCTCTCTCTCTCTCTCTCTCTCTCTTGGATTATGTTGTTCTTTTTAAGAGAAATACAGTATTACATTGCATTAAACTAAAAACAGTTAAATTTAACCAAGCAGTTCTAGTCAGGTTTTATTATACCATATCATATTACCACATTCTATCGCAGTATGCTAGATATCACACTGTATTCTATTCTGTCGTATGCCAATAGACATAGAATGTCGCAGATACGTTTATACTGTTTGAACAATGAGTCACTGCATACATTTTGCATTTCTATACATATTTATCTTCATCTGTATACTTGTGTTTGGATTGATATCTATACTTCTTTATCTGTTTGTTTATTGGATCATGTATCTGTTGATGTTACTGAACATACAGTTTTAAAAAAGTGCAGTAAACAGTAAACAGCATGTGTCAATACATCATGTAATGTTCAACGATATAACATATTATAATGTCGTTAATGCAATATGGTATATGAGATGATATAGCTTAAGGCATACTCGTCTAAGAAACCTATAAGCGAACAGGAGAGAGCTGACTAAAAAAGAGCGGAATATGATACAATGTAACAAACTTTTGAGCATGTTAACATTGCACCGCATTGCATGGTATGGTATAATACAGCCTAACATTACAAACAGTATCAGACAAGGTATCGTGATATCAAGCAGGCATTCATTCAAGAGCAGCAGTTGAGAGAAAGTTCTGCAGCAGCATGCGACAAGAACACTTTAGCAAGGTACCAGTGCCACTCCGTGAGAACAGAGATGGCGCTGGAAACGCACTAGGGCTCTACACCCCTGTGATGTTCGCTGTTGGACGCCAGGCTGGGATTTGTGCCGCTCGGAGCTATTGGAGTGACCAGCGTCCGAAGTTTTCGAAAAAAAGCCCTAAGTCCTATCCGAGGTCTACGATTCTACCGACCTTAGCTGCTAGGTGGAAAACTGTGTGCTCCAAAAAAACCGAGGTCTACGTCAACATCGTGGGATCCATGACGGAGGGGCTACCGCTGCAGTGCTCTCAGGCCGCTCTAGAAAGGGCGGGGGGGCGTTTGGACTGATTTCCGATGCATGTATATGAAGATATACATGCATAGAAAGAAACAAATACATAACATGAAAAAACAAAAATATATATATATATATATATATATATATATATATAGCGATACATATTTATACAAAAAGTAGATGGTCTCGCGATGGCAGGTGGCCTACCCTGCGGCGGGGTCGTCTAGTCAAGCATGCGTCTCAGTGCCTACGAGCTCGGTGCCTGTTCTGCGTTGCGGATCTTTCCGAGGTCCAAGCATATGCCCATCTGAATCTTCGGCTTGGACCCCGAAGAAAAGAGCGATGGACAGGGTTTGGAGCGGCGGTCTGTTCGGAGGATTGACCAGATCTCCCAACAACAGTGGGACTTCCGGATCTTCCACTGGGACAAAGCCTGGGGCCTGCTCCCCGGTTCCTGGGTCCGGCCCAGCTCTTTTCCTTAGCCAAAAAGTGGCATTTTTCCGAGGTTGGGGCTGGGGCTCGGAGTTTGCCCCGGTGCTGGGAGCCGTGATCGCAGACATGGCAGAGCCCTCCTCGCCGTCTGCTGTCAGGCTGCAGTGGGGGAAGGGGTGGCCCATGGTCGTGCCAGGTGCCCACTGGAAGCATTGGTGCCTGCGCCGGTACTGCCTGGGCCTTTTACCACCAAAAACAGATGCATTCCTTTGGGAGATAGATAGACGTGTCTAGAGTTCAAAGCCATAGCTCAGGCCCTGGCGGAGGCTGCAGATGCAGCCGGACCCTGCGTCCTCGAAGCGCAAGGATCCACCCAGTCCTCCGGAACTGTCGGCGACTGCAGAGCCTACGCCTGACATTGAGCATCGCCCTCTGCTACTGATTACGTGGGTAGTCAGAAACCGGCAGTGTCTCAAGCCTCCAGGCAGCTTGCGCGCAGTCCATCGACGCCCCCACCCAAGGCTGGGACCATGTTTTTTTTTTTCGTTGGGCAGAGTTGGTCGGCTGAATGGAGATGCTTCTTTCATTCTCCTCCACCGGCCCCCCAGGCTCTTACCGTGTTCAGCATACTCACCCACCACCTGGGAGGTGATGCGTGTAGAAGACGGCTGACGGCGTGACAGCAGCAGAAGCCTTAAACCGACGGCATGATGTCCAGATTTGTCTATCAGTCTACTGGTATTGTTCAGTGTTGCTTCTGCGATTCAGATATTCTTTTCGTGTTTCTTATCACGTATTTGCATGCCTCCATATTCGCGCGCTCTGTCTGCCTACCTCCATGCGCACCTGTGTTTCCATCTGTATCGTTGAACTTGTCGTAAGCATTCTTAGAGAGGATGAGATTGAATGATTGCTCGTGGCCCTTGGCGGTGAGGTGCAGACTCCCGTGTGTGCTGACGATCTGGCTGTGAGCTGGGGCACCACTTTCTCACACTGAGAGCAGAATGATCGGAATGACAGGGAGCTCATTATGTAGAGACAGGGAGCACGCTTTCCAAACCCAGATCATTGGCTCTCGCCTATATTCATTCTTGCAATCGGGTGCGTCCTATACATTGCGGAAAAAATTGGCGTCGCGTGGATGCCCGGTAGTGCAGGCTAGGGGGATGGAGCTGCTGATGCGTCGAGGAGTGGATTGGCGGCTGCTCTTCCGAAGTGTACGTCGACCACGTCGTGTTCTTAGTGGAGGGTGTTGAGACTTAAGCAACCTCCAAGGGTAATCAGTGCGCTTGCTTTCTCCGAGTCCCAGCCGACTCTCTCCTACGATGACTTCGTCAACAAGGCTTCTAACTGCTCCGCACGGCTTTTGGCTCCTTTTCCTACAGATCCGGGCCCCGACCGTTTCTAGATGGAGGTGTGAGGCCATGCACGAACCAACGTTGCTCTGGGAGGAGTTGGTCCATTGGGCCAAGTACGACGTGGAGAGGGCCATCCCAAGCCTGGTGGACGGGCTTAAGCCCGGCCAGCGCAAGGCCGGTGGACTGCAAGCAGCCACAAGCCACGTCCGAGACGGCACACGCCAGGTCCTCTTCGGAACCTTCTTGAAAAAGCTCACGCATGAGATGAAGGCGCATTTACTCAATTCATGCAGACCGCATCCTGGGCGCCACGCCCTGCCATGCCCCCAAGCAGAGCGGAGGTGGCCCAGCTCTCCGGCTTCGTGGCCGAGAAGAGCGCGTGCGCTCCTGTCACCGGAAGCGAGTCCGAAATGGGAGAGTTTCCGAGAATGGTGGACCCTAATATAGGACCCTAAATAGTAGCATCCTTGTTATAAGGACCTCAAAAAAGGTAGCCCCACTTTTCGGAAACTCCCAAATCCAGGGTTTCATTGTGGTATCCTTAGGTACCACCATGGCGAGACGTCCCTTCAGGGGACGATCATCGCAATGGCATTTTCCCCAGGTTCCGGTCGGAGGTTCCTGAGACTGCCAGCCTGGAAGACTAGTCCTTCCGTCCTCCTTTTTTCCGGAGGGTCCGACAGATTTGTTCTTGTTTGAAGGGGTTTCGGTAACAGGTCTCTAGAAGGGTCCCGGTCAAGACCTCGGATGTTTTGGGAGGGTGCAGATGCTTATCCGTGGCACCTTGGCTCAAGTGGCTCTCCAGCTGAAGTCGGCGAATTCGATCTATCCCTCCTGTCGAGGTCTCAAGGAGCCTACCACTTTTCCGAAAGAAGTCCTTGAAAGGAGTCGAGGGCAGATGACGCTCGAAAGCTTCGAGGGCTCCCCGCAGTGTTGCAGGCATGTTGCCGACAGGTCATGGAAGTTTCTGTGTGTCTGGAACCACATGCCCTGTGGTCAAACAAGCTGTGTAAGAGAAGTGCCAGGTATGTGAGCCCCATGATGCAGAAACCTGGCAAAGTGGCTCTCCGACTCGCCCCGCGACTCCAAGGCTTGGCCGTAAAACACCCTAAACCCTATTGACCTCCCGCAGATGTCGGAAGGGCCAGTACAGGGGTCGCAGTGGGGGCAACTCCAAGTGGCGGACGGGGTGCTGGAGCTCAGCGAGTCGGGGCAGTCAGTGGAGTTGGTCAGTGGCGAGCAGTCGGAAGGGGCACAGGACACCTTGGCTACATCAGGCTGGGAGGACGAACAGGGAACTGAGCCGGACACTGCTGTACCTCGTCGTGTACCACCACATGTGGCAAGTGAAGAACGTGATCAAGTGGGCAGCTAGGTTTTCTACTGAGGGGTCAAAGCCGCGTTCCCAACCGGGATTCCATTCTTGCAGACTCTGCTGGACGGAAAAAGGCGTTCAAAAAAAAAAAACCCTGAAACCTAAACCCGGTTGTTTTCCCCCCGGTGTGTGTCCCCTGTGTAGTGCTTGGCGAGCGGGGCTGAGTTTCGCGACTGGCGCGAGTTCTACCTGATTCTGCCGGCTCACGAGAAGCTCGGCGGGTTCTCGGGGCCCTGTTCGCCGCCCTTTACCTGTTTCTGTTGAAGATCGGGGCACATGTCGCGTGGAAGGAAGCGTGACGAACCCATGCCGGCAGAGGACGTCTCGGTTCCAAGCAGTTCTGGAGATGAAGGGGATCGTAGTCCTAAGCGTCCTGCACCTGTTGCTGATGCCCCGGTGACGCTGCGTGAGCTTCGCAGCATTCTGTCGGAGCAAACCAAGCAACTCACTGTTCTCCAGGCGGGGGCGGTTGACAAGGCAGTGCATCGTTTGGAAAAGACTCTGGAGACGCGCCTGGCCGAGGTGGACTCTCGAGCAGAACAGATGGACGCCAGGGTTGGCGCTTTGGAGAAACAGATCGAAGAGTTGTTGCAGCAGGGCGCGGCTGTGCCAAAGTTCCACGGTTTAGGGAGTGACGACTCGGCGAGAAGGGCAAGGACATTGGTTTATGGTGGCTGGCCGCGTGAGAGCCGGAGGAAGGTGATTCTTGCGGAGCTCCAGGAACACCTCACTGCTCTGGGGGTCGCCTCGCTCCTCGACCATGATCCTTTTACCACGGGGGCTAGACGGAGTATGGCTCTCTCAGGCTTCCAGCAACGGGCTGGTGAAAGTTTCCAGGACATGCGATCTCGCATGCACAAAATTGTGATCGCTTTCAGCTCGGGCAATCTGACTAACAAGCAGGGGGGTCGGATTTGGGCCAGTTATTCGAAGAGCAAAGCCGAGCGTGAGAAAGGATCGCATGCAGGGTGGGTGAAACGAGCATCGGCGAGCCTCCTGGACGTCTCCGAGGTCAATATGGATATTGAGTGGCAGACTGGATCGGTGTGGTGCGAGGACACATTGGTGGCGTCCTCTGATCTCCCGGTGCCGCCTGGCACTGATATGCGAGGGGTCCTTGTTCGTGATGATCAGGATGCTAAACCATGGGTCTCCTTCAAATTGCTCGCGGCAGGGTTGAAGCAAAAAGAGAAGGAGGTCAAACAGGCCCTTGAGGATTGCAAGCGCTGACTCGCCAGTTCTGATGCTGACAACTGTGACAGTGAGCTCAGGGTTCTCGGCTGGAATCTTGGTGGTGCGGAGGTCCAAGACCTGCCGCGCACACTTGCGGATGCTACTCCTTTGCAGATGGAAAAGGACTCCATTCTCCTCCTGCAGGAATACCCGAGGGGTGCACAGGGATGGGCCGTTGAGAAGCAAGGGCAGTGGACGGTTGTCACTCATAGGCATGGAGAAGCGTGGCGAGGGTCAGGGTTGATGTACTGTACTGACGCGTGGTGCCTGACGAGACGGGTTTGCACAGCTAAGGGCACTTGGTTTCGGCTCCGTTCCATCTCGGTTGCTGAGGACATCCTGTGGGTTGGTACTGCACATTTCACACCTGGGTCCACGGTGGCGGTGTATGAGAATGAGGTCGAGGACCATTTTCAAGCTTTGCCCTCTAGTGCCAAAAGGGTTGTTTTCCAAGGTGATGTGAATACGCCGTTCCTTTGGGTGAAGGATGGGGCTGCAGTTACTGCGGTTGCTCGTGAAGGCAAAGGTGGCTTGTTGCAGAAGGCCTTTCATGACAAGGGTTTGGTTATGATTGCTCCAGTGGATGGTCAACACTCAACGCCGACTTGCCGTCCACGGCAGGCGGGCCGAACAGGACAGCATATCGATGTCTTTGCGAGCAAGGGATTACACGCAGGGGGCACGCACATCCATATTGATTCGCACCTTGCTGGGGGCACCGATCATGAACTCATGCATGGTTGCTTTCGATCTACATGGTGTCGCAGAACCTCTCGGCGTTCGACCAGGGCCAGGGTTGTGTGTGGTACATTTGGGGTTATCACGCATGTCGACCAGCCTACCCTGGCAGCTTTGGCTATCACTCACACTAAGCCTGCACCGGGCCGTGCTTACAGGGACCCATCGGATGTTCGCGACCTGTTCAAACGTGCCAAGCAACGAGGCACCCCCGCCTTGTGGAAGGCGGCTCTCAAGGCGCGGAAAGTGGCGAGGAAGGCGTGGGAGGCCGAGAGACTTCAGAGGGCTGCAGGTGGTGATTGGGATGCCATCCGGGAAATCAAGGGAGTGAGAAATGAAGGTTGGGACGTCGAGTTTGCGCTCCATCAACAGGGTGACCCTCACGAGGCAATTCATCGGCACTTCCAAGGGGTTTACTCGAGCCGTCGCAGGGATCCAGTCGTACCAAAGTCTGATGAGGAGGTCCGGGGCTTCACGATCGAAGAATTGTGGACAGGGATTAAGCAGCTCAAAGGGCGGAAGGCAGTTGGCAAGGATTTGACATCGAGGGAGCTCTTGGAAGGGATCTGCCATGCGGAAGGTGGGGCGGAGCACGTTGTTGAATTCTTCAACCGCGTGTTGGTGGCACAGGAGGTGCCCACCGAATGGAATGAACCGTTGCTGGTGATGCTCCCTAAGGTTTCGCATCCACATTGCCCTCGTGAACTTCGACCCATCGCACTTGGTTCATCGGTAGGAAAGCTCTTCAGCCGTCTCTTGCTTAATCGTTGTCTCGAGAAAATCCGACTCCAATACCCACCTCAATGCGCTGGAGTTCATCGTCAAACCAACGACTTCACTTACTCATTGATTCGCCTCTTTGAGTTGGAACGTGAATGGCAGGGGGGCATGGCGGCTTTGAAGGTGGATATCAGTCGTGCGTTTGATGATGTCGACAGGGATGTGTTGGTAGCAAAGCTGGAACAGAAACTTGGACCTGGGCCAGAACTCCAATGTTGGAAAAGTCTCCTTGCCAACAATGCTGCGACCCTCTCCACCCCTTTTGGGGAATCTACTATTGAGGTTGGGAAAGGGATAAAGCAGGGAGGGATCGAATCGCCGGCTTTCTTCTCGATGCTCATGGAGCTCGCAGTTCGTGAAGCTGAGGTCGAGTACGATTGGATGCACAGGCAGCGACTTTACCCAGACCTCCAATGCCCGGATGCTGCCCTCTTTATGGATGATGGTGTTCTGTGGACCTTGGGGACTAAGGCTTTGCAGCAACGAGTCTCTGAATTGTCTCGGGTACTTTTTCGGTACGGCCTGAAGGTGAACCTCGCTAAATGCCAATTGTATTGTGCTCCTTGTTGCCCCGGGCCGCCTCTTTTGCGGATGGAGGGTCAGGTTCTTCATGCGAGTGATCATCTGTCGGTGATGGGGCTCAGGCTCCAGGTTGGGCAGTCTATCTGCGCTCTGGTGTCCCCTCTTGCCACAAGGTGCCGTGCGAAGTTCTGGGAAATTCGACACATCCTACGTGCACAAGGGCAACTGTTTTCGAGGGTTAGGGTCATGCAACGCATTGTTGGGGCATCGGCATTGTGGTGCATTGCTTCGATACCACCTGATAAGGCTGCCATGTCTATGTTGAACAGTGTGCAGTTGCAACTTCTCGTGTGGTTACTACGGCTTGGTCGTCGCAAAGATGAAACGTGGACGGGTTTTCGACAACGTGCCTTCAGGTCTGCCCGCGCTGTTCTTCACAATGCCAAGTGTGAACGTTGGTCGACTATATGGCTTAGAAGATATTGGCAGTTCGCTGGGCATCGTGCAAGGGCTGCTGATCACCCGTGTCCATGCATCAGCACAGTGCTCGAAGGGTTCCGGTCCTTGGGATGGTGGAGGGTCGAAAAGCATCGAAAGGATGGGATCAAACACAACGGAAAACACTATGCACGTCTCACGCTCCTTGAACAATGCCTCGACGAAGCTGCGCGTGGGGAATGGCGAATGGTTGCAAGGGATAGGGTTGCATGGAGGCAGGGCGAACAACGCTGGGTGGAGCACATGGATCTTCCGTGGTCGTCGGGGCGTCAACTGAGCATTGCTAATGATTTTTAGGGCTTCGCTGTGTCTACTTGCTTCTGAGTGTGCTGGCTGTACAGTTTCTCATGAGGGCCATGTCCGAGTGCTGTTGTGAAGGCTGAACCCCTGATGTTTAGCGCTCGAGACTGTTGGCAACTCTTGCAGCTCCAGCCACTCCTGCCAGCATGGGCAGCTTCTTCCTTTCATGGTTTTGCCTCTTGGCAGTGCCGACTCCTCAAGGGATTGGCAGTGGTGTTCCCCGTGAAGGGCAACACTTTGAGGACTCGTTGAGTTTTGGGGAGGCCCTCTCCCCGGCGCCTTGGTATGATGGTTTGGTTGCACTTCCGCATGGAGTCGGCGATCCGGAAAAGGATGATCGCGGTCGGCGGGAGCTGTACCCATTGAAGTCTCACGAGGGCAAGGTTTCAGGACTATCACACGGTCATGTTTCTTCACAAATGGAAGGGAGTGTGCCTGATCGCTTAAAGGATGGCTTGGTGGGAGATCAAGGAACCCCTGGGGCTGATCATGCTGAAGGAAGCCCCGGTCGGCGGAAGAGGTACCCAGTGGAGTCTCACCAGGGCAGGTTTCGTGGACCTCGGCATGGTAAAGGACAGGGTGTTGGGATTTCCTCTTGGGGCAAGCCGGCTTTGCAGGCGGGTGACTCTGACGAGGTCCTCTTCATGCAGGAAGTGAGCCTCTCGTCGACCGAGTCGGAGACTCCTCTTTGGTTGCAAGAGGCAAGAAAAACCTTCAGGGCTTTTCGCGAGCGGGGCCTTCATAAATGTGCCGCCCTCGCTTTGAGGGATCTTCTTCGGTCAGCTACCTCGGGTGGGCACCGACTGGCAAAGGTTGCGGTCCCGTACATCCTTGAGGACTCAGGTCGTGCTGGTGCTCGCGAACCTACGACCGTGGAAGCTGGGGAATGCTTCCAGTGGGCTCAGCAGGTCTTCGCTGAACTTCATGCGGAAGGAGGGCCGAGTGCCTCCTCTGGATGTCCGCCAGCCACCCCTGCAGCGACGGAGGGCACCTCAGGTTTCCCGTATGGGCTCTTTCATGCAGTACAAGTCCTGCCTGACGGTCGCTATGTTGCGAGGTCGATGACTGGAGGGTCTGTTTCAGGGCCTGGGCATGCTGGGGCTGATCCGGACCGCCATGGTAGTGACGAGGCAGAGGGTGAAAATGGCGATGAGGATGCGATGTCAGTTCTCACGGTTGGATGGGTGATGGTCGCCCCTGTCCTGGTCGCGAGCTTCGAGGAACCCTTCCCAAATGGACCAGTGCCTGAGTGGTGGTGGGAAATGGTTGATGACGTCAGGGGACTGATGGATCGTGGAATGGATGGCCCGGACCTTTCGCGCCGACTCCATCGTCGGCTTCGGCAGGACGAGGATACCAGGTTCGTGGAGGAGACCTTGCTCTATGTCAATGGGTTAAGCCGGGCACTACACCTACATCGGCCGCTTCCTGCGAGTGCTGAGCCTGGTGGGACCCCCCCTACGGATGAGGAGTGCCAGAACACGATTGGAAGGGTCATCAGGAGACTGAAGCGAAAGTGGTTGTGGACTATCTGCCCAATCGCTATGCAGAATCAGCAGGAAGAGGACCGGCTCATGGATGCGGGGCTCACGCACTTCGAGCTCTCTCCTGCATTGAGGCATGCAGAGGCGGAGGAAAGGAGGGGTCTATCTCGGTCCCGCTCTCCGCATCGCCGTGACCGTGAACCTTGGCTGGTGACGGCCGAAGACGTGCCGGAAGTCGGGGAAGTGGAGGATGAGGACGCTTCCAGCCTCATGGATGTCCGGGGAGGGCGTGGTCGAGATGGAAGATCACGATCCACTGGTTGTGGAGGCAGCGGTGGGGCTCCCAGGCGACACAGGGATGGCCCTGCAAACAGGCGCAGGGTACTGGAGCGCAGGCCACTGCGTATCCGGCCAGCTCCCTCGGATGCTCACGGAGGTGGAAGGCGAAGGGACCCGAGCAGGAATCCACGTATGGGACCTTCGGCACGGACGACGCCGCGGGTCCGCTACCCTGGATTGACTCGCCCGACATCGTCCATGACGCCTCCTTCGTCGTCTCTGGCTACTCCCTCGGGGGCCTCGGGGTCCGCTGGCCCTGTGACCAGCAGTGGACCCAGCATCGATGTTATTGATGCGATGGACTTCTGGCGGAGGCACATCCTAGTTCCGGAGGGCAACGACGGGCTCCCAGTTTCCCATGGAGGACCCATCATTGAGAATGCCCGGTACAGACATGTTCTGATGCTGCTCAGGGACAGGACCGAGGCTGATAGGGCGATCCTCAGCATCGGGGTCGTCAGTTTCATCAGGGCAATCATGGTGGAGTTGGGCGAACTTTGCCATGAAGCATGCCTACAGTTGGAGGACCTAGCGGAGCAGGAGCCCGAGCCGGAAGACGACACGGTCGAAGTGACAGTGGAAGGTGATGAAGCGGGGCTCATGCAAACCACCATGGACGATGTGAGGAGGGACACCGCGGGTGAAAAGTGGCAACGGTTACTTGCGAGGCTGCAGAGTGAGCTGGCAGGGCAGGAGGAGATCACTAGGGGGCACCACGTTAACTGCCTGCTGGGACACGTCCGGCGCATGGGGCCTATCCCTGAGGATGGGATGGTCACTGAATTGCAGGCCCTTCTGCTTGCAATGGCGGAACCGCATGTGGCCGCTGGCAGCTCTGGCAACGATGGTTGTGACTGCTGGGTTACCACCTGGATGGGCTTGCTGGCTGTTCACCTCCCTGGCCTGCGGCTGGAGCCTGAGAATCTCCTGGAGGACTCCATTGATGAAGGTGCTCTTTTGGAGGCAGTTGAGGAAGCTGAAACTAAGCTTCGTGTGCAACCGACTCTGGCCAAGCCCGACTCCAACACGACCGCTGAGTATTACTTCATGAAAGCCCAGGAGCAAGCAGTCTTACAGCACCAGGCTGCCAACTACCGTGACTGGGAGCAATGGGAGTTGGACCAGGCCTTGTCGAGGCATGTGGAAGCTGACCAAGGGCTCGTCAAGTGGTGGTTCAGGTCTCGGCAAAATTGTCCAACACGGGCAGTGATGCTGGGCCCAGCTTGGGCAGGGAGTGGCATATGGAGGTGCCAGCCACCGGGAGCCTGGACTTGGCCATCAGGGTGAGTACGGCATCTGGGCCGGACCCGGCCGAAGTTGACACGGTGCTGACACCAGACACCAAGCGCCGTCGTCGTGATCTCCAAGTTCGGGCCAAACATGAAGCGGAAATGGCACCTCACCTGGACTATGGCCAGTATGCACAACTGTACGACCACTGGCTTCGAGGGCTCCTCAGCGACACCCAGGTCTTGAACTTGTATGGCAAAGAAATCTTGGGGTATTTCGAGGCTCAGTTCGCTACGACAGAGGGGATCGCAGCCCGTCCTCTACCTGGCTCTCAAGAAGATCTTCGGGACGACGATGAACTACAGGCGGGGCCCCTTGGGTATGGTGAGTACGAGCGTGCCTATGGTCTTTGGAAAGATGGGTGGCTGAAGGAGACTCGGATCATGAACAAGTACGGGCTCCGGGTCCTCAACCTAATGACCGCTCAGCGGGTGAACGGTGACCTGCCTCCTACACGTCCAGGGCCAAATGGAGGGACGGTGATTGACCTCCCGCAGATGTCGGAAGGGCCAGTACAGGGGTCGCAGTGGGGGCAACTCCAAGTGGCGGACGGGGTGCTGGAGCTCAGCGAGTCGGGGCAGTCAGTGGAGTTGGTCAGTGGCGAGCAGTCGGAAGGGGCACAGGACACCTTGGCTACATCAGGCTGGGAGGACGAACAGGGAACTGAGCCGGACACTGCTGTACCTCGTCGTGTACCACCACATGTGGCAAGTGAAGAACGTGATCAAGTGGGCAGCTAGGTTTTCTACTGAGGGGTCAAAGCCGCTTTCCCAACCGGGATTCCATTCTTGCAGACTCTGCTGGACGGAAAAAGGCGTTCAAAAAAAAAAAAAACCCTAAACCGGCCCTTGTTCTCAGTGCGGCGGAGGCGAAGCAGCGAGCGGCGGCCAGCGGCCGCTGATGCCGGCGATCGACATGCCGGGACTTGGATCCTCAGCTCATTACTTTTGGGGGGTTCTTATAATGAGGATCCTACTATTTAGGGTACTATATTAGGGTCCCCTATTTTCGGAAACTCCCAGATTTCGGCGAGCTATATGCGCTTCTGTCTCGCTTTGGTGCTCGCTGGGGGCCCAGGCTGCATTGGGCCGCCGCCGGGCCTGGATTGCGGAGGCCGCTACGCTACGTCCGGTTTTGGTATCCGAGAGACGTCGGGGGCCCTCTTGTGGCTTCTCGAAGGCCCTGGCCCTTGCACGAGTGTGCTACAACCCGGAGCACTCTGGACGAGCACTCTGTCTCTATCCATGTCGGCTTCCAAGCTTCACATCTCATGTTTGGGCCCCCGGGCCCCCCAAAAACCCCCCCTAAAACCCGAGGCTTCGAGGCAACCATCCGAAGTGTCCGTCGCTGCCCTTCAACTTTGCGGCCGAGTATTTGTCCAGAGCAAACTCCCAGGATCCAGTGTTAGGGTTTAGGGTTTAGGGTTCAGGGTCTGGGCTGGCGGCCTGTCAGGATACTGGCAAGGATTCGCCCTCACCGAGTACTTCGTCCGGGGATGTTGAGCCCTCAGGGGAGAAGTGGAGGCACCGCTGCTCCAGTTTCTAGCTCTCCTGGTGCAGCGAAGGCGCCAAGCGAATGGAACTGGCCGCAAGGCCACTGAAACTGAGCTCCACGTCGCTGTGCAAGTTGTTGAATATCTGGCATCTGTCAGGGACAACCACCGTCATGATCAGGCCGGGCAGCTTGCGACGGAGATACATGTCCCCGCAGCTGTCCTGATTTGCACCTTTCTTCTTAACCCCAGCGCAAGGAACATACCTAACCGCTACACGACAGAGGACTTCCCATGGCATCTGCATGCACGTCCAGCAGTTAGGGTAGCAGATGGCAAAGGCGACGCAAGGCCGAGCTTTCTCATTTTTCCAAGTTACGAGGAGCTCTTAGAAGAGTTGGTGGCGAAGGGCTTTGCGGGAGCTCCTTGGAAGCACCACTTGGAGCTTCATGGGTAGCTATAAGTAGGGCTATAAGTCCCCTAACATGGGTTATGACCCTGCTTATGACCCTACTTATAACTACCCATGAACCTCCAAGTAACGATGGTGAAGGAAGCCGTGGGTCGAAAGGGTTCTCGTGCTTCTCAGGACTTTGACTTCTTCTACCTGCCCATTGATTTCGAGACCAAGCGCAACAAGGCTAGGCCCTAAACCCAAAACCCTAAGCCCTAAACCCTAAACCAGAAGAAGGGTTGGGAGTAAGCCTGCCCAATACGGGCTGAGGAGGCTGTCAGATTCTGTCAGGCGGACTCAGAAAGGCCCTCACAAAAAACAAAACAGAAGAAGCCTTGAAGCCTAAACCCCAGGCTCTAAACCCCCTTTGGCTTCCGCTCTTCTGAGTGAACAGGGCTACTGCTTCCTGAACCTCCACACCCAGGAGTTGGCCCGGCGATTTCGACAGGCAGGAAATCTATGGCAAAGCCTGCAGGGTTGAGGGTTTAGGGTCTAGGATGGTTTTTGGGAGTGAATGCTGGGGGCCTAGGGTTGGGCCCCAATACCCTATTCTAATGAAGGCCCCTCTATATATGAAAAAAATATATGTATATCTGTATATATATATATATGTAGATGTAGATATAGTATAGGATTTAGGGAAGGGAGGGAGTGTCGGCACTCTGGTGCGCAGGCCTTCGTCTCCCAGAAGCTAGAGCGATACAAGACAATGAAGGCTTGTCGCTCTGTGCGCGATGGCAAGGGTGTTTGAGAGGTGCGGGAGCGGCTAAGTGCAGGTGCTGGAGATTACCCCCGCGGACACACAGGGCTTCGATGCAAACGTCCTGAAGTATCTCCAGCAACAGCCTTTTCCTTAGTACCCAAGTTCCGTTTATGGGGCAGCGTCAGAGTGCCAGAGGTCGAACCGGATCCACAACCCCTGGTTCAAGCCCATGATCTTTCTGCCAAGCTGCGTCGAGGGACAGCCCTGGAATTGCCCGGCATCCCAGCGGCTGTGACTTCAGACTTGCAATGTGAAACGAAGGTCTGAAATCTGCTAAGCAACTTATATTAAAAGCCCAGGAGCAAGATTTGCTCATGGCCCGCTAAATCTTCAATAGGGACCCCTACTACACACCCAGAAGTCTAAGACCTCTAGCCAATGACTTCTTTTGTATGGCCCCTGAGGCCTGCCACTCAGCCTCGAGACCCTGCCGGCACGGCTCCGGGGCCAGGCGAAGCTTTCTCGCCGCCGCAAGGCGCCGTGGCCATTGATTCTACACACATATGTATACATATACATATATATACACACATACCTACTAGGATATACATATATATATATATACACACACACGCAAGGAAAATGTACACACACGCACATGTAATATTCTGTGCAATATTGTACCGTGATATGAACATGAATATGAACATGAACACGAGGATGATTATGAGTACGAGTATGAGTACGAATACAGTTATGATTGTATATATATACACATACACATGTTACGAACATATATGTGTACACGTATATACACAAGTAGCTATAGCTATATATATATATATATATATATATATATATGCATAGACACGTTATTTCACGAATATATACGCACAGGGTTATATTGTACTATGTTGTATGATGTTTTATTTCAACGTGCCATGTTATGTATAATGTCACATTGTGTGATATTTCATTGTATGACGTTGTATTGATCCATATTCTGTTATAACATATTATGCTATATTATTAATGTCCTTTGTGTTGCCTTCGTCGCGCACGGCGACTGCAGTGGACACGTGGAGACGAAGCATCACTTTGTTCTGGAAGAGTTCTATGCGGGTGGTTGTCAAAATTATGGTCCCTTTCTGGGTACCCTAAATATTAGGTGCCGTACTATATTCGGGACCCGAAAAGGCACCACACTTTGGACAACCACGAAGCCGCCACAGATTTCGCGTGACCACAGCTTGGTTTGTTGAAAGCTCTGGGACTTCGGAGGAGGCGTAGAGGGCCTCAGAAACGAAGCCTTGCAAGAGAACTGGAGAGGTGAGCCGTGAGTTAAGCTCACGAAAGGTAAGATACCTGGGTACAGAATGAGCAACATCACATGCTGCTGTTGGTGTTCCTGGTCTTTGCTGCCCAGACGCCATAATCGCTTAGTTTCGTCTCTTGGGCGGAATTCCGAGTCTCGTAAAAATTGCCAGGACAAGCCGAAGCTTCTGGTTAGACTCTTAGACTTCAGTCCATCACAGAGTGCCAGGTGGAAGAGAGAGTCGATGCGGCCAAACTTGGCCGCTAGATCATGGCGATCCCAGACGGCAGCTGGGTTGAAGCGCGCGGTCTCTGGAACATGCTTGGTGACTCTGGCATGAGACTGCCGGTCGGGCTTTGAGACTTTCGACCGCATGCATGTAACTTGGGTAAGAGCAGGCGACTAGCTTCATTATTGTAGCCAGTGTACAGCCACAGACTGGGTGGGAGCTTGCCTGACCCACTGACAGCATAACACAAGTTCGCAAGTTTCATCAATTTCCGTCTGCTGCACAAATCCTTGCTACCAGAAGAAGAGATCTCAGTATGCTCCCCCCGGCTGACTTTCTCAGACCTTCGTGTGCTGCCGTCGATTGCTTCGGTGGCAGGCACGTGATTTAAAAATCTAAGATACCATTTGGCTTGTGCCACAGCCCATCGTTCAAGGTTCAAGCGCAGGCTTCGCAGCCCGCTAACATGCGCCAAAGTAAGCAGCTGGTTAAGTTTGCTGTCGACGAATCATTGGGCAACTCGTGGTGCTCGCCTTTTGCGGAGTACGTTCCTGCATTGCTCCATACCTCTCTCTTTCCTGCAGCTGTCCGTGGCAATCAAAGCCTCGCTCTCAGATCTCCAGCCCTGGAATCGCACGTCGTGTTGACGGCGTTCTGCGGCCAGGCGAGGTTAGCTGCGCGAAGCCTCAGCTGAAGCATGGAATTCATGACAGTTTGATGTGTGTTCAGCCAGCCAGGGGTACAATTGTCACAGCTTTTCTCTCTCCTCACCCGTTCCACCGAAGACAGGATACAATCCCTGCTGGTCGGAATCGCATTCACGGCGTTTATAGCACTTATGTAGGCAGCATCCCTGCTTTGTCTCTTGGCCAAAGGCCCTATGCAACGCTGATAGCGCAGTCTCTGAGAATCCTACCATCTTGATAACGGAGACTTGCGCATCAGGCCATGTGCATTAATTTCTCACGAATGAATTTGTACCTGTAGTGGTGGGCTTTTCCAAACAATGAGGCTCGTGAGATCTTCGACACATGCAAAACTCTAATTTTCTCAAACCTAAGCCCCTAAACCCCTGAACCCTAAACCCTAAAACCCAAAACCTTAACTCCCCAACCCCTAAACCGGATGTGAACACTGCAACTTCCCGCCTGCTGCTCGCCTCACTTGTTGTCGGTTGCCCACCTGCAAGATAAGCGCTGCAAGCAGATGCTGTTGAGAAGCTTTCGCACGAGCTTCTGTACACAGGCAGAGACTGGAAACGTAGGATAATGGCCTTGATATACCTTAATGCGCTTCAACAGAAGTGCTGAGTTGCGGGAGTAGTGCAGATAGACGCTCAGATGAAGGTTCTGCTGACCGGAGAATTCGCATACGAGTTCATGGAGCCGACATTCCTTAGCAAGCTCTTAATATGTGCATCGGGTGCCAGGCGGCACGTGCAGCAAGGCATAAAAAGCTTCGAAACTGCCTCAGTTGTAGGAAGCACCGGGACCTCAAAAAGGGGGGCATCGCAGAGCTGGTCGTTGCATCGCATGTTCAGCAGATCCGAGGCACAGCACTTCGTCGGGAGCAACAATGTGAACCTTCTCCAGTCCGCTGCCTCAGAGCCACACCGAGGAGTTTGACGAAAATGGGAGCGAATCGGAGCTATGCGACCAAGGCCATGTGGACAGTTTGGAACACGTAACCAGGGTGGGAAGGCTGGACTGCCGAAAGCGAGGGAGAGAGCCTGAGAGCGACTGGGGGCAAAAGCCCTGGAAGGGTAAAATAAACACCTGCGGGTGCGCGTTCGCCCGCCACAGTTCGACCTCCTACGTCGTGGAGAGAGCATCGTAGAGGACTCTTTTTCCGGCAACTTAATTGAGGTCTCACAGAAAATCGGGCAGGAGGGGGAGGAGGAGGCATGGGAGGGTGGTGCCTGCGAAAAATATCATCAATCTGGCCTGGACAGGACCAGTGCTAACGTCAATGAATGCTTGAAAGTAGTTTTCTACATTTGTGACGTGTTACGTAGTATGTGCAAAAGCTTTTCAATGTCTTTGTTGGTATGTGCGTGTCCGACGCCCTGTGTCTATGACTGCATTTGTTCCTCTTTGCTACCAACCGCACTCACCTTTGTTCTTTCGGACGGAGCATGACCAAAGAAGCAGCCTCTGTGTGGATGAGGGACCCCTGGACCTTTCGTTGCGTGGCACTGCCTCTCAAGCTCGGAGCACTTGCATGGCAGAGGACCACGCTGCTCCTCGGTACATCTTCACGAAGTTGTCGCCTGCTGCGTGGCACCCAGTAGCGCAGATGCTGTTTCTGCGTATTGGCGTCTGGAGTGAGGCGAGATGCATCTTCCCTGCAGAGGATGACCCAGTCCTTGAGCCATTTGCTGAGCGGCGGAAGGTTGAACTCATATTTGGAGTTTGAAGATCTGGCAGATCGGGACGCGCCGAGGTATCAGTCCGAAGAGGGCCAGCGCATTGAACCTCGTTGGTACTGTCCCGTGATTCCGCTTGCCTGGGGCCCTTGCGACACGGGGGAGCATCCTATGCAACGCTGTGCATCACCTAGGGAAGAAAGCAAGAGGGTGCTCAACAGTTTCATGCATTCGAGGTCCTCGTAAACGGCTCAGAGGGCATTGGTGTGGGTTGGAGCACAAGTGTGCCCAACTACAATCCGCGCGACCTGATCGCGAATGCGCGGGCCTTTGCGGTTTCCACGTATCGGGTTGGTCATGTGGAACTCTGATCTACATATATATATATAGAAGTATCGGTCTGTGTATATATATATATATATATGAGACTATACATTTAATATAATGTAATGTAATGTAATGCAATATAATGTAAAATGATAATGTATAATATTATACAATATACGATATTTCAAAAGTACGTATCCATATCCGTATCCATATCCATATCCATATACATATACATATACATTTACATGTACACCTACATTTACATCTACATCTACATTTACATCTACATCTACATATACATTATGCATATGCTTCTACATCCACAACTACATCTACATATACATATACATGTACATGCACATGTACATGTACGTATACATATACATATACATATACATATGCATCTGCATCTGCATCTACATCTACAGATACATGTACATATACATAACATATACATACTCAAGTTAGGGGAGTCGGAGTCAGGTCCGGCGGCACCTGCGGGGTAAGCCTCTGGAGCCGCTGACCCCTTGGTCCGCTCCCTGGGATTCCTTTCAGTGAAGGTAAAGCCACGGCGCCGCAAAGCCTCGAAGTCGAGGTATCGTGGATTCCGTGGCACTGTAACTGCAGTTGCAGACAAGCCTGGACGATACGAGACCGTCGGAGCGGTGCAGAGGCCTGGAGTGTGTCAGCCCCCACCAGCACTGTCTTTGACTGTGATATCAGAGGCACGGCTCGACGCGGATCGAAGTCACTGAGCTGCCTGTGAGGAAATGGACCCAGGAGTGCCGGTGGACACCAGATTTTGAGCGTTCAATAGTTTTGGGGGAGAAAGTGGCAGCATCCAGGATTACAAAGAGTGGATAATGGACCAGCTGCAGGCCACCAGCATCTCTTGTTCTGTAGATCATCTTGGTGTTCGGGCGCCTTTTTGTTGTGCCGCAGGCCGATGACGGCAAGAGAGCCACGATTTCGGAGTTCCGCGAGTACCATACGGTGCGGATGCAAGAACAGGGTGAGAAGATGGTTGGACGACCGGTCAAAGGGTTCGACAGTCTTGTGTGAGCGTCGGTGTTCGTATCCAAATGTCCAGGTCATTTGTCGGAGCACTTGTCTGTAAGCCGCATGCCTTTGAGGAGAACACGGTTCACTTCAGCTTGTCCATGCTGCCTGACAAGGCTTGGCACCCTGTCAGAATGCCTGGGGTGCCCCGTCCCTGAGCCTCTGAGCCCACAGCCGCAGGTGGCTCAAGCCGAAGGGCGTGGCTTGGAGAAGTTCTTGCACTTGAAGATCCTTGGATGCAAGCCTTGGGAGAAACATGATGGTCTCCTTCGTGCTTTCCATGAAACCGGTGCAGGTCCACAATCACGACCACGAACATGCACCTCTTCGATGCTAGAGTTGGGCTTACTCTGGCGATTCAAGCTTCTTTGGTGTCTTGAGCATCAACAGCATGCGATGTACGCCGCCCAGGTGGGAAATTGAAGAAATACGAATCGCCCGAGGAGATCTTGCGAGATTTCGCGAAGGCCTCCGCAAGACGCAGGTTTAGAGTTCTTGGAGCCCGAGGTCTTCCATTCTGTGCTGCCGCACCTCTCGGCAGCTGAGCAACAGCAGATGTTTAGACACAAGGGCAGTGGATTTTATCGTTTGCTTTTTTGTTTTTGACCAAAAAGTGGAGAACAGTGAACAGTAGCAGTAGTCGCCTGACCTCAGCACATGCCGGGTTGCATGCGCTGAAGCGAGAATGCCGGTTCATGTTTGACAGGTTCGCCTGGAGCTGTATGGGAAGAGAAAAGAGTACTGCATCCAAAAGCTTCAGAAGGAGGCACGGCTTGAGGGAGGACGATTTGATACGCCTTCCCTCACCCGTCCTCCGATTCGTCCGAAGGTGGCCACTCTGACCGACAAGGCAAAGTTCATTCGCTTGGTGGTGGATGGCGAGTTGGAGGCGTCGCATGACATCGGATGCGCAGAGCTTTCACCTGCTTTCAACTGCGCCAGATTGCAGACCGGGCTTCTCGAAAGGCAGTGGCTTCGGTGTTTTTTCCCCTTTAGGCTCAAGCTTCGAGAGAGGAGAGAGCCTCTGTTGAGGTGTGCAACGACATGAAGCGGTTTGGACTGCGGACGAAGCAGGAGATCGAGGTCGTTTGGTCAGATCTTTGGGCATCCGCATGCAATGAATGGCTGTAAGCTGTTCTGGCGCAGGCCGGTGTCGAAGAGAAGCCGACTGCAGCTCGAAATTCGTCCAGTTCCCAGCGCAAGCAGTGGTATGCTCTAAGGGTGGTGGTAGAGTGAGAATGCTGAGGCGGCGCCTGCGTGCCGTGATTGATGTCACCGACACCGATGTGGATCTGGCCCGCCCCGACTTGCGCATGGACGGGGTGCGAGGAAGCTTGCCCGTGCATTGCAGGCAGGACCTCAAGGCTACGAGTACTTGCTGAAGCTCAAGCTTTGGACCCTCACGGAGGACTCCGGTAACCAAAACAAGCCACATGATACCAGCTGTTTTTTAAAACCCTAACCCCTAAACCCTCTCTGTACCAATGCATGGTAGAAAGAGACCCTCAAGAAAAGAGAACCCCAAAGCGCTCAAAACCCCTAAACCCCTGAATCCTAAAGAAGAGAAGTATCAAATAGATGATTATTATAATCATAATAATCATAAACTATATTTAATACAAATGTTATTATAGGCTTGTTCCCGACGAAGCCGCGCAGAGGAGCGCTTGGAAGCCTTACAGCGGCAGCTGGCCTCAAAGAGCCAGGAGCTCGAGGACCTCAAGGCCGACTTAGGGGTTGGAGCATCTGATATAGGAGTTTCCGAAAATTAGGGGGTGCCTGTAAGGGGATCCTTATATAGGGTTCCTTAAAGGGATCTATAAGGATTCTAGAAAGGGTTTAGGGTTTAGAGTTTCCGAAAATTAGGGGTGCCTTATTTTGGGGTCCTTTGTATAAGGATCCTACTGTTTAGGGTCCCATGTTAGGGTTCCCTATTTTCGGAAACTCCCATATGCTATAACATCAGTGTGATATACTGATATATGATAAAGGAGAATCTGATACTATATGATATACTCGAAATATGATATAGAATGATACAATATGTTGTAATATGACATAGTATGCCAACCTGTGACAGAACATGGCATGATGTAATCTGGGGTAAGGTCTCCTCCATCTTTCTTCCCCTCCTCTTGCTTTCTAACCCCATCTGCAGCTGCAGGCAACCAGCCGAGAGCAGCTGTGGGAGCGGGCCCCAGAAAGTGTAGGGTTTAGGAATCAGTTGTTAACTGTAAACCCTAAACCACAAACCCTTAAAAGGGATAACCCAAGACCCTAAACCCTAAATCTCCGAAGCCCTTCTGCATCTGTCTGCGATTCCGCGCGGCACCGTGAGGAGAGGGATTTGGTCCGGCTGGAGGCCGCTTTGGACGTCGTGGAGGCGCAAAAGCCGGAGCAGAGCTCACACCATGATTAATACCGTTCATACTCTTTTGCTTGATTCTGTGCTCAAGTATGTAATGGGATGCTTCCAGCAGAGTCAGGCCGAAGAGCGGAAGGAGCAGGAAGAGGCAGCCGAAACGCTCAGAGAGACCGAAGACGCAGGGAGGGCAAAAAGAGCGGCGCCTCGGCGCGTTTTGGAGCTGAGGCGAGGCTCATGAAAAAGGCCGGCTACTTCGAGGTCCTCGGGGAACTGCTCCTCATATGGGTGGTTGTCAAAATTGGGGTCCCCTTTTGGGTAAACTAAATAATAGGTACCGTAGTATACTAGGGATCCAAAAAGGGGCCATAATTTTGACAACTACCCAAAGGCTTGCAACCGAGTGAGCTGAGGGGTAAGCTCAGAAGTCTTCTGGCCAGGATGATGCCTCCGTGAATCGTCAGTGTGTCCGACGCTAAGGGACCTGAACATGAAACTTCGCTTCCCACTGCGTAGACAAGTCTAAGTTGCCAGCATTGGTCCGAGGTTCTGGTCCTGAGTGATGGCTTCTCGCAGATCAAGCGCATCCGCACGGACAAATGGAAGGTGCCGTGCTGAGTGGAGGGAAGGATTTCCCTCGCATCTGGAATGCCACATCCGGTCTCCTTACCTGTTCGACAGGCAGTTCGGTGCGGTGGTGCCGGGAAGTCGATTGCTGGTCACAAAAAGAAGAAGGCCAAGGATGCTCCGGCAAGCACGCGTCTGAGGAGAAGCCGTAACTCCGTAGCAGAGTTTGCATCACATCTGAAGTCGCGTTTGCATCCAAGGCGGGGATGAGGGAGAGGCTTGACAGCAGCACCTTCTGTTTGCACTCAGTGGACGTTGTTCGGCACCACAGGAAGAGGAGATGGAAGCGGATGGCGATGAGGAACTGCCGGATGCGATCAGCGCCGTCGGCTTCTCATGGCACCGCAAGAGCTTATCCCCAGAGTTGCGTGTGTGCACGTGTGACATGAGTTTGACAAACCAGAAAGCCATTTCAGACCTGATAGCGAGCCGAAAAAAAAGGCGGCACCTTTCCATTCACGTGATTCGCCTGCCATGGCGGCCATAGCTATGGCGATACTAACTTTACATCTCTGGAATTCAGCTGGCGAGAGGGCAGAGTTGCATCCGACAGAGCTTTCACGACGACCAGTCACGAAGCAGGCCAATGGTTCTGAAATTGGCCATTATAGGCTTTTCCGTTAGAGGCTACAGGCCTGAGCTGCTGACCGGCGCGATAGCTGGGCTGACGTAAGCTTCGGCACCGTCACATGCATGGCCCACGGCATCAGTTCCTGCGAAACAGGGATGGTGACTTTTAACTTAAACCCTAATTCCTAATTCCTAAACCCTAATCCCTAGAACGTAGAGTCTTCCCGGGAAGCTTTCGGAAGGTATGTCTGCTCCAGAGCCAGCGAGACATGCAAAAGATCTATGTTCCCGTAAACGATACAGACCGCGCCCACAGGGCAAAGAGGATCCTCTACAGCATCCCGGCAGCATCCCACCCTAAACCCTGAACCCTGAATCCTTCCATCCTCCAAGGGTTCCTACCAGTTTTTGAAGTATGCCTTGCTTGTCCCCCCTAAACCCTAAACCCTAAACCGCTCTGGTCTCAGGCATTGGTGCAGGTCTCCACCAGCTCCCTGAGCTGCAGGCTTGCCTTGAGACCTGGGCCTCCAAGCTCGGGGAAGGCCAAGAGTCCCAGTGATTTTCACTAGCCTCTTCCTTGGAGGTTCATGGGCAGTTATTAGTGGGGTTATAAGTCCCCTGATAAGAGTTATAAGTCTAGCTACCCTACTTAGAACCCTACTTATAACTTATAACTACTCATGAACCTCCAAGTCCCAAACACTTGGAGTGGAAGCTCGGGGGGCAGTCTTGACAAAGGTGAGCTCCAGGTCATTGGCCTTGGTGCAAAGGAGAGTCCGGTGGAGGCAGCTATAGACACGTCTGAAGTCTTGCGAGCCATTGCAAGGGTCCATGCGCGCATCAAAAAGCCACCTTGGCGATCGCAGGCGAAGACGGTGCTTTGGGATCCAGCGCGGGAGTGCCCGGACAGCCATGTTGGCGGTGCCTGCAAAGACGCTGTCGGCCTCGCAAACGCCTACGAGAGAGGCCGCAGCAGCAAGCTCTGACGTGTTAGCGTGGTTGTTTTCCCTTGTCCCCTGAGGTGTAGACTGGGTCGTGCTTCTGGGCACCGACAACTATGTTCTGCCAGCCCATTTCGAGAAGGCTCTTACGAGATTCGACCCTGCAGAGCCTCTCATCCTGGGCATCAGAGGCTCCGCGCTTGCGAAGACTCTCTAAAGTGTCAATGTCTTGCAATGCAGGAAGTAGCTGAGACTTCCAAGCATCTGTTGAAATCTATACACTTAGATGTCAGGGGCCGCAGTCAGTAACAGCCCCACAGCCCGGTCCCAACCTTCCGATGTTCAAATCTCTTCCGAGCTTTCAACCCTTTGGCCCCGAACACTTGAAGAATTTGGGCTTGGCTGCTGTTGTTGGCGGGTGCACTTGTGCCTGTACTTGTAGTGGCTAAACCTGATCCTGCGTGGGGCAGTGTGAAGGATGTGTAGAACCGTGACTCTTGGAATTTGCGGATTGTGAGTGCCATTTAAAGACAGTGTTTACGTAATTCGGTCGGGAGATTCAGTGAGTGAAGAGACGCGCTGTGTGAGGATGTGGACTGTTGGACTGTCCAGCCGGCGGGCTCTGTGGCGGTGGAGGGCAGGTCTTTAGTCGAGCTGCCCTGAAGGCCTTCTTGGCCCAAGGCGAACTCGTTGTGATGAAACTGCATAAGACAAGGGTCTCTTGTGTTTGCTTATGGGGGCCCAGGAGTGGGGTTTAGGGGTTCCTTTTCCTTTAGGCTGTCCTTTAAGGGGTCCTATAGGGGTTTGCTTAAAGGGGTTTCTCTCCTGCTAGGTCGGGAGGCCTTCCTCGAGGAGCAGAGGTCAGAAGCCTTGGCCATTGGTGGCTGGGGCGACGTGGCAAACTGCAGAGTTGCCGCGAAAAGGGATATACCTATTCGTCTCTTGGCCGAGATCTTCCTATCATGTTCCTTACATGGCGTGCGTGGGTTTAGAGACTTCTAGTTCCCTGGCCTCATAGAAGTCTGGTCCTGGTTTGAAATCCGGCTCTTCCGGGAGATGAGAGAGCCTGCCGGCCTTCCCGAATGCTTCATGGATGCATCGTTCCGAGGAAATCTTGCGGGTCTGCATGCTTGGGAAGTCGACGAGTCGAAGCTGCACAAGCGAGACCTGACCTTCCACTATGTCAGTGCAGCTGCGATGTATGAGATAGACAATGTGCACGGAAAGCATGTGCACAACGCGGTGCTTCTTGAAGCTGGTGTGCTCGAGTCTTCCTCTTACATCAGAGACAGGGAGGCCTATGTCGAGGCCGAAAACATGCGTCGCAACAGTCAGAGGAGATGACTGTTTGCGGCAGCCACAGCAGCAGCAAGCCCACTCGGCGCTGAGCAAATCACCGACAGCGCCCATTGACGGAGTGAGTGTCACCTGTACATTCGCACAGCTTTAGTGTGACTGCGCTGATGCGACAGCTGGGACGAACAGCGAATCTGCCGCAATGCAGACAAGAGCAGAGGAGCACGTATGACTCGGTCTCGACCGTCCCGGCCTGCCCCGTCTTCAGGCCTTTGTGTGTCGGGAGTTCGACGCGCTTCTGGCCTTCACTCGTAAAGGATTTGTTTTCCGGATGCAGGCGGGCCTTTGAGCCTCTCGTTTCTGAAGTTGCAGTCAAGTGAGAAAATCGGCGACAGGCCCTGGACGTGCCTCTGATGCACGGCAAGCGCCCGTCAGTCGCGGCCTCGGAAGGGGAATGCCCGAACGAAGCGATGTCATAAACCACCCTGAGCTGATGACTTCGCCAGAATGCTCAGGTGCCCATTGCTGAGCTGGCACCGAAGTTGCCGGAAGACGATTGCATTGCCTCAGCCCGCTTCCCTGCTTCTGATTCGTCTTGTTTGGAAGGGATGCAGCTCTTTTGCAGTGCGGAGACCACCGCGTCGCACAGGTCATGGCTGTTCCCCACGGAGCTTTGAAAGACCAAGGCGGGAGAAGCTTCTTGTGGTGCGTGCGAGTGTCCCCTTTACACTTTCCACAGGCCACGAGTTCGCGGTGGCGGTTTCTGCCAATGGCCTTGCGAAGAAGATCCCTCTATCAAGCTTTCGCAGCTTGCATGGGCAGAAGGCACCGGAAACGACGGCATGTTTTGCTTATGGACCTGAATCCCTTCTTGCATTGTTCCACTTGCAAGAACTGGACCTGCGCCTTCCCAGTGGATGAGAAGAGCCCAAGCCCGAGAAAACTATTCGGAAAGGCCTAGCATGGGCTTCGGCAGCAACAGGTGGTGACGAGCTTCGCTGGGTTCATCGTGCTTCTGCCCAGGACGTACCGTTACCATAGCTTTTGTGAACAGTGTTAGCTTGAGCATTTCTTTCCCTGATTCTCCCTGCAACTACAGACAGTCGTGACGACGTTAGTGGACAATAGTCCCAGCACTAACGTTTTAGCATAGTTATGTGCAGGCTGAAGACATCGGTGAAGATTGTGGTGATAATCAATGACGATGCGGTTATACATCAGTGTATGATGCGGGTATGTGCTGGTAACTCTTGACCTAGCTGTTGACTTGCAGCTCGCGCAAGTCAGGACCTCCTCGTGATGACTGCCCAGTCTGGCTATACCTTGTGCTTCTCCTTGGCGCTGGGCACTTGGTAGAGTGACAGTACAGGATGCAGAGGCATGCCAGGAAGTCTGCATAGGTTCTGATGTACATATGTACATATTAAATACATAAGTATATATAAGTATATACGTAGACAAATACATGAACAAATGTATGAATACATATACATGCATATGTGTGTGTATGTATATGTATGTACATGGTCACATAACCTCCACAGAACTCATATAAAAACCAACCACGGAGAAGCAACCCCGACCACCGCCACCACCACCGCCGGCGCCGCCGCCACTGCCACAGCCGCTGCCACGCCACCGCCGCCGCAGCCAAATAATCCGTGTGCATGTTGGTGGAAACCGAGCATCCCGGCCAACCCCAAAAATCCCCAGGTGCAATAACCGAGTTCAGTCGCCAAGCCCTAGTTCAGGAAACTCCGGACGTCGAATTCCCTTTCATTCCATGAGTCACGAGTCCATAAACCGTTTCAATCGTTACACACTGGTCGCATTCCTGGCATGGGCGAATCGACTCAGTGCCGGGAAACTTAGACTCAAGAAGACAAGGACCCTGTGCGTGTGTTTGTATCTCTGAGGGGCCTGCGTCCCTCACGAACGCTCAAGGCACGCGGATATCGATACAGTCAATTATACGCCAAGCTGGTTTGGTTGCACATGATGCACATGTTTTACTGCATTTTGCAATCAGCACATTCGGGCATGCGTTGTCCAACCGAGTTGAAGCTGCAGAGAGTTTGCACCGTCACGGGTGTGGAAGTTTTTGAAGGCGTCGTTTGTCCACGGATTGTGTTTGGTGGTATCCAGAAGAGAGTTTGTGAACGTAATTGCCGGTTGAGTATGTTCGAGTTGTTTTGTGGAGGCAAGACCGGTCCCGGCAATGAGACTGAAGGACGAGCAGTGCCGCCCCAACGCCTTGCAGGGGCGTGCGGAGTTGCTTTTGCTGTCAACCTGTCAACGCGGTGATGTCTGTGCTTGTCGCCGCACATAGGCTCTCAGGTCTTGGGTCTGTGCATGGCGATGCAGTAGAACCAGACCATTTCGACAAGAACTGACTGACAAGTTGGAGGATTTACCTTCCATGGAGTGTCATATGACCTGATTCTGATGTTTAGCCGACGAAGATGCCTGACGAGCTTGAAGTGACTGGCCCATTGCGGGGGTGAAGGGCTCGGGACTCGCGAAGTGGATCTTGGCCTAGCGATCTGCACCTGTTCTGGCACATGGAGCGCCGTTTGCGCTGTGTGCGCTGCAATGTGTTCCTTCTTGGCGGCAAATCAGCTGTCACCCCAGCATGGAGTCTGCTGTGTGCATGTGTGGAAGTGATTCGACCTATTGCTGCACTCCAGCATGGTGTCCTGTCCTGCTGCGAAAGCTAACTGCCCAGGCTCATTGCCAACCTGACGTTTGTCAACTTCTTCTTGCGCCCTCGCGGGCCAGATGCGACGAACCATGTGAGGCTTTCTATTCTCGTATGTGTCGGCGCTAAGCTAGCTGGGGACTTGCAGCCTAAGTTCCAGAGACCTGACTGACCTTAGATTGTCAGTCTTCTTCTCTGTCGGCAGTGCCGGAGTTTGGTTTATCATCCTATCGTAGATTTCCGGTGGCGTGTCTCACCTGAAAAGGGTCGGAGCTTCAACATTTTCCATGCCAAGCAAACCTTTCGAGCATCTCCTGCGACAGGCTCCAGGGGTTCGACTTCGTGCACAACTTGTTACACATGCTGCTGCCTCAGGTACAGTAGCAGAGCAGGGTGCTGCATCGGGTGAAGGACATTGCGTGCAATGGCCCACAGGACAGGAGAAAGAAAAACACAGCCCTTCTTCTCTGCAGACGGCCGCATTGTGGTGCTCTTCAACGGGGTGCGCCTCCCCACACTCAAGAAGGAGTCCTTGTCCATCAAACGACTCGGGCAGGAGATCTACAACTGGCGCCAGCTGAGCCAGGCGGCCGTGGAGCAAGGCGAACAACCGTTTGTTTCTGTTGGGGCCTCTTCTGCACCGCAAACTGACGGACTGAGACTGAAAGCGACTGAAAGATTGGAGCCTAGGATGGTGAAGCCATCCTTCCGGCTTATGCCTTGCTCGGAGCCTCCTTTCCCCTTGTGCCTTGCTTGCACCCTTGGAAGGTAGTTATTTCATACCCTCCCAGCCGAAGTGCGACTTGGCTTCTACGAGGTTTTGGAAGGCGAGTTTGCCATCGCCATCTTCGACTTTACGAAGGACCAGGCGATTTTCGCCAGCGATGCCTTCGGCACGCCGCCCCGGCTGTGTTGATTCCAAGCTGCTTTGCCTGAGCCAGCTTGAGTGCCGGTATGATGTCTTCAGATTTCCAGAGACTGCAATATACTACAGAATATACTTTAAATCTTATTAGGGATCCTTCTATAATTTAGGGTACATTCCTTAATTCAGGGATATTAGAGTCTGTGGGGTCAGACTTCCAGGAAACCCCTCTGGTACGCCTTGGTCCGACACAGGCAGAGGCCGGCGTGACCTGAGGGATGTCAGCAAGATATCGTGTACTCAAATCTTTGATGCCCAGCAACAAGTTAACAGCACTATCGAAACGGTCCATAGCTGCTTTCAATCCTCCTCCTGGTGCTTCTCTTCGTGCTGCTCCTTCTACAACTTGTGTAGTAGTCGCAGCAACAGCAACAGCCTCAGCAGCAGCAGCAGCAGCAGCAGGAGTAGGAGTAGGAGCAGGAGCAGAAGCGGTAACAGCAGCCTTAGCAGTGGCCGAGTGCAAGAGCAGTGGCAGTGGTGAAACCGCTCCAGGATCGCAGTTGCCTCCTACAAGAGCGGACTGCGCCGACTTGGCTTCAACAAGCGTTCTGACCCCAGCGGCTCCTAGCGTAGAGAGAGCGTAGAGAAATCGTGGAGTTTAATGCCGGAGTCTTGGCAAGTTGGTGTGCAGGTAACATTCACATGGTCGGTCCGAATAGGGTGCTGGCCTCACCAAAATACCGCAAAGATCACTGACAGCTCGACTCTTCCTGACAGGTTCTGACTGTGTGCCTGACGACTTTCCGTATCCTCAGAGAAACTTCAGTCTTCGAGCCGGGACCTCGTCAAGCATTCATCAAGTTCTGTGACACCTTACCTTTGGTTAGTAGGAATCGAAGAATGGTAGTAATAGTAGTTATAACTGTACCCCATTCCTCCATTCCCTACTAACCAAAGGTAAGACACGTGATCCCGTGGAGGTTTGATCTGCGACAGTTCAAGACCTCAACGAGCGACTTTTTCTCGGCCTTTAACCGGGCTGTGAAGATTCGTACCGAGGACAGCACAGATGCCGGACACAATGATGCGGGTTGATATCATTTGGGGTCTTTGGTTGGTTGGCAGATTCCAGAAAGACGCTCGGTGATCGTTGACATGTCACTATCACCCCAAAGCCATCTTTTCATGCCCGGTTTCCACGTGTACGTCTCATCCTACTCAACTTAGCCTATTTGCATGGTCTGAAAGGCACTGGATACGTCTTAATGGCTCCCTGTCCTCTAGCGTTCTTGACATGAGTTCTGATGTGGGTCGCAGTATGTACACGCTAGCAACGACGTCTTATGGACTCCCCCTTCATGGCTACGAAACGGAGCTGAGTCCTCGTTACCACGCTCTGTCTCTTGCTGGTCATAGCCGTCTTCGTGATTCGGATCATCCGAGTGGCCAGGACTTGATATCGACAGGTCGCCCTTTGTTTATAGGCCTTTCGTCGGGCTTTGCCTCGGCCTTGGCAACTTCTTGTGCAATATTTTCCAGACTGAGCTGTTTCTGCCAGCATGTGAGAAAGCCAAGCCAGGATTCTGGAGCTATTCATGCATCGCTACACCACCAGTCTGTGAAGCACCACGTCGGCCAAACATGATTGATAGATTGGCTGGGATTACGCTTTGACTTCTGCAGCGCCAGGCATTTGCATTGCTTGGTGAGGAGGCCGAAGCTTGTCATCGCTTCTCGCCCCGTAAGCCCTACACCAGACGCCATCTCTTGTCTCTGAGTTTTAGTGGAGGTCCCCGCAGTGCTTCATGATCGTGCCATGCCCATGCCCCAGTTGAAACGGGTATCGGTGTGGACGCGAGAGGGTCGGCTCCGAGGTTTGCTCAGACTACATCCGAGGCCAGGCGGTGATAGTCGCATTCCGCTGGAAAAATTGATGATCCGAACAGGTGTCCATCGTCATGATGAACGAGCAGGACAGCATCATGCTGTTGTTCCCGGCACAGCGAATTCTTGGATAGGTTTTGCATGGATAGGATTTTGAGCTCGAGCACGACTGGCTGTCGCAAAGAGCCGAGCCCTTCTGGTGCGCTGCAGCGCTTCTATTTCGTTGGTCCCAGCCCAAATTCGCAGAAAGTGATAGCAGTGAAGTGGCAAGAGTGGGGGGCCATGGGCCAAAACCAAAACAGTTGAAAACCAAAAGCCGGGCGCAACGCACCGTGCTCAAAGCATGCCATAACAACTTTGGCGTTCGAAGGTACTTGGGGGCCAATGCCACCGGCCAGACCAATGTCTTGAATGACTTTGCATCCACAGGCTCGGCTTCGTTGGTGCATTGACGAGCTGGGACAATTTGCACTGATGATCATCGTCAGGGCTCAGCTACATAGTAAGTGGCCCAGTCTTGGCGCCGCATGCCACTTGCCGGTCCTTTAGCACTCCGAGGTGAGACTGAGTCGGGACAGAGGAGCGCTCTGCTACCTGTCCGGATCCGGAGCTGACGCAATCCCGGACTTATTTTGGTGCGTCGTTGGGTCTGTTGGGATGTCTTACACTTCTGTCGCCAGGAAATCTTAAGCGATTATGGTTTTGCTGGAGACAAGTGGTGTCCGTTACCGCCTTGGGTACGAACTGCAGCACAGAGCTCAGAGGTGCAACTGAAATGGAAGCAAGTCGCTAACTGAGGCAGTCTTCGTTTGGTGGACTGCGGGCGGCTTAGCAGAGTCAGAAATCCAAGTGTCGTGTTGTGTCATGCTCTTGTGATCTATCTCGGAGTGGCAGAGGGAGGAAGATGGAGAGAGAAACAGACAGGGACGAGGGCCTTCCTCCGTCTCGCAGACCGTTTTTTTTTTAAACACCGGTTCAGGTTTTTAAAGAAAACCTGTGAGTCCTGGTCTGTCCCGGCACACTTGGCCTTCCTGGGTATCACCGCATGCGTCGGCTTCATTTATCGAGCTGGCGGCAGCCTGGCACAGTCGCAGTCGCTGGTGCTCCTTCCTTCAAGCCGGAAGCAAAAGCGGGACGGGTATATACCCATGGACAACGTACACCTACAGACGGGCAGTGTATACATGGAGGTAGTTTCGGCATGATCCTGCCGTTGTAATTTTGGATGAGGTTTCCGGACAACTTGACGACAATCTTCCCCTGGGCAGGGCGAGGAGCTCGGCAACAGTCATCGGTTTTGTGCAGCTGCTGCGTCTGCTGCTGCAGCGGCTTTTCAAGAGGTTCTTCTTGTCTACACAGCGGGACTATCTCCACAAAGAAGAACATGTCGCCGCGGTCTCAAGGTCACCTGCGCATTCCGCTAGCTTGTCAGATGCTAAAGTTCAAGCCACCTGGTTACTTTCCGAAAAGAAGGGGTACCACGTTTTGGAGTCCTTATAATAAGTATCCTACTATTTAGGGTACTATACTAGGGTCCTCCCCCGACCTTCAGGCTGGAGCTCACGGAGTGGAAGCGAGGTATCCATTCCTGGACCCTAAAGTGGTGCAGGAGCAGAGAAGTCGAAGGCTCAAGGCTTCCTGAAAATGCATGATCTTGCACGAGAGGAGTTTCTCTGGCTGGCACCCGAAGTAAAAAACAGGGAGTACAAGGCCAGCTGGCGTCAGAATTGCACCTGGAGGTTCTTGGGTAGTTACGAATAAATAAGTAGGGTTGTAAGTCGGGTAGCTAGGCTTATAGCCCATATTAGGGGACTTATAACCCTACTTATAACTACCCATGAACCTCCAAGCAGGATCTTGACGCTGCGCGTGTCAGACACGTTCTCTTGCAAGCGCAGCTGTGATGTCGTAGGGAGCAAGGCGTGCCACATCCCAAAGCCAAATGCTGTCTGATGCACGTGGAGTTTCCTCGATGCTACGCTAAAGCCTAAACCCTAAACCCCTACAGGAGTCAAGAAAGTTGGAATATGGTTTCTTGGTAGGATACCCTGTAATTTACCATAGAAGGGTTAGGATAACCATATTCCAACTTTCTGGCTTTTACCTTAAACCGTTTGGATGCCAGATCTGCGCCGTTCTCTCGGCTCTGTAGACCGGGGATCCTGGAGTGCCCTTAGGCCACCAAGGTCCTGGCCCTGGCACCGAGGCTGCAGCCGGAAAGGCCTTTTGCTTCTTGCCATGGGGATCAGAGAACTCAAAGTCGAGACCCTGAACTTGCCCTAAAACCTTAAACCCCAACCCCACAAAATCCTAACCCCCAAGACTGAGGTGAATAGGTTTTATAAAACCCTATAAAAAAAACCCTAACCCTCAAGACCGAGGTGAAATGAAGCTCAGCATGCTGCGGTTTCTTTGCCTCTGCCTCCTGGCGCTGCCCGCAGACTCGGCAAGCGTCCTTACGAAGGCGCCCCGAAGCCGAAGCCGCGGCCGGGTAGAGCGGATGCCGTGATGGGAGCTTCCCAGAGAGCCCATGTACCCCTTAATTTAGGAATATGGCTCAAATTATAAAGGGCTTCACATCATGATTTAAGCTGCTTTTTTCCCTTAATTAGGGAATATGGCTTAAACTAAAAAGGGCTTCATATTATGATTTAAGCTATATTCCTTTATTCAGGGGTATTGGGCTCTCTGGGTTCTGGAAGGTGCTATCCATGCTGAAGAACATGAAAGAGACTGGCCACTTGGGTGAATCCCGATGCGCCCTTGCAGTTAGACTCCCAAAGCTATGAATCGGTGAGCTGAGGCGTAAAGGAGAAGCAAGAAGAAGCTGTACAGTATGCTGCATACAAGACCTGGTGTGACGGAGAGACTGCGTCAAAGACCAGAGAGGCCGGGTGAGGGCGGCAACCAGTCTTTAACGTCTTTAACCGTGCACCGCAGCCTGTCTTGGAGGTCGGGGAGCTTTACGACCAGGTAGAGCTGCTGAAAGCGGAGGTCGCAGCTTGGCACAATCATGTAACATCTTAGATCACATGATACTATACCATACTATACTATACCATACTATACCATACTATACTACAGTATGCTACACTATACTATACACTCATATACACGATGATATCCTGTGGCACATTTACTTTCAGAGCAAGGCATCCTTGGGCCTCGCATCGTCCAAAGCCTCCGAGCCGAGGAGACGGCGGAGGCGTCGAGCGGTACCTTCGCGGAGAAGCTCGAGGGCCCGGGCCCCGAAGCTTTCTTATTTTTGTTATGTATCTTTCTCTCTCTACCTCTCTCTCTCTCTCTACCTCTCTCTCTCTCTACCTCTCTCTCTCTCTCTACCTCTCTATCTACCTCTCTATCTATCTCTCGATCTATCTTTCTCTCTCTCTCTCTATCTCTCCAGGGTTTTGGGTTGAGGACTTGGGGTTTGGGGGGTTGTTTTTCTGTGGGCAGGCCTGACTGCCGACATGACGAAGTGGACGGTCGAGGCAGAGAACGCCACGGCCCTGAGGAAGCAGCAGAGGATAACTTACCAGGAAACGCACAAGGCCGGTCTTCTCCTTGGCGTTTCCAACCTTATAACTTACTATAGTATACTACAGTCGATATTTCATTGTTGTACACGATGTCAGATTACAGTATATTACAAACTACAAGCCTTGGAGCATGTCTTCAGCTGCGGCCAGGACTTCACGGAGTCGATACAGGCGATCATGGGAGCCCAAAAGGCCTTGAAGGACAAGGCGAGGCAACGGTGATCCGCTGCGCGTGTCTCCCTGCCTTGTCGGGAGGCCGGCGCGTCGAAGGCGCAGCGCACTACTACAGGGACATGGAAGAAGAGGGGAATCCGGCAATCGGCGTGATGGCAGTGCTTGCCATCACGAATAAGCAGGGGAGTAGAAGAGAGATGACCGAGATAGACAAATGAGAAAAGCAAATAGCCCAGAAGTGCTCGCAGATTCTGCCAGGCGCTCGCACTCTTAGCGACCCTGCCCCTGCCGGCGGCAGAGGCAAAGCAGGTCACCTCCTTTCTGTCAATGCCGGGACCTTGGAAGCAGTCGTCAGCTTTCCACTTGAGCGATGAAAGGTTGGGGGGAGGCCATTTGTGAAGATGACTCGCGAGTATTTGTCAAAGAGCATCCCGTTGTGTTCCCAGGTATCACTCTGACGAAGAGGCCCCTCAGCCTGAGGGCCTGGATGCCTTCGATCTCTCGACCTCCAGTATCACGGAGATGCTGGACAAGCTCCGCAGGAGCCTCAGAAGACAAATGGCTGATCTCGGTGGCAATGCGGTACTTGCGGAGCCTGTCCAAAGACGCTTGCCCCACGCATTACCCCAAGTCCCCATGAGGGTTGCCAGGGTTAGGCTTCTGTGTCTTGCAAGCAAGTCAGTCCGAACCAAGATGACAAGTTCGCTGACGAGCGCAGCGAGCTGGAGAAGGAGGAAACCACGCGCAGCCACGTCGCTTGTTTCCCACACCAGCCTGACATGTAATATGGTCTTATCGGTCGTAAGTCCTGCACTCGAGTGTCTGCAAACCTTCCAAGGCTCACGAACTCCTGTCTCAGAAACTGAAGACGATGCATCGACGCTGAGATGTTGGCAGTTTCGCATGCTGTCACACCCGCCAGCAGTCACAGCTTCTCTACTTATAGAGCCGCAGTCGTCGGAACCCGGCCTGTAAGGCTCAGCCAAACGAAGGCATCCCAGCAGGAGATGACCCAGAGCAAGGCCAGAGTGGGATGGGCCATAAGCTCCTTTCAGATTAATAATAGTATTAAAAATAATTGTAGTAATGATAATAATAATGATAATAACCCCCAATGCAAACATATTTATGTGTTGCCCGGGTTCAGAACTTCGGTGCTTTGCAGGTTTCGGATCCCCGGTGTCATCGGTGTTTCAGAAGCACTTCTCGGAATTGGCGCAGGCCGCAGCGCAGCAGACCGCGGCCACAAAGAAGGCACAGGCCGAGGACACGGAGGCGAGGGTTTTTTTGAATTCCGTCGTCTATTCGATGCGCTCGAAGAAAGGGTAGCTGCTGTGCCTCCGAAGTGCGCAGGCCTCCCTGGTCGAGGAGCAGAAGTATCTGAAAGAAGTGCAGGTGCGCAGAACGACTTGACGAAGTGTTCAATTTGACTGAGTTTACTTTTCAGCGCTGCCTCAATGCGGTATTTTGCAAACAGACATGTGCACGAGCAGATACGGACGAGAGAAGTTCCGACTCTCATTGCATGTCTCTCGTTCGTGCATGCTGCACCCACTGCAGATGGGCTCCTGAGCGCTCAGGTAGGCCACACTACATGGACTCTTCACTGAATCTTTCCCATGTCAGGACATGCCTGAATGGTGCTCCTTACTCTGAACTGCTCAACGGAAGCAGCGGCAGATGTTCGTCCAAGCTGTCGGTTTTTGCAGCTCCGTTGTTTCTCTTACTCCTGGTGAGTGGGACTGTCCCGGCCGAGGCCGTCGTCAGTCTTCTGCAGCGTGACACCTCCATCGTTTCGCAGCGGACGCTGGCACTTCAGGAGGACTATACTTCCGCAAAAAAGGATCCCACAGATCAAGTCGATAAAGCCGAGCTCCTCCGATTTGTGACTCCATATGCAGCTGAACTGGAAGCAATCGTCGACATCACTGCTTACAGTCAGTTGCTTGAGACGGTCCTCAATGCCAGTGGCAAAGTCGAGTTTTATGCAGCGATTGATACTTGGGTCGGGAACGACACACGTCGCAAGATCGTGTATGTCGACAATGTCACCGGTGTTTGTACAGCTTTCAACACTTCTGACGGGAACTCTTGGAATGTTAGTGTGGACTTGGTGGTGTGGCCAAAGTCTCCCGTGCAGAACATTCGCCCAAGGACAACAATCATGCTTGCAGAGTCTTTTCCGAAGCCTTTGATTCCAATCGGAGAGATCGCGGCCTCAGAAGGGACGCTGGCTGGAAATGAGCTGAATCTGACGGAGGCTGCTGACATAAAGGAGTCAGATGTTTTTTCGTGTCCTCACGGCCTCGATGCTTTCAAGAGAGGCGCCCGGAATGGAATGATCGCCCAGTTTGCAGAGCAGCACTTTGTCGCGAGTCGCTCGCGACATGATGAAGGCTTCCTTGCGAATCTGACCAGCATGCTGGAGGAAAGCTTTCTGGAGACCCTGATCCTCGGTGACCTGGTAGCGGGTTCGGTGAAGAAGGTCCTTCAGCAGCCATCGAAGCTCCTCGAGGTGCTGCTTAGCGAGCCCGCAGAGCTTCGGGAAGGGATGCCCGTGTTCTTTGCAGGTGGCGGCACTGTGACGGACCAGCAATACTCGTCAACTTTGTGGCTGAACATGTCCTCTCCCTTCGTGCCCGTGGGCTTCGTGAAGCAGGTAGTCAACAACAGCCACTTCCTTGCCAACCTGACGATGCCTTGCTTCGAAGGGCTCTATTCAACAACGTTCCCGGGAGTTCAGATTCCCCGAAACAAGGACGTTATCCCAACTGCCAAGAGCAAGCTGCAAGCCCTGCTTCAGCTGGGCGTCTCTTCCGGGCGTGCCTTGCTGAAGCGCCACGAGCGGCCCAAAGCCAGCTTACAGATCCTGCACTTCCACGAGCAGGCCTTAGAAGAGCAGTTTCCGATGGCTCGTGTGGACATCGGCTCAGGGAGTACTTCTCCGCAATCGGTTGCACGCGCGGAGAAGCAGCCGGTATGCGTTGTGCATCAAGAGTCGGCCGGGAATGTTTTGGAAAGGCCATTCACCACCAGACTGTTGCACGGGGAGCGAGCTATTCTGCATTTGACAGTTACCGGGCATGGTTGGGCAGCCACGTCGGAGCAGTGCGGCGAATACTGCCACGCAGTGTATAACCTCCAGCTGAATGGCAAAAGCTTTGCCAACGTCACGCAGTGGCGCGATGACTGTTACTTGAATCCGACAGGGCCCTCGCAGCACGGGACTTGGTTCGAGAGCCGGAATGGTTGGTGTCCGGGCAGTGTCGAGCCAGGGGTTTTCATCGACATCAGCGATCACCTAGACACCGCTGTGGCGGTTAACACCTTCAAGCTGGACTTGAGCGTCTGGTTGAATGCTACCCACCGATACGATGGATACACGGATTACAACGGTTTCATCCAGGGGGATACGGCTATGTTGGCCGTGACAACCCATGTGCTTGTATATGGCAAGGGTGCGGTTGACGCTGCTTTGGCGGCCCCACATGCTTCGTCCAAAGCCGAAGCAGCGATTCGTCAGGGTTGCAGCGATCCGGGTGCCCTGAGACCTCCCACAGTTGTCCAAAACCTCCCCGAAGGATTTGTGAGCTCCGCGAGTGCAAGAAAGCAGCAACGAGACATGACCTATCCCCCCGAGCCGGTGGTACCCCCACAGGAAGTGCCCTTCAACTTCGAGGCTCGGGCACCCTGGTATTTCTACAACGCCTCCAGAGAGACTCTCCCTGGGCTTCCTGTGGGTGCGCAGTACCTCCCCGTCTTCCCGGGCCGCTTGGTGCAGTCCAACACCCGCACGGTCTACGCTTCGGTCCTTGAGGATCTGGGCCTTCCCGCGGATCTGTCTCAGCGGCAGCTGGCCTTACGCTTCCGTCTCCTGAAGCCTAGCCACCTTGAGGTGGACCATTGGGACCGGATTGGGAGCCTGGGGCTCTTGGTGCCCAAAAACCTCCCCCAGGTGCAGATGAAAACTTCGGGGCCGCCGGCGGCCAAGGAGTACAAGTACTGGCAGCTGTCCAAGTGACCTTAGCAGGGTCAAACACTGGCCCCCGACTTGTGAGAGCGCCGACAAAGAAGAGTGTGGCTTGCAGGGGTGCGCGCCGAGGCCGCCGGCGGTTTGGTTGGGTTGGGAAGAATACGACACCAACCGCTTAGCATAGCAGACCCGGCCCCTTGCTCTTTGCTGCCTTCATGCCGTCAAAGTAAGCCGAACCGGTTCGAATAATGCCACGGGCCGCAACCATCGTCGCAGCATTAAAAAACTGAAGAGCCGCCGCAGACTCTGAAGCTTCCGCCTCTGGAGTGGAGGCCACCTGTGAGCAAAAGGCCGCCGACTTTGCAGAGAGGAGCCACCTCCGCGAAGGGGAGTTGGAAGCCATCGGCAAGGCAGGGCAGGGCAGAGATGCCTCCAGGTGCAAGGTGTGGGGCCATTTGAGGATTCTAAGATGAGCCCTAAGAAGTGGTGTAGCAAGAGCATTGTACCAGAGAAGCTCAGGAAGGTCACGGAATCTTGATATCAGAAGGTTTGCAGAGATGTCCGCCCGTCGTGTTCTGGGCAAAGATGCATCGAACAGCCCCATTGCGGAGTCAGCGTTTGCTCCAATTCAGTTGTGTGCAGGCGATCGATCTGCTGTCCATGAAGGAGGTTGGCCTGACCCAGACCCGGCTGCAGTTCAAGGCACGAAGAGGGAGAGTTGCAGATGTCATAGACTTCGCAGTCGCAGCTGCAAGGCGTTTATTCCACTCCCTGCTCTAGTCGTTTCAGCACGTCGCTTGTTCAAGTTCTCGTTCATGCAGCTTTCCCCCGCACGGGCATAGGGCTCAATCAACTCTCATGCTGCAAAGCTTCACGTCGTCGCGGTAAGCCCAAGCCCAGTAGGGCCTCAGAGCACGACGGAACCTCAGAACTACCGCAACCTGCCTCCACAGAGCCCCGGAACTGCTACCTTATTTGGGGATCCTTATAATAAGGGGTACTATATTAATAGGATCCCCTATTTTCGGAAACTGCCACAGGCTGGCACCGCGCTGGTGTCGCTGCGCCTTGCGCCCGAGGCCGAGGCTGGCAACGTCCCTTACCCTATAATGGGCTATAGAATGGGTATATAATAGCTATATTAAGGGTATATACCTAGGGGTCCTTATGAAGGTCCAAAGGAGCAGAAACAAAGCGCCAAAATGCGACGTCCTGGAAGGGTTCCGGATATTTGTTTTAATGGATCTGCCTTTCGTGTTGGCCACTCTTCCTCCTCCTGCTGCCACTACTGGTAACTGCTACTCCTCCTGCTCCTGCTGCTACTGCTTCTACTGCTACTACTGCTACTACTGCTACTACTCCTACAGCTCCTACTACTACTCGTACTACTCGTACCACTGCTACCAATGTTACTACAACTTAGATTCGCTTGCTACTTGAGAGGCCCGGGCGGCCAAGTACCTGCAGAAGCAGGCCGTCAAGTTCAACAGCGCCGGCCTCAGCCACGGCAGTGTTTCAAGGGTTTGGGCAGGGGTGGAAGGTCGTTGGGTTTCGTGGCTACCGCGCGCCAGGCCGGATTCTCTCTTCGATGGCCGCTCGCATTGGCTCCGCAGCTGCAAAACCGCAGGATCATCAGTGGCGAACGCGGCTTTTGGGATAGGCTTGCTCCGCAGAAGTGAGATGCAAGGTCTCTCCGCGGACCCCATGGAAAAAGTCCGCAAGATGGTCGAGGGCATGATCACCAGGCTGGAGGTCGGCGCTTTTCGGGCTGTGACAAGACCTGCCTTCATGATTTTGGGGTCCGGTAATGTCGAAGCGTAGCCCCAACCGTGCAGCTTTGCGGAATCTGCAGGAGGAGTCCAGCGAGGACATGGAGCACAGGGACTGGTGCGACAAAGAGATGGGCCAGAACGAGAAGGCCCGCACGTCCCACGAGACGGATGTGGAGGACACGCAGGCCAAGGTCGAGTCGGCGGAGAGCGAGGTAGCAAAGCTCGCATCCGAAATTACCGAGCTCATCAGCCAGCTGGCCGAAAACAAGGAGAGCCTGGCGAATCAGACGAAGGCTCGCGAGGCGGAGCAAGCCGAGAACAAGAAGACCGTTACCGATGCCCGGGACGCCAATAAGGCGGTGACGGAGGCGATGTCGGTTCTCCGGGAGTACTACGCGAGCATGAAGAAGCCCAAGGCGGCCTTGGTCCAAACTGCCAAGCTTGGGGCCGCGCCCGAGGTTTTCAATGGTGCCTATGCGGGCCAGGGCAGCGACAGCGTTATTGCCATGCTGGAGGCAGGGCGGGGCTGGAATCATGTGCAGTTGGCCCACGGACGTGGCCCACTGGAGCCCACTGGACTGGACTGGGGGTCTTGTTCAGGGAATTAGCAAGGTTAAGCCTTTGGGCATGAGCCGAAGGCTTGGCATCAAGGCTTGAGGCTTTCAGAGGAGGGCTTGGGCCCCGGCTTTGAGCTCGGAGTCGATGTCCACTGTGTGGTGCAGGTGGTCCAGTCTGACTATGCCAAGCTGGAGAGCACCACAGAAGCTCAGGAAGCATCTGCAGAGAAGGACTTCACCAACCTCAAATCGGAAATGGCAGTGTTGGAGGCAGACCTCCTCTGCCTTTCTGAGTTTGTGCTGCTTCGGGCCTTCAGTACTTTCTGCCGCCTTACGCGCCTCTTTCTCGCTTGGAGCCAGGCGCAGCAAGAGAAGGACTTGGAGCACAAGAAGCTCCAGAAAGGCGAGAAGGACACGGCTTGGAAGCGCCACCAACCACCCAAGGCCTGCTAGCACCTAGCTGCCTAGCTGCTAGCTTTGAGGAGCAGCTCATAGTGAGCCTCACCTCCGACCTGTCAAAAGCTCAGCCTGCAGCCTGTGCCCATGATAAATCTTCCCCATGACTTGATCGCATTCGAAGGGAACTCGTAGTGGGGCCGAGGTCAAACTCCAAGAAGGAGCTTCAGGCGGCGGAGGAGTACTACGAGCAGCTCAAGGCGGGTTTGTTCAAGCAGTGTCTTGAGGCTAGGGTGCTTCACACCCCAATGTGCTGGTAAGTCCGTACTGTTGTGGCTGCCCTTATCCTTCATGATGTACTGTACTTCAACTCTAGGGTTACTTGTTCTGTGTTTCCCTACCACTGTCAGCTTGCAGAGTTGCTTTTTCCTGTGTCTTGTGCTCCTGGTGAACCGGTTTGCTTATCTTATGCTCCTTCGTTAGCCAGTGTTACTCGGTCACTCGAGTATTATGCTACCGTATCATGATGTGGCCCTCAAAGATCCCCGCTAAGCATATCGATATTATGTTTCCAGAAGATTGAAGTACGAATGCTGCCGCCACCATCCCGCAATCACTTCGTCAGCTTCATTGTCATCGCCATCTCACATCCTGTTGCTGCTGCCACCAGAAGAACACCTGGCTAGCAGCTGTTACGGTTGTTGCCCGTGCCACTATCGTGTCTGTTGCCGCTATTAATTAGAGCACACCGCCACTACCCCTGTACCTGCTACTTCGGTGTGGGCGAGGACAGTAGTGAGGATGTGTAAGACTTAGCATGACTCTGACAACGCTGTTCTGACCACAGCCCCCCGAGCGGAGCTCGACAGATGATCTTCTGTTGCCAGGACTCCTGCCTGGCGACCGGCTCCACCGCTCAGGAGCGCAATGCACGACGGCAGGAAGAGATTGAGTCTCTCAAGGAGGCAGGATGTGACGCGAGGGAAGCATGGTGCTGACTGCCTCTTGGGCAAACGCTGCGAGCGATCGGATGCTAGCTTTCATGACTTTGCCAGGCTGTCGACCTCCTCGGCACAGAGGCTTAGGCGATTCGAGTCTCATGCGGTGCTCTGACGTCTGTGGAACCGAGACCTTAAAGCCTCGCGGCTCCCAGGAGTGTCCCACTTAGAGGGAAGAGAGGCTCGTCCAAAAGGGACTGATGCCTTGGTCTGTGTTTTCGATGAAACAACCAGGGTGTATAGGGCGTGACAGCTCGCGACAGCGAGACAAAAAGATGCCCTTTCTACGTGTTGAGCAGGTGCCCTGGATGTTGAAATTGGTGAACCACTGTCACCAAAGCAGGCTCCACTCCACGATGCCTTCGCCAACTGGGGCGTGGTGCTGATCTGCACGACTTCCACTACAGCAGAGCTTCGTGACTGTAGAGGTGTGGAAGTTCTCTTGAGCCGCAAGGCTACCCCTTCGAAAAGCGCAAGAAGACCGGGTTCGCTGCGAAAGCCAACTTGGTCTCCGACCCGACGAGCTACCTCTGGTCCCAAGCTCAGAACTCTGCAGATTTTTGAGGTAAAAGGGCCCTCCTCTCGACTCCGAGGCGCTACCACGCCCTGCCTCCGGCTGTGGAGCTGGCTGTCTTGATCCAGGAATCCAGGCCTTGGGGCCTGCACTGGCTTTAGCTCCCGGGCCAGGCATGTGGACCTCATTCCGGCACGCCGGGCGGAGTCTCGATCTGCCTCCCGGAGCCCAGCACAGAGGGAAGGCGCCGTGCCACAGACGTTGGCTCTGTCTTTGCGATCCTCTTAGTCTTCCTCCGCGGTCGCGCAAGGCTTCGGTGTGCCGGCGTCCCCAGCACGATCAGTCCGACAGAGCTGCAGGGCAATGCATCGTCCTGGCTGCTTGAAGCTATCAGATGCTCTCAGGATGTCCAGTGCATGGACAACCGGACGCCTACTGCTGACACGTTGCGGCGCCTCTCTCAGAGACCCTGGCATTCTTGTAAGAAGATGCCCGATGCAGTTTCTCCAAGCGCAGGTGCGGTCACTACGGCGCCTGGGTAGGGCAGCTTCATTGTCTGGAAGAGGCGGACCCGATTTCATCAAGTGGAGGTTGTCGATGTTTCAGTAAGACGGGCACGTCTAGGATGATGTGCTGCCGACTCTGTGGGCAGCCGCTCCTTGCCTGTGAATTTCGTGCAGACTTTTGCTTCAGAACCTGGATATTCCGCCTAGCTCTGCTGTCTCTCTCAGCCCAGGACGGGCCTCGACCACCTACGGTGATAGATCGTGCGCATTCATGACCTGTATCGTGGGTTCATGCCAGAGAACAAAAAAAGGGTGGCGAGTGGAGGTGCGTTTTGACAGAAGTGCAATGGATTCAAGCAGTTGGGTTGCCCTTGAGTGTAAACGGAGCGATCCTTCGCCCCCCAAGCAATTCCATTCTGTCGTGTCCCGTGTTCTGGAAACCACGTTTTGTTCGCACGCAGGGTTGGTGGCTGCGGTATTGCCTCTGTCCCGGAGAGCGTTCGTGACGATGCTGCCAAGCCGGAGAAAGCCAAGAGGACTTGATACCGAATGGATGCGTGTAGTACTGTAGTATGCATACGTAACTTCAACATTGAAAATGCTTGGATGTCCTGTCGGAGGATCAGCGGATACAATCTCTTCTGCAAGGAGCGCAAAGGGGAATCAGTGCATGCTGCTCGTTGTGGTGGAACTCACACTCTTGTGTGTCTTTCTATAACTTTTCAGTGTCGGCACATGCCTCTGTTCTCCCATTGCGGTCTTGACTTGAGTTGTTCGTAAGCATACTTCATCACCTGCTCGCATATGCTAATAATGACGAGAAAGCCGCGACATGCTGAAGAACCGAGCACGCTAAGCTACATCGTCCGCAAGGCAAGAACGCCGTGCACCTGTCGCTAGCCCGAGGGAGTTCTCGCTAATACTGCTGCGCTGGTTCGACGCGAAACTTCAGAAAACGAGAGGCAGCTGCTTCAGGATGGGCGGATAGGCTAGTTGGGCTGTCATTGCAGGTGTGCCTGCTGAGGGAGCAGGAAGAGATCGACTTCGTAGGAAGAATTGCAGTTATAGTGCAAGATCTAGGGTTCCACGCCAGGAGCGGCTGTCATAGCTAGCGGGGCTCAGAGGCCGGAGCTAGGTTTGGATGTCCCCGTAACGTGCCAAAGTCTGGGGACATCCAGCATTGTACACAAACTGAAAAGCAAAGCTGGGTCAAGGACCCTCAGAAACGCTGAAACGTTTCCACGTGAACGATCGTTAAAGGTCAGCAGTCATCATGACATAGAGCTACAGGCAGGAACTACTTGGCAAAGCCCGAGAAGGACAGATATTTTATTCATTCGTTTGAGGTGTATACAGCGAAATCCCGCAAGCAATGTCTCATTTTCGTTATGCTACCGAGGAACGTCATGTCATTGAAGCCAACAGTGGTTCCTGTTCAGAGGAACAGGAACCAGCGAACGTTTGGAACTTCTTACATGCTTCGATGGGCAGCCCCATGTTTTCCGCGAGCAGAAAGCCTGTTCGGCTTCATGTGAGATGTACAAGAAGGGCCTCTTATTCCTCCATCACATGGTCCCAATTGCATGAAGAGGACAACAATCTCCCAGCGACAAGCGAGAGTAGACAAAAGGAGCCCGAGTACTCCTGGTGTTAGCTGTGGCTCTGCAGGAGACGGGCACCGGGGTTAAGCAGGTCCACGGCTTAGATTCTATGCCACTCAGCATTGTGAAGCCGCGGTAAGCCGTGTCCAGGACCAGTTCCGGCTCTGGTGGCGCCAGTTGCTTGTTTCGTGGGTTCAGGCTTCCGCGGCCTGGAGCTCGCTCGGCGAGTCGGAGAAGGAAGAGTGGCACGCAAAGGCATGCCGGTAGAGGGTTTGGAGGGTTTGGTGAGCTTTGCTAAGCAGACCATCTCGACTGCTGCAGGCCCGGGCAATGAATGGCCAGAATCCGGACACGGAGGAGGTCATCGCATCGGGGATTGGGCCATATTCAAGTCTGTGACAGTCATAGGCGGCAGCAACGGGTGCTGTCGGCTTCATCTGGCCTGCTTTCATAAGCTACATTTGCTGTTGCTCATTGCTTTACAATCAATCCTTCCAACCTGCTATGCTTTCAGGTTCTGTAATTTTCGTGTTCCCCTGTGTTTTGCTGTCTCCTTTTCCGATAAGCGAAATCGGTGCGAAATCTTGCAGTAAGGGTGTACATTCGGGTGTAAGAGCCGCTGCACTTTTGTTTTCATCAAACTTCGCTTGCCACCGCAGCGTTGAAAGTTGTACCTTTCATTGTGACGCGTTGTTCCAGGCCCCTCCTCCGGCATCTACTGGGCCGCCAAGAAAGCGTCGCAGTCTCAAGCAAGTGAAGCAGATGCTGGTGACAGGTTCTGCCCCACTGTGCAGGACACGTGGCAGACGATGATGATTCTGACAATGAGGAGGATGACGAGAGGCCAGCAGACACTGCGAGCTCTTCCCGAGCCGGTTCCCGCTGGAGCCAGGCCTCCAAGCTCGAAGCAGGCCGCAGGTAACAGCACCTCAGAGGCAAGTAGGCACCACAAATACATCAGAGCACATGGCTGCGGCCTAGACAAGGTGCTGTGCTCGGCAAGCTTCGGAAGCTGGTGTCCAGAGTCACGACAGGCATCTGAAAGCGTGCGCCTAACTTAATCGGCTGCAAACACCTCACGTCAGCGAATGCAGGTCCTGAGGTGATGCAACAGAAGAGTGCAAAGGCGGGTGTTTGTATGTGTTTGTGATGCCTTCGTAGCCACCTTGTCCGTGCATCAGATAACGGACCAGGCCGATCCCGAGGATGAGGACGAAGAGGTTCCGCTTTAATCTGCACCCGTTTCACCGACATTGCCTCTCGCTTGCGGAAGTGTCCCCTAAACCCTAAGCCCTAAACCCTAATCCGTACACTCTAGTCGCCCGAAACCCTAAACCCTTGATACCTACGGACCTAGAGCATCTCCAGGCGGAGATGGACGATGCGCGGAGCAATGTGCCCACAGAGGCGCTCAAGCAGCTTCCCAAAGACTCCAATATCCCTTAGTTAAGGAATGTACCCTAAATTATAGTAGGATCCCTAATATGATTTAAGGTATACTCCTAAGTTAAGGGATATTGGAGTCTCTGGGTTTAGAGTGTTTCTTTGCAACGCCGCATCGCGTGGCAGGTATCACCACACTCTCCGCAGGCGTCGCCTCAGGGCCGCCGGGGTGCGGTCTCGGCCAGCATGCAAGACTTCCTGGAGCCTCCGTCTTGGCAAAGCTCAAAAAACGTTGAAGACCACGCTCTTGGTAAGCTTCCGAGGGCCCATAGTGTGCTCCTGGTCAGCGATGACGGATTTGGCAAGCGGGTGGAGGGCCCAGGTGACACATGTCTGCAGCATCTGCTCCGACAGTACAAAACCTGGATTCTCATCTTTTCCAAACATTCCGAACAAGTTTGCATTCACACGAAAGCTTGCAGCTTTCTAACTGCATGTGGCAACAGCCTGTGGTGTCTCAATTCCTCACCGTCGGCACGCGCCCCTTGCTTCCGGATGACTCCCTGAGGTCCGTCTCTCGGACATCAAGCTCGCATCTCGAAACAAGACGGGGAAGAAGGTCAAGCTTCAGGCCTCCACTCTGATGTGTCGGAGCTCCTTGTGTGAACACGGTGTCCGCCCCTTGTTACATAACTATTCCGCTTTCACAGCGCCAAGTACCGTTCGCGATGCGAGCTTGTTTTGGCGACCTCGCAACAGCAATTGAAGGTCATTGAGTTGGTATTTCGGAAGCATCTTAGTGTCCCAGTGTGCAGGGAGACGGGAACGTGGTGGCAGTGTGTGTCGTCCCCAGCGATGAACTTCCTCAGCTTCCTCCCAAGCCTCGGGAAGCAGCCGTCTTGTACAAGGACTATCACTGCAAAAGCTCTGCTGTGCGTCTTGCCACGCAGTGCTGGGGAACACGAATTCAAAACTCACTGTGCGAGGAGTCCTGCGCAAAAGTCCGCGCGGAGGCGGTGCAGGAAGCCGCAGCCAGAGGTGAGGATCCAGAGCCGGAGAAGGAGGAGGCCGCTTCTTCGCCTCCGAAGAAGGGCTGCTGCACTTTCAGAGCTGGCAGGCCCCTTTTGAGAGCCTCAGTGCCAAAAAGCAGAAGCCGTACTTTGATCAGCAGCAACGAGATCAGCAGCACTTCGAGGCGCCGAGTAGGCTTCGCATCATCAAAGCTCGATGGATTTGCTTCGCGAAGCCTGTCGCTTTCAGAATCTGAGGCCGCACAGAAAGAGCGCCTGGAGGCCGAGAAGACGCTGAGACCGAAGCTGGGCGAGGTGCTGCTCTGCACCTCAGGCGCCCGACTCGCAGCCCCTAAGTCCCTGAGTTTTTTTTTGAGCCTACAACCCCTATAAACCTTAAACCCAAAACACCCTGCCTACACCCTAAGCCCCTGAGAAGTCGGAGCCCACCCTATGGGGCTCTCTCTTTTGGAGGTGGCTCGGTGCTGCGTTTGCCGGTGATGCGCATCCGGGTGATGAAGCCCATGAAGCGGAGCCAGGGGCGACTGATGAAAGTGCAAAGCCGCTTGGAGCACTCTGTACTGATGTACTGGTATGCATTCGGAGGCACGAAGTCGTCCGGCACCTTGTTCCGATCAGGTCCCGACGCACTGGTTTCAGCCTCACTGATGTCATCAGTTGACCCTTGGTGCGCAACAGCCGGAGCTACGAAGCCAGACTGGCTAGACGCAGTCCCGCAGTCCCTGCCTGTGTTTCAGGACGATGAGAAGGATGGTGCGACTGTCGGTGAAGAGCAAAAGCAAGATGGGGTACAGGAGGTGGAGGAGGACGAGGGCGAGGAGGAAGAGGAAGAAGAAGAAGATGAGGACCCTTGGGCAGAACGGCAGAACCTGCCTTAATGGCCTCTGAGAATATGTGTGCCTCCTGTCTGTGTTGCTGCTCTTGGAACAACAAAGGAGTAGCGTGGCAGCCGAATCGAGCATCGGGCCCCATCAGCCCTCAGATGCACCTCGTCGACTCGTACTGACTTGTTCGGGGAAGGCGGCGGTGAGTCTGCCGCCCTGTGACCATGAAATAGGTGGTCGCTGGATTGATTCGTAGCTGTTCGCAGGTACGAGCACTCGTCAGAGTGCAGCGGGTTTAAAGGGAGTTGTCGCTCTGAACTCAGTATCTGAAGCAAAGAGCACGCCTTCTTAGGGTCAGGGCGAACACTTCCCGGGGTCTAAGTCGTTTGGTGAAGTTACGCCACAGGAAAATCAAGCTTGCTCATGTGTTGCAGGATGTTGCAAGCACGAAGTGTTCGTAGGAGCTGCAGCCAACATCTGAAGAGCGTTCCACCGCATTCCATCGCTTGGACCCTGCTCTTTGGCTTACAGGGTTGGAACTTGCTTTGCAAGATGCCGGGCCTGCCTCTCCACCACTGCACGCCGCCGGCGGTGCGGCCCCCACTCCGGAATCTTTCTTGCTGTCAACGGCAAGACTTGGTGAGCCACAGACTGCAGAGCTATCAGGGCTTTCCGTGCGGTTTTCACCTGGCCAAGGGGCCTGGCGAAAGTCACCAAGGAACCAGGAAGCCAACTTAAATCAGTGCGGCTCTCCTGCACAGGTGTCCCAACGTCAGTGTGCGGACTGGTCGGGTGCCGACAGGACGGGAAGCACAGACCGCCTGAGATTTCTTGGCATTGGATCCGCCACTGCTGGTTCACCATATACTTACCCATACTATGCTATACTATACTGTACTATACCCTACTTTACTAGACTATCCCATCCTGTCCTACAGTACTGTACCAGTACTACTACTGTAACTATAACTAGGAATTTTCTATTACATTACTATTACTATTGCTACTCTTGATGATGCAAATCCTGCATTACCCATAATAAGGAATATGCCATACTTCCATAGTCAGGATTTGTATCATCAACCGTATTCCTAGTACTATTACTATTGTCAATACTATTACTAGTACTAGTACTATTAGTATTAGTATTCATTGACCGACGGCTTTTCATGCTGTTGGCAGGAGAGCATGCCGGCCTTTGCATGGACGAGGCAAATCTCTTCGGGAGCTGAAGAGCCTATATAAAAGGGCAAATCAATAGATAGATGAGTATACATGAATATACATTCACATAAATCTAAGCAAAAAAATACATATATATATATATGTACATATATATATATATATATATATATATATATATATATATATATATATATGTATGGAGATATGGATAGATAGCTAGGTTGTTATGTATATATATATATATATACACGCATAGATTCTCGACTGCTTGGAGCCATGCAGGCTGCGGAATGAGGGCCAGATTTCCGTCTCGCCCCGTGCCGGGCACACGATAACACCCACTGCAGTGGGGTTTCTTCTGTCAGGAGCTCAATTTGAAGCACACTCTGTGAGCTCGTGCGTTGTGTGCATGTGAGTCATGTGAGTGGCTTTCAGGTATGGTGGCATGGACGGACGGAGGAATGATCAAGGCAACCCAGCTCCAAATAGCGATTTATTTGTCCGGAGCTCAGATACAGCTCGCCTACACAGCCGAGAGCGCGTGCTCGCCCAGTTGCTGAAACCTGGACAGCCTGGAGAAGCTTCCTACAAGTGGGAGGCAAGTCCGTGACCGACACCAAAAATGGCTCCCCAGAGACTCCGGTATCCCTTACTTACGGAATATACTTTAAATCATATTAGGGATCCTTAAAATATCTGAGGTATATATACGCCTTATTTACAGGATACTGGAGTCTCTGGTGGCACAGCGCCAGGTGGTGGAGATCGACCCCGGGTCACAGCTGCCGCCAGTGCGAACTTTGCACACCGCTCCTCACTCAGTCGGTCATGCGACAAGGAACCCACCGCCCTGCCAAGAGTCAAGACTTAATATAGAGGGCCTTGATGATGATATATATATATATATAGATATATTTATATTTGTATATATATATATATGTTGTATGAGAACCCGCGAGACAGTGTTGGTAATTAAAAATAGGCCTCCATATTACCCACCCCGCGGAGGCGATATCGATCAGCCAGGACGAGGTGTTTCTCTTTGGCGGCATCCACTCCACAACACCTTACCAGGTGCAGCTGCAACTCAATACCTCGTAGAGGGTTCAGAGCCACAATATACGAAGCGTCAGGCTGAGCCCATGATACCTAGCTACAGACGGCAGCGGGAACGGAAGGAATACTGCAAGTATTTCGGAAGCGGCATCAGGAAACTCCCTCTGAGTTTTCTTCGACAACATACGAATGGGTTCTCACTGGGTCAGCACGGCTCAGATGCAAGCAGGGTTTAGGGTTCCGGGCGATAAACTACGCTCTCGCCGACTCCGATATCCTCTGCAACGCCCTCCTCGAACCCGTGGCTCTGTCTGGCTCAAGAGTGCCGCAAAGCGTTCGCCGTGGCACAAAGCTTTCGATGCACGCCCCAGCCCAAGCAAGTGCAACGGGGCCTGGTTTGCGGGTTTCAGGGCTGTTTGCTATGCAAGTTCGGCGTAGAAATCAGGAGACTGGTCAAAACATGACACCCCAGGTTGGAAGCAGTCGACACAAAGATGGTCGACATCTCCTTGCAGGCTCAATCTGGTGAAGCTGGTGAGACAGTCCCTTCCCGTGGGATCGGCACGGAGTCTCGCAGGCTGTGGATGGTGACTCGCTGCCAAAGGACCCTCTAAGTGTCCACGAAGTTGGCTTGATCTAGCATGACTTTGGACCAACACAGGATCTCTTCCTCTCGCTGAGAGTGGGCGAGCAGCAGAAGTTTTCGAAGGACTCGAGCCCTCTTGCCTACCCAATGCTGGAGACTAGCTAACACACGCCCCGTTTCCTTGCAAGCTGCTCGTCCTTCGCCGTTCCTCTGGTATACGATGCATAGTTCCCCCGTCTTTGCTTCAAGGCTATGTGACTTGCTACCTGATGAAGAGAGATGCCAGCAGGCCAACTGCTCGCGAACCTACAAGTTCCCATCGTCCGCTGACCGACGCTACGTGGTAGACTCGGAGGGGGTTTGCTGCTTTGTGTTTTCGTGACGGAATGACTGAATGTAGAACTCAAGGGAAAACTTGAGCTGTACCGACGCGTTGGGGTGACGGCCTGAGATGCGGGGCCATGGTGTGGGGGAGTGGGCGTTATTCTGCCGCGAAGGTCTCATCCGTAAGCCTTGATGGCGAAAGTTTCCAGGACGGGCTGGCCCCTCTCGGAGACTCCAATATCCCTCAAGGAATATACCCCAATAAATCATATCAGGGATCCCTGGTATGATTTAAGGTGTATTCCTGGATTAACGGATATGAGAATCCCCTAAACCCTAAACCCTATAGATCCCTTAAAGGAAGGTATTCCTAAATGAGGGGATTTTGGAGTCTCTGGGTTCTGTCGTCTGTTCAAAGAAACCTGGGGTCGAAGCCGCGGTGTTCGCAGGGCGCTCACGAGATGGCCATCCAAGTGGAGGAGAAAGCCAGAAGACTCTGTTATAGTTGTAGAGTTGCATAGTATATACATATATATGTATATATATATATATAAAAAGTATATACAGTATATAGTATATATATATATATAGTATATACATATGTATATATACATAGAGAGTTATACATCGTTATACAGTGCTCTACCGTGCTTTGCCTCGAGATCTTGCATCTCTCGCAAGGACGAGCGGATCCCGAACAAGGAGGCGCCAACTGCATGCCGAAGCATTTTGATCCGGGGTCCTTGTTGCCGGAGAGGCAAATTTATTCTTGTTGGAGTAAGGTGAAATATCGCTTCTGCCTGGGTGGCTCTGCAAGCCTTCCTTCGCCGACGAACGAGGTGCAACATACGTGGGTCAGTAGTCGTTCACATTCTTTATCACTGGCAGGGACTATCGTACTATGAGATTATCTGTTTTTGCAGGTAGTCTTGCGAGCACGTGAGCTTGGCAAACCAAGTGGCGCGGTGATGGTGCAGCCTCATTGTGCCCCAGTCCTTTTTGCAGGCGGCCCAGGCCCAGCCCGAGCCTGCCAAGCAGACGTCGACGAAGGAGACGAAGGCTCGCGGAACCTCGCATCTTGAAAGTCAAACCTTTGCAGCTCATTGCTACGATGACAAGGTAGTGCAGGCTCGGGAGTACCTCCAGCAGCACCAGCCTGCATCTCACAGCCTTGATCGGGAGTTGCACCTGCTTCCCCCCTCTCGACGCCTGCATGGGAGGAAGTGCCGGAAAAGGAGGGACATCTTGTCGAGATCATAGCAGCAGTGAGTGGATAAGGCTGGAGCAGCGCCTGTCTGAAGCAATGCAGGCGGACGGGTGCTCAGCTCGAAGTAATCTCGAATGTCGCACCCTAAGCCCTAAAGCCTTAACCCTAAGCTGACTCGGCAAGGTTCTCCGTGAGCGGCCGGAGGACCGGCTTCTTTCGTCAGACGGCCGGAGGGGTCGGGCAGAATCCCAGGACCCTGCAGCCTTCATTGCGCAGAAGCTGCAGTCCAAAGCTGGAGTTCTGAAGAAGGTACTGCGGCGGGAAGTTGTGATCAGGGTTTTGGGGCATGTTACACTACATCTATATAGTGAGCAATCCAAAAAACAGTACCGGTAATTCAAACCCTAAACCCTAAACCCTCAACACATTCAACACACGAATGGGAATTAATGGGAATGGATCCCTATAGTAGTCCTTGTAGAATCCCCTAACATAGTCCCCATAGACGACAGGTGGAGGAGCCGGGGAGCATGACCGTGCCTGAACCTCCAAAGCGGGAGCCGAAAGCCAAGGCAGCCGTGACTCGCCTGGAAGAATCATGCTATACTGTACATATCTACATATATTTTTTCGAGTTTTTATATCATATATATATATATATATATATATGTAGAGTATGTATGTATGTATGTATATGTATGTGTATATATACACACTACATATGAGGTCTGCACTGTTCTGCACTGACTTCTGCTCTGAGGCACCTCCCTCGGCCCCTTCGGCACCGGCGCCGGTCGAATCCGCGCCGCCCGCGAAAGCCGCGGCACCTGCCTCCACCCCAGCAGCTGCACCAGTTCCGGCCCCGGCTCCAGCGGAGCCCAAGGCCGCAAAGGCTCCCGTGGTGGAGCCTCCAAAGGCCCAGGTCAAGGAGGCTTCACCGGCACCCACGCCGAAGCCAGCTGCACCGGCCGCACCGGCAGCTGCGCCAGCAGCTGCGCCGGCCGCCCCTCCCCCACGTCCTGTTCAGGCTGAGCATTTTTCAGTCACGACTGTCGAGGGTCTGCCATCTCCATTCCAGAATCTGAAGCTGACAGAGAGACGCTGTGCAGGCCGTGCCAGTGGCAACTAAGCCGTTGGCGCAGCCGGAGGTTCACGTTAATCTTGCCATGCCGTCCCTGGCAGACTATCCGCTACGCATCTGCAAAGGGCTGGTCCCGAAACCCCAGACTCGGTATCAATGCAGCAGGAACAGCAAGGCTGCATCCCAAATCTTATATTCTAAGCTCTCGCAAGGCCCAGAAGTACGTTTGTTCGCACATCCGTGAAGCCAAGGTTGCCCGACAACAACTTCGCAGTCCGGGCCTCGTGGTTCTTGCGCCTGACGGCAGTCGGAGACAAGCGGCGCACCTGGAACTCACGCGCGCGAGAAAGGATAGCAATAGTAGATCCTGACATATGAATCGTGGGCCGCACCACATTTGCTCAAGCTGCTGCCGCCATAGTAGCCACCGCGGGTGAAGTGCCAGTGCTGCGCGTCACCATCACCGCTCTAGATACACCCGCACCGCCACGACTCCGATCCTGTCGCCATCTTGCATGCATCTAGAAGCAGTAGAAGCACAGCCCTCCAAGGATCCCATCTCCTCGGCAACCTTGATGGCCCAGCGCTCGGAGTCTCTGTCACGGCATGAAATCTTCGCAGCTCTTGAACACGTCTTGTCCTGCAGATTGGTGATGGCATGTGCGGCTTTGCCAACATCGGCCGCCCGGCAGTCCCTCCCTCGGCAAACTCTCGGCTCTTGTGGACTTGATCTCAGTGTTGTGGAACAACGCTATTGCAGGTCATGATCCTCTGAGCCCTTTGAGGCTGTCGATGCGGACGTGAGTTTGCGACCGCACTGCCGCATCTCACTGTGCCCGAATCCTGAGCCTTCACAGTGGGCAGGGGTTCGGTGCCTTCATGCGAGGCGTGTCACCTGAACACCATGTTTCTGCTGCAGCGAAGGCGTGAGGAGCTGGGAGTTGAATTGAAGCTCCGCGCCCATAGCCGTCATAGCCGACGTGTAGGTCTCAGGGTGGAGAGTGTGAAGCACATGGATTCGGAAAACTCGATGCATCTTCGAATCATGGGCCTGCCATGTGCGTTGGCATCATGGTCATCGCAACAAGCAAACAGTCGTCATGAAGCCCACAATCGAAAGCAGAGGCATGTAGAGTCCTCGAAGCTCTGCTAAAGCAGATGCTTGGAGTGCGCGATGCAGAGGAAAATCTTCGTCGCCCCATCTTGCGAGTAGTTCTAACAGCAGAACGAAAAGGATGCATAGCATAGCAGGCATAGCAGTAGAATTAAGAATCAGCAAGCATGTTAGTCGGACTCGGAGGAGGAGGTAGTGGTGGTGGTACTACTCGTGGTAGCAATAGCCATAGCAGCAGTAGCAGTAGCAGTAGCAGTAGCAGTAGCAGTAGCAGTAGCAGTAGCAGTAGCAGTAGCAGTAGCAGTAGCAGTAGCAGTAGCGCAGTAGCAGCAGCAGCAGGAGGAGGAGGAGGAGTAGTAGTAGTAGTCGTGGTAGTAGTCGTCGTCGTCGTAGTAGTAGTAGTAGTAGTGGTAGTAGTAGTCCTAGTAGTAGTAGTAGTAGTAGTAGTAGTAGTAGTAGTAGTAGTAGTAGCAGTAGTAGTAGTAGTAGTAGTAGTAGTAGTAGTAGCAGGAGCAAAAGTGTAGCGGCAGTAGTAGTAGTTGTTGTAGTAGCCCCCCCTTTACTCAACGAACTATCCTCAACGTTGCTTAAGATCCCATCAGTTTGACTCAAAATTTAGAGTACTTTCGTGATGTCGTAGACCAATACCAACCACCGCTTTCTGTTGCGCTTGTGGGGTGGGGTGGGGGTGTGGGATTGGGGGAGGGAGGGGACCATGAAGATGTACTTTTTAATGGCACATCTATTTTACTCGGTATTTGCAGTACTTTCGTGATATATACTTGGCAAGGTGGTACGAAGACTCTAGCTGTCATCATGCTAACACGCTGCAACAAGAGTCATATGAGCAGTACTGGTAGGTGTATCAGTATCCGCGCTAGAAATGGTAAAGGCTGGCCTCATCGCCATCCTGGTATTCAGAAGAAGAGTGCAGATAGCAACCAGAAATACGGCGATGGGAATGGTATTAGCAAAACTAGAGGAGCATCGACACTAGTCGGTATCATGTGCGCAATGACTGCTCATAAAGTGTGGGAAAGAGTATTAGCTGTAAGCATGCAGCACACGGAATGATCGATAATGCTAGTAGCTTCCAGTTCCATCTTGCACTGTTCAACCTGATGCTCTTAGTGTGCCTTGTCAGCTCTCGTCTCGGTATGGCTCTCATGGATTTATGCGATGCTTTCAGGTTTCGCTTGATGACAGCAGCTCCAGGAACAGAAGCAAGCTCGGGGCCTCTCGAACAAAGAAGCAGCCAAAAGGCTTTCCTAAGCTTACCCCAACACGCCTTGCACCTTGCCTCAACCCCTTCCTCTATGATGCAATGGGCTGTGGGGCGAGCAAGAAGTGGATGAAGTGCCGTCGTGAAGGCTGTCTTAAGGAGGCTCACCACACGCAGGGCCATGGATTTTGCTGCTATGGCTGCAGCAAGGGCTGGGCATGTGGACCCCTTTGCACGAGTGTTAAGACAAGTAGGCATCAAAATGCGACCCCCAGTCGGGGTCCTTCGTCTCAGCGCGGAAATGGCAACACTTGGACAAAGTGCCGCCGTGAAGGCTGTCGTAAGGAGGCGCACCACACGCAGGGCCATGGATTTTGCTGCTATGGTTGCAGCAAGGGCTGGGCATGTGGACCTCTTTGCACCGCCGTTAAGACAATGAAATGCTGGCGTCCTACTTGTGGGAAGAGAAAGCACAGCAGGATGGAGCTCGGATATTGCTGCCGGGGATGCAAGGCGGATGGCTGCTGCACCCGGGATTGTCAGAACCAGCCCTTCGTAGAGGCACCCAAGAGTCCGGGTTTAGCAGTAGTTCTCGAAGTGTCCAACGAGCCATCATCCCGTGAACAGCAGCCACCTGAAGAGCACAACAATATGGAAAGCAACAATGTCAACATCGAAATGAAGGTGCTGGGGTTCATGGACACCGCATCACCCCTGGGCCCTACTTGGGAGAAGGCTTGCCAAGGTCGAGCACCTACTATCGACGTTCCCACGGGCATGCTCATGGGGAAGTGGGCCGAGTGCTTGGCATGGGCAGTCGCTTACGAGGCCCAGCATCCGGATTGGACTTCCGATCGCAAGTTCCTCCTCCAAACTCCCGCAGGTCAAGTCATTGAGGCCAGGGCGGAGCTTTCATATGAGCACCTAACGTCCCCCCCTTCAGCGCAGTTAAACCGTAACCACTAGAGTCACTAGCCTAAGTCTCAAACCCTTCAATGCCTACGATCCGAGCAGTTGAGGCCATCGAGGCTGTCACCGTCGGTTCACGTCGTGGGCCGGTGGTCGAAGCATCCCAGAAGTTCCTCAGGGCTTGTAGGCAAGCCGTCGAAGATGGCAAGCCTCTGCCGTTGATCGATGTCAGCCTATACCGCCTAGGAGTTTCTTAAGGTGAAAGGCTCTTCGGGGTCCCCCGACTTCACTTGAAGCTCACATAAGATTTGGGATGTTTTCCCACTTTGGGGACCCGAAGCTGTCCCGGCATAGCGCTTCGCGATCTGCGACAGGAACGACCGCTTTCCGAGGGCGGCGCGCGGGGAAGTGTCCCAGAACCTCCCAGCGGGACGGTCCGCGGACGTGCGCTCTGTGCCGCAAGACCCTTTTTCAAATTAGTCAGGCACCCAAAGTGGGAACTTTGTCGCCCTTCTGCGTAGGACTGGCTTTTGGACTTCAGGGTAGCGGGGTGCAGCAAGTCGCTTGAAAGAGCGGTTTCGTGCAGGTTGGTCTTGCGGCGATACTCCCAGCATGTGCGCAGGCCAAATACTCATCAGAAAAGAGAGCCTTTTCCGATTCCAGGCTTTGAAGATATGGTTCTGGCATGACCGTCAGCTTTGGCTGGGCTGTCACTCCAAAAGCCTTAGCACCTAAAGTCTAAAGTCCTAACCACCTGAGGCCTGAGGCGCTAAACCCTCAGCGCTAAATCCTAAGTTAAGTTCCCCAACCGAACGATGCAAGTGGGTCTCAACAAACCTTTGCAAGGCAATACAGCTGAAACGTCGCAAGCACTTGGGGGATCGGAGAACCAATGGTGTTTTCTACGGCCTTGGTTTTGGATTCTTACTCGAGGATGAGGGGGCATCGTCAGTGGGGTTTTCAAAAAATAGCAGGTTGCTGCGTGTGGCCTACCCTGCTTCTCGCCCTACTCATAGCTCCCCTGACCCTGAACCTGGTAACATTACTGTCGACTCCGGCGCTTGTAGCTTCAGGGTTGAGGCACCTCAATCCGAGAAGTAGGCCGCGGCAGGGGCGTTTTTCGGTGTTCAACGACAATCCTAAATCCTAATCTCCTCAACCCTAAAGCCCGGGGGCTAAACCCCGGAAGGAAAACAAGCAGCCTGCACGCCATGCTCGTAACATTCCTGCTAAAAGATGACCATCGTAATAAAGCAGTCTAGCCATGGCAAGACGATCAGGACTAGAGTCACCATGGTACTTGTAATTGTGCTCGCAATAGTGCTGTCATGATAACCGTCGAAGTGTTAATCGTAGCCGTGTTAATAGTCGTAATCGCAGCAACAGAGCAACGTACTAGCCTGGTTGTAGTAGCATTATATTATCACGGGGAATCGGAATCGTAGACGCTACTGCGTGTATTGGTCGCATCCAGGAGCTGTGACAACCACCACCACCACCACCACCACCACCACCACCACCACCACCACCACCACCACCACCACCACCACCACCACCACCACCACCACCACCACCACCACCACCACCACCACCGTCATCATGATGATTACATCAGCAGCAGCGCCATGGTGATTGTCAAGCAAGACACCAGTGAGTCAATTCTAACAGCAGTACAACATCACCAGACGAAACAGGGATAGCAGTGCACCAGCAGCAGTCGAAGCAAATCGTAGTGACATATGACAGCAGCTGCTGTGACAGTATGACTTTTCGCGCCAGGTGCTGAACGACGGCTGGATTATGGACACGACGTGCTACGAGTGGAAGCACGTGCAGTTCAAAGCACAGTCGCAGGAGCTGAAGGCCGACAGCAAGCCAAACCGAATGCAAAAAGACGCCATCATTGTCATTATTATAATCGTTATATCACAATATAATATCACATTACTAGTATTAGTATTACTGTTGTTATGAGCCAGCTTTGAAGCAGGAGTAGTAGCCGTAACATTCGTCGCAGAAAGAGCTTAGTTGTAAGACTCATGGTAGATGCGATCGCGAATTTCATGAATGATCCCTAAACCCTAAATCCCTAAACCCTAAACCACTAAACCCCTAAACCCTAAGCCCTAAACTCTGAATGATTATGACCGCTGCCAGGGCTCTTATTGGAAACGGATGTGCGGGAAGATCCTGGAGCACCCATACGTCGCGGCACAGGCAGAGATCCTGGTGGCGCCTGCGCGTTTGGGGTTTGTAGACTTCCCAGGGACTCCCAATATCTCTTAATTGAGGAATGTAGCTTAAATCATAGGAATATTGGGGATCCTACTCTAGTTTAAAGTATATTCCTCAAGTAAGGGATATTGGTGTCTCTGGCTTTGTTGTCTTCCGCAGGGTCCCAGCTTGCACGGAGCTTGGCCAGGCGGGGCCCCGGCGGAACTCCACCGGGGGCAGGTGCGAGATACCTCCAAGTACCCAGAGACTGCCAAGTGTCGATATGGATTGAATCCTGCAGTCCATGCGCCTCTACCCTAACATCCTAAGACATAGGACCCAGTCCCAGTAAGACGAGGAGACTCAGTGCCGTGGCCCAGACAGCCCGATCGGCTGTCAGCGGCCTGAACTTCGAGACCCTTGCAGTTGCCGCCTCCAAGGCGTGAGGAAATAGCTTACCATTGGTTAGTAGGGAATGGAAGAATGGTAGTAATAGTAGTTATAATTATACGCCATTCCTCCATTCCCTACTAACCAATGGAAAGATAGTAGCCCAGCGTAGAGTGGCAAGCGATCTTTTGAGAGTTGTGAGCGAGGAAACTAGTTCGCAAGACTCTGAGAGTGACTGAAAGGCGAGGTGTATTCTCATTTCCCATGTGATGTAACTAGTCGGAGAAGAACGGAGGAGTTGCGTCTGAAAAGCACAGGAGTGGCAACTTTTCCTTTCTTCCTGGGAAACTAATAATTGCACCAGGAACTCATTCTATTCAATGTTTGTGTTATTCTGCTGTACATGCGAAAAACCTGCATTCACATGTCCACTTTTCCTTGGCGTTTCTGTTTGAAAACCTTTGTAGGTACCTGCTTTGACCCATGGATTTTTCTTGTTTTCATGCTCTTTTCGCTTTTAAGTTTGCAGGGGGCGTGGCGGTCACATCCTAGCCACGCCAACGAAGCTATGGATGTTGACTGGATGGGTTCACAGACGTGTGAGCCTGTACCTGCAAAAAAGCTGGGCCCCTGAGCCAGCGAGATTAGCAAAAAGTTTCTTTCGAACAAGGCAGTTTTGCAGGTTTGAACATGTCTTTCGCTTGTTTTGAAGCTTTGTACGGTTGCTGCAATCTGTTTGAGCGTGTCCATGAGAGTATCTGCATTGGACGATCAGAACATCCAGAAGGCGGGTCAGTGGGAGCCTTTCCAGTTGTGTTCGGCAAGAGCTCCCTCACGAGGGCCTTGTCGCTATTCGGCGAAGTTGCCGGCCCACCGGGGTTCTTGTGTTAGCAGCTCCGGAAATCAATTCCGTTTCACAACATGTTCAAGTGGAGATCACTGAGTGGAAATCACATTTCTGGAAATCAGATCGGAGTCGCATTCTGGAGTCTCTTCTGGAGATCATTCCGGCTTGAGCTTTGCAGTCAGTTGTTGTTCTCATTTCCTGCCATGGATCGTGAACGCTCCCCCCGCCGCAACCCCTTCTGGAGCTCCTCCTTGCCGGCTTCGGTCCCACCTACCCCTGAGAGTTGGCAGCACCCTGCACCCCGACCTGCCCCACCAGTGAACAGACCGGCAGTGCTTCAGCCACAGAATCTTACGTGGCAACCCAATCCACGTATTGCTCAGATTATGAACATTTCGCCAACCCCCCGCATTCCAGGCCTCCCATCCCCACCTGCTGCAAACTCCCCGAGAGTCTTCGGCCCGATGATGCCCGCTGAGTTTTGCCAGAACCCGAACTATTTGGATTCCCGTTGTATTGCAGGCTTGAACTTGGCTCGTTGGGTAAAGAAGACTGACTGGACAGTTCGAAAGCAGATTGATGGATGTCCGACCCATATGATACCGCTTCACTCGTTGCTCTATCAAGGTTGGAATTCGTATTGGGTGCGCCATATTGCCGAAGGAAAGCCGACTTTCTTTGCAGGCTTCAAATCGATCGGTGAAGTTGTATTTTGCCACGCCTTGTTCGGAAAGCTGCGAGATGAAGACGTCGACTTGGATGAGCTTGCTTCTATTGTGCTTGGTACCAGTGACCCCGCTTCCAAGAGCAGCGGTTCGGACTCCAAGTCACAGGCCACACACTTGTTGGCACAGAAGGTTGTTGACTACATGCTAGGTCTGTATCCTCAGGCCTCTGTTGACACAGAGAAGGCAGCCATGGCCAATCAGATCCAGATTCTTCAACAACAACTTGCGAATTTCGAGAATGCTTCCCCCTCCCGATCTTCTAATCAAGAGGTTGCAGTTCCGAAAACGTTGCCGATTGAACAAAGCCCCCAAGGACGTGTGCCGGAGTCTGCGCCCTCAGCTCAGAAAGTTCCGGATGGTGCCACTCGCCTTCTTCGTGGTCAGACGGCTGAGCCCAAAACTAGTCGCAGGCATTCCAGAAAGGCAAACCATCGGGGAATCATGCAGAACCTTTGAGTGTTGAGCCCGATGAAGCTGAGACCCAGGGTCGCAGCCCAGGCAATTCGAGTTCTGCTCCTCAGCCTGAGTATGGAACATCCTCGCATGTTGGACAGGTTGTGAAGATTGTTCTCACGGATCCCAGCAAACGTCACTTCTTGAGTCGCAGTTGGAAGGCTTGCAAGTCGGACAAAGAAGTATCGACGTGGATTGAAGGATTGAACTTGAGCAAGAACAATCGACAGAAGCTCCAGACATGGACAGCTCATGTCCAACGATGGCATGCGGACCTTCCTTCCAATGAACAGGCCGAATTGGATCAGGTTGTTGCCAATTGGGGCGTACCCATCCGTGATATTCCCAAGCTTAAGGCGAATTCTCTGCTCCGTATTCTTGCTGCCGGAACAATTCTTGTGGCTTGACTACAGGCCATACTGGATGCCAGGGACGTGTATCGCATTGACAATCCGCCACAAGGTTGGTGGAAACGGCACCGAAGTGAAGTGGATTTACTTCGGAATGCTCATCTATTTTTCCAAGGTCTCTACGAGACACCTACCATGTTCGGACGACAGTGCATGGACATTGTTATTTGGATCCGTGGAAAACTCCTTTTGCTTGCTTGTGAGTTCGGGCTTGTACAGTCGCCATTGACCTCTCAGCTACGTTTAAAATGCTCCAGCTACACCTGGAAATTCTTTCAGACGCAGTCGGTGATTTATTGTCGCATCTTTCTCCAGCCTGAGTTACAGAAATTCATGTATGTCGGATCATCATCCCAAACACTGGGCGACCGTGAGCGTACAAGATGGGGGAAATTCCAACAGATCAGGGCCGGCAAGTCAGTGTGCGGTGAACTTTCGCTGTTTTGGCATTATCGACGACAGAATTATCACATGGCCATTCCTCTGTTGATCATGCATGTCCCACAGGTCGATTGTTTGCACACGATTGAGCAGACATTTATCAACTTGCTACAGCCTCACCTCAATGCTCCTTGGGTTCGCTCTCTTGTCAGAGCAAAACATGCACAGATTGCCAACTCGGATCCAGTCAGATGTGTTCGCAGATTTGTGACCTCGTGGAGAACCTTTCGACGCTTTCGACGTCGGAATTTCCAGCTCACTGGACTGACTCCTTCGGTCTTCCGTTCGACACACATTGTTCAGAACATTGTATACAGTTATCAGATTCTGTTTGACTTAGCTTCTGACGGGTTGAAGTCCTCCCTTGCCCAAAAATATCTGCGCAGCAACCGAGTTGACTCGGATTTTCTCTATAGATTATTCAGGATGGCCACTCATCTGGGTGACCCGTTCTATGAGACGATCTGCAGGTCCAGATTGAACACTGTGCTGCAATTTCGACAGTTGAGGTGCTCAACTACATGCCGCCCCCTTTCCACTCCGTTCTTGCTGCCTGAAGTAGGCTTCAAACGCTTGGTTCGCGGCATGTTGGGAGATATTTTGGATGTATCGACGGATCGACTGCTGCCGTACCACATTCCAGCGACCTCGCTCGTTGCCAAAAGTCACCCTAAAATCAAGGATGTGTTGTTTTCGCATAAACCAATCCTGCAGTCGTGGGACCCGCACGAGGAGCCGCAACAGGCTGGTGTCACATGTTGCTGCCATGAACTTCTTCGACGTCATCCACACCTGACTGTTGTCCAGGGTCACATTGCTTCTTCTGCCACGTTGTTGACCCTGCCACCTGATTTGACTCAGTTGGCCCAGTCCAGTTGCTCCAATCCGGTATTCATGAACGCCACGGATCATTGGACGATGTTTCTCGAAGACGTGAGGCATTGGATTGATTATCATGGCTTGATGCATTATCCGACTGTTGATATTCGAAGTGTGTGGCAGAAGGCATGGAAGATGCACTCACAACACGTCGGAACACATTGGTCGGTTGATCAGGTTCGTGAGTTGCGAAAAAGGACCAAAGGATTGGTGTGGCATGTCCGAGATCATGAAGGCTCGCATGCGCATGTTTTCTGCCCTGTGAAGTATTGGATGATGCTCCAGAACACTTTTACTGCTGAATCGGTCTTCAAGCCACTGTCGTTAAATCCTTCGACAATTATGGTTCAGATGGAACATGCAGTGCCACCTCGGATTCTTGAATCCTTTCCCTTCCGTTTTGGATCTCGTGCTGCCCGTGTGTCATGGGCTTACATTCTCCCCAAGTTCAAGAAAGAATGGAAAGGAGGCAGGCCAATCGTTAGTTTTGCCTCTCACCCGGCTCGCCAGTTCTTGGTTGTGATGGCGCGAGTCACAGAGATGCTTGTTGCTGAGGTGTGTCCTCACACCCGATCTTACAACGATGCAATCTTGCTTTGGCAGAACATACATGCTTTCTTTGAGAAGCGATGTCACAGCTCGGATCAAGACAGACAGAAGCTTGCCATGCACAATCAAGACTTGTCAGGTTTTTTCGTGAGCATTCCACGGGAGCGGTTCATGATTACCTTTCGCATATTGCTTTGTCGTTTTTACGACGTCTCGGATGCGGATCTTGATCATGCCTTAAAAGGCGTTGTGGTGACTGTGGACTTGGAAAACAACATGTCGGTTATGAAAACTATCCGTGGTCGGCATTGCCTGTTGAATGACAAACGAGTTGCCGTCCCAATGGACCTATTTCTGGAGGCTGTACAGGTGTCTTTCAAGTTCAATCTATTCATGGTGGGTCAGCAGGCCATTCAACAAATCCGAGGTGCACCGATGGGAAGCCATTTCTCCCCGGCAGCTTGCCATGCCGTGGTAAGCCTATACGAGCACATGTACTTTGGAAAATGTCTGTTAGAGTCTTCTCGCTTGCCAACCTTCGGCCTTGTGGTTCGATACGTGGACAACCGGATGAGCTTGATTCTTGATCGCCAGGCCAACTATGCTGCTGTGCAAGCTTTTCTGCACCAGGATGTATACATACCGCCCATCGTACTTGAGTATGAGGATGGAGACCTTTTCTTGGGTTTTCATGTGGATGTTCAGGAACTACGAGTACAGTATGTCCAGCCTGTTGAGACCTGGAAGTT